GCACATCTTTCAGTTTTTTGTCGCAAATTTTTTTTTGCACGGTGCAGAATTTCATAATTAATTCTGCACTGTGCAATTTTTCTGTCAAAAGTTTTTTTTGCACAGTGCAGAATTTCACAATTTATTCTGCACTGTGCAAATTTTTCCATCAAAATTTTTTTGCACTGTGCAAAAACTTCCCGCCAAAATTTTATTTTTTGCACAGTGCAAAGACGTCTGAACTGCACTGTGCACATCTTTCAGTTTTTTGTCGCAAATTTTTTTTTGCACGGTGCAGAATTTCATAATTAATTCTGCACTGTGCAATTTTTCTGTCAAAAGTTTTTTTTGCACAGTGCAGAATTTCACAATTTATTCTGCACTGTGCAAATTTTTCCATCAAAATTTTTTTGCACTGTGCAAAAACTTCCCGCCAAAATTTTATTTTTTGCACAGTGCAAAGACGTCTGAACTGCACTGTGCACATCTTTCAGTTTTTCGTCGCAAATTTGTTTTGCACGGTGCAAAATTCTACGATAAAATCTGCACTGTGCAATGTTGCTTTTCAATTTTTTTTGCACAATGCAGAATTTCACAATTAATTTTGCACTGCGCAAATTTTTTCATCAAGATTTTTTTTGCACTGTGCACAAACTTTCCGCCAAAAATTTCATTTTTGCACAGTGCAAAGAAGTCCGAACTGCACTGTGCACATCTTTCTCTTTTTTGTCGCAAATTTTTTTTGCACAGTGCAAAATTCCACATTAAAATATGCGCTGTGCAAAAATTTTTTTATCATTAAAATTTCTTTTTTTAAAAATATCTGGGCCAAGAATATTCTCGTAATTCCCCACGCATTATCACGTCACAAACCCTGCAGCCATTAGTCATCTTGTCATGAGGCCCCATTATCTCTCTAATGTGCAAAACACAGGTCTTATTCAACCTTTTTTCCCTCTCTTCCGGTATTTAACTTTCAGATTGAGGCGGAACGAGGGGGATGAAAAGTTTGACAATAAAAAAGAGCGCGTTACCGCATTTTTTTGGTTCAAAAATTGATGGGTTTAAAAATTTTTGCAAAAAAAATTATTTTTTATTTTTTTTTTCTTTTTGAAAATTATTTTTATTTTTTAAATTTTTGATAAATTTTTACTCTGCAAACAAACAAACAAGAAAATTGTTACAAACTATCAGTCTGTCGGGAAAATAATGACACGTCAGGTATGGACTAAATATCAATTCTCGAAAGTTTTAGCTCGCGCTTTGCGGGCGCCGCCGAGATATCGAACGATTTTTGCCGCCGAGAGAGCGGCTAAAAATCTCGGTTGTTTCTGCAAAGCGCGAGCAAGAATTCTTGCATATACTAGTCGCGGAAAAAAGTCCTGGGAATTTTCGGCGACTCTGCACTGTGCACGAACCCGAAAAGTGCTTTTGCACAGTGCAATTTTGTTGATTTTGCCTTATTGTCGCGCGCGACTCCCCCGACAAATCAATTTTTCGGAGCGCGACGGAGTTTGGAGGCCGCGAGAAATTCCCAGGACTTTTTTTCCGCGACTAGTCTCTAAGAAAAAATTATTCTAACAGGGAAAGTACCCCAAGTGCGACGCTCAGATTTTGATGAAACTTGGCAAAAATTTAGAATAATTTTTTCTAAAATATATGCGAGAATCCTAGCTCGCGCTTTGCAGAGATAACCGATATTTTAAGTTCGAAAGTTGGCGAAAATTTGACACTTTTTGCCGAATTTCGGCACGAAAAGTTTTATGCCTATTTCTACCATAGTCCATATCCGACGTGTGTGCAAAATTTAAAGAAAATCTGAGCGTCGCACTTGCAGTACTAGTCCGTTCGTAAAGTCGCTGGAATGATTTCGGCGACGCGCACTGTGCAAGAAAACTCAGGGTGCGGGCGACAGCCCAAAGAAGCCTATTGAACTGTGCAAAAAGCCAAAAATTGCACAGTGCAAAGTGAACTTTCGGTTTCGCGGAGTGCATGCCGCCGGAAACATTCCAGCGACTTTACGAACGGACTAGTACTTCCCCTGTTAGAAAAGGGAAGGGTTTGGAGACATTTTGGTCCCTTCCGGGATGCAAAATGAGACGTTTTTTGCCATTGGATCCGGTCCCTCATAGTAATAAAAAAATAGAAATTGTAGTAGCAAATTTGTACTAGTCCGTTCGCAAAGTCGCTGGAATGATTTTTGGTGTTTGAACTATGCAAAAAAGCTCAGTGAGCGACGGCTCAAAAAAGCCTATTGCACGGTGCAAAAAGCCAAAAATTGCACAGTGCAAAGAAAAATTTTGATTTTCGCACAGTGCGTGTCGCAAAAATCGCTCCAACGACTTTGTGAACAGACTAGTAACATCTAATTTTTATGTTGAAAATTCTCTGCAAAACCCTTCGTCTTTCCGAGGACAACACGCTGCTTTTCCCCTAAGCCGGCCGTTCCAATGTGGCCGGGTTTCGAAACGGGCCCCAGCATATGTTGTCGCGCGCAAAACCCGATTGTTCCTGGGACCCTTCTCCTTCGTTCCTTTCCAATTCCATCGTCTTCTGGATTATAAACGATTAGGGATCTTTAAGAAAAGGGGGGCTTGCGTGAATTTCGCCAAATTTTGTAGGTTTTGGCGTGATTCAGACCGACTTTTGTACGAAAAATAATTTTGTTGTGTAAAATACGACGATTATAGCGTGAAAATATATGTCTATGAGCATTTTTTAACGATTTTTTTTGAAAAAAAAAATAAAAAATTTTTTTTATTTTTTTTATTTTTTTTTTCATTTTTCGGGCTAAAAATTTCAGTTGTAATTACTATCGAGTTGTATAATGTTTCTACAAAAAATCAGGGTTTTTCATGCAGAAACAAAAAAGTTATGAGCAAAAACTGTTTTTGTCTACCAATAAAGATGACTCTCCTCATTTCGCGTGCTCTCTCACATAGAAAACCCTTGAATAACAGTCTGTCGGGAAAATAATGTGGATTTGTCGCAGCAAAATGTTTCATCTCTTCGCAGTGGAACGCCAAATTCCCATTGTCGCAAAGCTTTCCAAAGCGCCACGAGCCCACATTATTTTCCCGACAGACTGATATCTCGGCTGTTGCGGAAAAAATAAAAAAAATTTTCGATTAAAAACCATTTTTCTAAACAGGATTTTGAATAAAAATATTTGTAAAATACGATCCAGAGCCGCAGAGCCGGTTGTTTATGTAAAAACGTTCTTCTCTCTTTTTCTGTCATATACTGGTCACCAAAATTTTCTTTCCACCTGGATCCCGGGAACTGCTGGGCCTAGAACCTTGAAATTGACCACGGAAACACTGTGGAACGGTCTGACACCATACCCAAAAAAATAGTGTCATTTACAAACGTTTTTCCAAAGTGGAAAGAAAATTTTGTCATCCCGTTTTTTGCCTTTTGCATTAAAAGTGCATCAAATGATATGATTTATTGGGTGTGGTGTTAGATTGTCCCAGGATGTTTCTGTGCCGAATTTGGAGTTCTAGGCCCAGCGGTCCCCGAGATACGAGGTGGAAAGGAATTTTTGTCAACCAGTTTACAAGCCTTCCGGAAAGTCGCCTGACCGATTTTTGACGTTTGCACTGTGCAAAAAAGTCAGGTTGCTAGCGACAGCCGAAAAAAACCTATTGCACGGTGCGAAAAGCAAGAATTGCACAGTGCAAAGAAAACTTTTGTTTTTGCACAGTGGGTGTGGCCGATTGCTGTCCGGCGACTTTCTGGGAGGGCTAGTGTTTCGGTTACCGCTGAAAAGTGGGGTCTGAAACTTTCAGGAAAACGACTTATGGCTCATTTAGAGACGCTATGCAAATTTTTGAGAAAATTTTTTTTTGAGAAAAAATTGATTTTTTAGAAAGAAAACGATTACAAATCTGTCTGGAAAATAGTGTGGATTTATCGCGCTTTGGCATCCACATTATTTTCCCGACAAGCCCATCACCGCTTTTCAACGGCTAACCGAGATTTGAAACAAAAAAAAGAAATTTTGCTGCAAAAAATCCTCATTATTTTCCCGACAGACTGATATATTTATATATATATTTATTATAAATAAAAATATTTTTATTATAAAATACGACCCAATGACGTAAAGTGGGCTTTTTATATATATTTTTTTCTATTTTTTTGGAAGTACTCTCCCACTGTTAACCACAATGTTCAAGATTTTTGCACTTCTTTTTCCAGAATTTATTATGAATATTCAACATTTTTCTCGCATTTTTCCCATTCCCTTTCTCCAACGTTCCGCAAGCTCAGCCGTTTTTATAAGTCCTTATTAATTGATGCAAAGTTATGCATTCCGAAGCGTTTTGGCCGGAAAGCCCGAATTTTTTTCTGTCCGTTTAAATGGCCACAAAAATGCTAATGTTTTGAGGGGCGCTTTGCACTACGCCTTGTCGCCATACGGCCGTTTTTTTGTTTTATTTTCAGACACTTTCGGGCTTGATTAATTACGCATACAGTGTTTGGTATCAGAGAAGGAGGATGAAACTGTTTTTTGGGGTTAAATTTTGGGGGATGATAGTAAGTTTTTACTGTAAAATTAGAGGTATTTTTAACCCGTGTGACATGTCATAAGAGCTTGAAGTGCAATGCCTGGATTTTAGTTACAGTGGCGGACCTGATCCAGTCGCAAAAACGCACCGTTTTGCATCCATGAAGTATCAAAAAAGTGGCAAAATGTCTCCCTCTCCAAGTGAACAAACTCATGATTTTAAAAACACACCGTCCTTTTTGTGAGAGCGCCCTTCAAAACGGAGCTTTTTAGATGGAAGGAGAGACATTTTGCTACATTGTCTGATACTTCAAGGATGCAAAATGGTACCTTTTTTGCCACTGGATCGAGTCCGTCACTGTAGATTTGGCGGTGATTTAGAGAAAACTTTTTTAAGAAAAATTTTAGATTTATAGCAGAAAAACACCGAGATTTTTAGGCCGAAAGGTGGCCAAAAAACGGCATTTTCTTGTCTTATGTAATGTAATATCAGTCTGTCGGGAAAATAATGTGGATTTGTCGCAGCTTGGAATCGCCCATAATCGCATTGCGACGGCTTACCGTGGCTGGAGATTCGGCCCGTGACTGCGGTGAGGCAAGACATTTTGCTGTGACAAATCCACATTATTTTCCCGACAGATTGATACTCCTATCAAAGAGGGGAATGTTTCCCCAAAAAAATTAGTTTTTTTTCGCGCAAAGTTTGCTGAGATATGGGCAAAAAAACGTTTTCTCTCTGACTGCCCTCCGCCTTTTCTGTACTCTCTCGTCCGCCAAGCTCGTTGACTATCTGCCCAAGAAAAGCATAAGCTAGAATTTTCGGAAAAAGTTCCTTATTTTGGCCACAACAAAGGCTCCGCGAACTGCGCCCAAGCTTGGGCACTAAAGTTTGGAAGAACGCTTCGACCTAGCTAACACCGAATTACTATAATAGCTCTATAGTTTTAAGGGTACCCACAAGGCTGTGACGACTCATTTAGTTCCATACGGAGGCAATAAGTTTAGTTCCGGACATGTTTCATCGTATAAAGTGTAAAATCACAGGCTGCAGCCGTTTTTGAAGGGTATGGTGGTACGTAAAAAAGAAGGTACCTCACTAGCAAAATCCATTGTCGGGGAATTGACAACGATGAATTGAGCGTGCACGCCAAATTTGGGCTAATTCCGACCAGTTTCCGCAAACTTATAAGTTGTGGCCAAAAAAAGGAACTTTTACCGAATTTTCAAAAATTTTGCGATCGCGACAAACATTGCATAGCGCAAAAAGAGGAAAAATGCATTATGCGCCGCAAAATAAAAGCTACGCACTTTTGAAAAAGCATAGCAGTGTTTCGACTCAACAACGCCTTTTTACAGAAGCCTTTGAATTTCTTCGGCCATTTTGAAGAAAACCTTGAAAAACAATGTCTTAGAGATGATAATCTTGAAAAGAGCTTCCTTTTTTCATTTTTCGAACGTTAAAAGAACAATATTTTTGGGGGTGAAGGTGCTTTCAAGTCATTTTAATTTTAAGAAAATTTGAGCCTTGCACTTGCGACACCGTACTCGTTGAAGTTTATTGTTAGTTCATTCGGGTCATAAACAAAACAAGGACTTTTGTTTTTTTACTTTCAATGTTTATTATTGACCGATAAATACTCTGCGGTCAGAGCAAATTCAAAAAGATTTTTGGTGAAAATTGGAAAAATCAAAAAGCTTTGTGACGTAGTGATCTCTGAATTTTGAATGGGGTTTTTGAGGAAAATGAGTATACGACGCTTTTCGAAAGTGCGTGGACTTTTTGTCGCGGTGAATTTTTGCCTTTGGGGCTAATGCCAAGTCGCATTGCTGACGAGAAAAGCAAATTATCAGTCTGTCGGGAAAATAACGGCGGATCGTCGCGCATCGGAATCGCCCATCATCGCTTCGCGACTTCAAGTCGCGGCTGGGAATTTGGTGCGCGATATCGGCGAGGCGAGACATTTTGATGCGACGATCCGCCGTTATTTTCCCGACAGACTGATAGCCTATGTCGCGCGATATTCGGTTGCACAGTGCATAATTTCAAATGCACGGTGCAGAATGTGGGTAAAATGTCTACGCACAAAGAAACAATCGTAGTAGTATTTACTTTCACAGTCTGTCGGGAAAATAATGTGGACATGTCGCAACAAAATACCTAGCCTCACCGAAGTCGCATACTAGGCGGGCCAAAAAGTCTTGACATGTTTTCGCACCGTGCGGGCGCATGAATTCGGTGTCGCGACGAGCTGTCGCGCGATAAAACCTTTGGCGGGGTGCGAATGAAGAACGCACTGTGCGTTGTTTACCCTTTTCAAAACAATCTTTTTTGCACTGTGCGGTGTCGCTTTGCACCGTAAATTTTTCTTGTCGCCGCGCGACAAATTGCATGCACGACGGCGCACTGTGCAGACATGTCAAGACTTTTTGGCCCGCCTAGTACCAAATCCCCAGCCGGGGCTAGCCGTCGCAAAGCGATGGCTTGCGATTCTAAATCGCCGCGACGAATCCACATTATTTTCCCGACAGACTGATATCTTGGCTGCCGCTGGAAAGTGTGGGCTGAGACTTTCAGGAAATGATTTATGGCTGATTTAGACATGACGTGTAAATTTTTGAAAAGATAAAAAGAAGTTTTTCGACCAAAAATTGGTTTTTCTAATTGGTTTAAAAAAAGGGTTTTAATAAAAAATATTTGTAAAATGCGGCACAGTTACGTGGGCTGTCTAAAACATCTTTTTTTCTCTGCTAGTCGGTTTGTAAGGTGGCTGGAGTGATATAGCCTGATACTAGGCCGTTCGGAAAGTCGCTGGAATGTTTTCGGCGACATGCACTCCGTGAAACCGAAAGTTCACTTTGCACTGTGCAATTTTTGGCTTTTTGCACAGTGCAATAGGCTTTTTTGGGCTGTCGCCCGCACCCTGAGTTTTCTTGCAACAGTGAACGTCGCCGAAATCATTCCAGCGACTTTACGAACGGCCTAGAATAACAACTTTTCTTCACTTATCTCCAAAAGTACAATAAGCTTAAGAACCCCCCAAAAAATTCGCAAATTCATCAAAACCCCAGACCTTCTCGTCTCCTTATAACATTGTTTACTGTCGCAAAACCCATTGTGTTTTACCTATGATTCCTTCCGTTCTTTCGCTAAATACTTTGTTGTTGTTATTTGGTTCTTTTGGGGATTTCGAATATTTTTATAGGCCATTGCGGGTTCGTCTTAGCGAGCGTGGGCATCGGGTTTATATGGGTAATTTGATTAGGTGCGGAATGACCAAAATCCAAGAGAATCTTGAGAATTTTTTTTGAGCGAAATGGGGGTTTTATACGTACAACAAAAGGAGGAAAGGGATTTTTTATTTTTTGGGAAATCTAAAGAGCCTTATATTAGTTGCGCTCAAAAGTTCATGCAAAAATTTGTTCGTAGTTTTCAGCGCGAGTAGTACAAAAGTACCTGAAATTCTTGGAATCTAGATTCTTGGTACAGTGACGGACCTGATCCAGTCACAAAAATCACCATTTTGCATCCGAGAAGTATCAAAAAATGTGGCAAAATGTCTCCCTCCAAGCGAAAAAACTTCGATTTCAAAAGCGCCCCCTTCTTTTTGTGAGGGACCCTTCACAACGGAGTTTTTTCACCTGGAGAATGAGGTATTTTGCCACATTTTTTGATACTTCCCGGATGCAAAATGGTACTGTTTTTGGAAAAACTTCCTTATTCTGGCCACAACTTATAACTTTGCTGAAACTTGTCAGAATTAGCCCAAATTTGGCGTACAGGCTCAAATCATCTTTGTCATTGCCCGGACAATGGACTGAGTAAGCTACCTTCTTTTTTTGCCTACCACTTTACTCTTTAAAAACGTCCGCAGCCTGCGATTTTACACTTTATACGATGAAACCTGTCCGGAACTAAACTTATTGCCTCCGTGTGGAACTAAATGAGTCGTCATAGCCTTCGTAGGTACCATCAAACCTACAGAGCTACTATAGTAATTCAGTGCCAACTTGGTCGAAGCTTTTTTTCCTAACTTTTCTTTCCAAGCTTGGGCGCAATTCGCAGAGTACCTTTGTTATGGCCAGAATAAGGAACTTTTTCCAAAAACAGTACCATTTTGCATCCGGAAAGTATCAAAAAATGTTGCAAAATGCCTCCCTCAGCTAAAAAAACCCCTGTTTTGAAGGGATCCTCACAAAAAAAGCGGGCGCTTTTGAAATCGAAGTTTTTTCACTTGGTGAGGGAGGTATTTTGCTACATTTTTGATACTTCCCGGAATCAAAATGGCATCTTTTTTTGCCATTGGATCAAGTCCGTCATTGTATGTGCCAAATTTTACACTTTTAAACAAAAAAAAAATCAAAAATTTCAAAAAAGAAAGTTCGGTCCCTCGGAAAAATAAATTTTTTTTTTTCAAATTTTCAGTAGGCGAAATCTCATTTTTCCTCCAAAAATTTCATTTTTAGCCGTTGAAATGGGGCTGGACCGGAGCAAATTTTAGCCTCTTGCTCGGGACATCTCTTATATGTGGCTCTAAATTGAAAATTTAGAGCTCAAAATTCTCCCTTTTATTTTTGTATAGTCAAAATATTTATCGCTCCAAAAACTTCCAAGAAAACGTATTACTTTCTCTCCAAGTCTGATCGAATTTTCCCAGAACGCTCCCATCCCGTTGTTATCCCCTTTATCCACGCCGTACGCAGGAAAAATATTCCCCAAAGCCCGAGCCGCTATCATCATATGTTTTATATTATGTTTTTATCGCCGAATTTTTTGCAATTTCATTCCAGGAAGGGAAGAATTTTTCACGAGAAATGCCAATGATATTCTCCAGAGAGTGATCCGCGCCGATGTAAACCGAAGTTTGAAACTCGGAATTTGACGATATTTGAAAAGGTGAGTTTTTTTAGCAAAAAACGTTTTTCAAATTTTTTTGTTTTTTCATCAAAAAATCGCCTTTTATTTGCTTGATTTGACTGCACTGTGCAAAGAATCTTTTTTCCAACCGCACTGTGCAAACGTTTTTTTTTTGTTTCAAGACTGCACAGTGCGATCATATTTTTTCCCAATTGCACTGTGCAATAAATTTTTTTGGTGATTGCACTGTGCAAAGAACCGCTTTTCCACCCGCACTGTGCAAACGTTTTTTTTGTTTCAAGACTGCACAGTGCAATCCAATTTTCTTAAAAATTGCACTGTGCATTCAATTATTTTTGGTGACTGCACTGTGCAAAAAACCGTTTTCCTCCCGCACTGTGCAAGCGTTCTTTCTTTTGTTGCAACTGCACAGTGCGACCAAACTTTTCTTCCAAATCGCACGGTGCATTCAATTTTTTTGATGACTGCACTGTGCAAAGAACCGTTTCCCACCCGCACTGTGCATACAATTTTCTTTTGTCGCCAATGCACAGTGCGACCGAACTTTTCTTCCAAGTTTGGTGACTGCACTGTGCAAAAAACTTTTCCCCAACCGCACTGTGCAACTTGCCTCCTTTCGGCTGCACTGTGCATGCAATCTTTCTTTTGTCGCCAATGCACAGTGCGGCCGGTCTTTTCTTCCAAATTGCACCGTGCAATCGATGTTTTCCCGCTGTTTGTCTTGCGCTGTGCAAAAGTTCTCTTTTTTGACTTTTTTTCTGCACTGTGCGAGAGAACATTTCTTCCAAATTGCACGGTGCGACCATCTTTTTTCTCTTTTTGCTTGCACTGTGCGGACGCTTTCTTTCGTCGCTTTTGCACAGCGCAAGGTTTTTTCAATTTCCACTGTGCAGTAAATTATTCGGCATTTTTTTTACCCGCACGGTGCAAATGGGATTTTTTCAGCTTCTTTTCAAATCTGCACAGTGCAGTCAAAATTTTCTTTTTTTTTGCCTTGCACTGTGCAAATGGTTACTTTCTATTGCGACTGCACGGTGCAGTTTCTTTTCAAATCTGCACAGTGCAATCAATATTTTATTTTTTTGTATTGCACTGTGCGAATTTTTTAAATTTTTTTTGCACGGTGCAATTAAAAAAATTTTTTTGGACTTTCATAAGCTTACCGCAGACATTTTTTTAAAATAAAAAAAATTTTTTGACCCCAAATCTTCTCAAATATCATTTATTTTGATCCAAATATCATTTTCCTACTATAAAAAATGACTATGACTGTTCGAAATTGTCAGAGATCGCTCAAAAAGCGACTCGCAAAGCTCGAAACACAACGTGAAGGTTAATTGTCGCTTTTCCCCTCGATTTACGCAATTTGAAATATACGTTTCGCTTGTCATAGAGTTTCTAAATATATAAAGTCAGTTTCACCTCCAGTAATTGTTGGTTTGAAGACTCTAAAATTGTAATTAAAATAATTTTTGCACAGTTTTCTCTCTGTTTACAGCTATTTTTAACCGAATTTCCCTCGAAAGTAGTTAAAGTTTAACTTTTCGGAAACGAGGAATCTAATTTATAAAATTTAGAATCCCCCTTCCCAAATGGAGACCAAGCATTTGCTGAATGCGGACCTGAATGCGGTCGGCTCTTCGAATCATTCCCCGCAGACCAACAACAACTCCACGCCGATCCTCGAGAAGTTCGAGAAGAATCGGTTTCTGCGGTCGAGGATGAGCTCCAGACGGATTAGGAATCGGCTGGTGCAGAAATACGGATTTGTGAATATCAGCTTGGCCAACGTGCCAAAACAGCATCGGAAGTACTTCAGGTGGGCGGATATTATTAGGTTGTTCAATATGAAATGTCGGATTTTAACCTTTAACTTTAAAACACCATAACTTTTTTTATAATAAACTTTATTAATCGAAATAAAAACCATTAGAATCAACACACCTTTGCCAACGAGAAACAAGCTTATTTATGCCGGTAGCGTAAAAATCCGGAGTTCTGGAGGCGATAAAGTCGGCAAAGGCGGTTTTGGCGTCGTCTCGGTTTTTGAAGCATTTCTCCTGCAGGAAGTTGTCCAGATGCTTGAAAAAGTGGTAGTCGGTGGGCGAGAGGTCCGGCGAGTATGGTGGATGAGGCAGAGATTTCATATTTAACAGCCTAATACTTTACGATTGAGCTGAAAGAGTTGATGGACGATGAAAAACCGTTTTTGATAGACGTTTATCAGTCTGTTGGGAAAATAATGAGCACTCTGTCGCACCGAAAATCGCATCGCCGCCGAGAAAATTAATTGAGTCGCGGCAAAATCAAATTGCTTTTCACTTCAGCGGCATGATTTTCAATGCGACAGAGTGCCTAAAAAGGCTGCCGTAGCGACATTTTTGCTCATTATTTTCCCGACAGGCTGATATATGTAAAACATAAACTACTTTCCGAAATTCCATGGCGTAAAGAATCTTTCGTATGCCATCAAGCACGCGATCTACGGCGCACGTCAAACTGAGATAAGCTAAAACAGTCCAGTGAATGGATTGGCCATTTGCCAAAAAAAAACGCGAAAAAACGTTTTGTCGGCGAAGAAATGGGGAATTTTTGGGGCGAGAGAGTACGGTTTTGCGTGTCTTTTTTCTCTCTTTCTCTGCCAAATCAAGACGAAGTGTAAAAAACCGACAGCGAAGGGCTATTTCGTTCACCGGACTCCTCAGCTTGACGTGCGGCGTGAACTTACTCTTTTTCTGCCAAGGACAAACATTTTGGAAGGACAAACATTTTTTTTTTCTAATCATGGATTCAGTATACAGATGGCAATCGGACCGGCCCAGGGCTTTTAAAATCTGCTCAGGCCCAGAAAATGCATGTTGCGGGACGCAATCCTTTTCGAAGCATTTTGCACACTGCAATTTCTTTTCGCGCGATCAAAATTCGCGTAAATCACTCCCTTATCCGATTTCAGCCGTTTTGAAAACGTTTTGGCCCGCCTTATTGTTACAGCGACATTGCGCTCATTATTTTCCCGACAGACTAATAAACCCTTTTCTCATCTTCAGGGACATTTTTACGACGGTAATCGAAACAAAATGGCGATGGTGCCTCATCTTCTTCACATTGTCTTTCATTCTGAGTTGGTCAACATTCACTGGCATGTATTATATGCTGGCATTGCATCATGGCGACTTTGAGCATAAAAACGACCCAACTTGGGAGCCGTGCATTCAAAATGGAGACTCGGTTCTGAATTTGTTCCTGTTTGCATTCACCACACAAACCACAATTGGATATGGATTTCGGTAAGCAGATTTTTTGAAAGTATTTGTTTTGAACTGTGCAGTTTTTTGGAGCAAATTTGTTTTTGCACGGTGCGATTTTTTGAGAGGATATTTTTTTGCACAGTGCCGTTATTTGGACCAATTTTTTTTTCACTGTGCATAGAAAATGTTCTTAAAAAATCGAAAATCTTTTGCACGGTGCGGTTTTTTGAACCAATTTTTTGCGCTGTGCAGTTTTTTGGACCAAAAATTTTTTGCACTGTGCGATTTTCTGAAAGAATTTTTTTTGCACGGTGCGGTTTTTTGAACCAATTTTTGCACTGTGCATAAAAAATGTTCTTAAATTATGCACAGTGCGATTTTTTGAAAAGATTTTTTGCACAGTGCGTTCTGCACTGTGCATAAAAAACGCTCTTAAATTATGCACAGTGCAGCTTTTTGAACCGAAAATCTTTTGCACTGTGCAATTTTTCGAACCGAAATTTTTTGCACAGTGCAGTTTTTGAACCGAAAATCTTTTGCACGGTGCGGTTTTTTGAACCAATTTTTTTGCACTGTGCATAAAAAACGTTCTTAAATTATGCACAGTGCAGTTTTTTGAATCGAAAATCTTTTGCACTGTGCAGTTTTTGAACCGAAGATTTTTTGCACTGTGCATAAAAAATTTTCTTAATTTATGCACAGTGCATTTTTTCGAACCGATTTTTTTTGCACAGTGCAGTTTTTTCTAACCGAAAATTTTCTGCACTGTGCTTAAAAAACGTTCTTAAATTATGCACAGTGCAGTTTTTCTAACCGAAAATTTTTTGCACTGTGCATAAAAAACGTTCTTAAACTATGCACAGTGCAGTTTTCTGAATCGAAAATCTTTTGCACGGTGCGGTTTTTTGAACCAATTTTTTTGCACTGTGCATAAAAAACGTTTTTAAATTATGCACAGTGCAGTTTTTCTAACCGAAAACTTTTTGCACAGTGCAAAAAAAAATATTCTTAAATTATTGCACTGTGCGGACCGACTTTTTCTGATCGCACAGTGCACTTTTTTAAAAATTTTTTTGCATTGTGCAGCAAATAGAAATCTCAAAAAATTGTAAAATACGGTACTTTTAATTAAAAAAAAAAAAAAAAAAGAAATATTTAGTAATTATAATAATAAAATAAAAAAGAAAAAAATTTCAGTTATCCCACCGATTCTTGCCCGTTGACGGTGATGACAATGTGTCTTCAATTTATGGTCGGAGTGATGGCTCAGACACTGATGGCGGGTGTGATTTTTGCTAAATTAGCAAGGCCAATTAAACGAGCAGCGACGATTCTGTTCAGCAAAAATGCGGTTATTTGCACGAGAGACGGAAAATTGTGTTTGTTATTCCGAGTGGGCGATATGAGGAAGAGCTCGCTGGCTGAGGCACATGTTAGGTTACAGGTGGGTGAAAAAGATTATGAAAAAATTGGAAAATTATTTTTTTTGAATTTTTGAAAAAAGAAAAAAAAATTTATAATTAATAAAAAAAAAATTTTTATAATTAATAAAAAAAAAATAGTAAAATAAAAAAATGTTTAAAAAATAGATAAAATCGGAATTTATTATTTTTTTTTTATTATCTTTCAATTTTTATATTTTTTTAGATTTTTAAAAATTTTAAAAATAATAAAAAAGTAAAAAGAAAAAAGGCTAGTAATGTTTTTTTTTTATTTGTAAAATACGCCAAATAACACGTTTTAAAATTTTCCTTCAAGAAATTGCAGGAAATAATCTTTTTCGAAAAACGGGAAAATATTTTTGATTTTTTTAATTTTCAGTATAGAAAATAAAACAAAGATAAATAAAAAATAGGTAATTCGAATTTATTTATTTTTTATTATTTTTCAATTTTGATTATTTTTTTATTTTTTTAAAAAATAAAAAAACTTTAAATAAAAAAAAATAAAATAAAAAACTATTAAAGCCTTTTTGATTTGTAAAATACGCCCAATTAAAACACTCCTCTTTAAAAAAGAGTAAAAAAATCATTTTTTTTCAGATGATTGAAAAATGCGTGACAGCGGAAGGCGAGATCCTCCCATTCCACCAATTCGATTTTTTCAGAATAAAAAATAAGAAAAAAATTAATAAAAAACAGATAATTCTAATTTATTTATTTTTTATTTTTTTCAATTTTAATATTTTTTATATTAAAAAAATAAAAAAAATAAAAAATATAAAAAAAAAATAAAAAACTTGTAAAGCCTTTTTAATTTGTAAAATACGTGCCAGAAAAAAACTTCTCTTTAAAAAAATAAACAAAAATCAAATTTTTTTCAGATGATAAAAAAATGCGTGACAGCGGAAGGCGAGATCCTCCCATTCCACCAATTCGACATGAACGTTGGCTATGACACCGGTCTAGACCGAGTGTTTGTCATCTGGCCGATAACAATTTGCCACGAAATCGACGAGTCGTCACCATTGTACGAGATGAGTAAAAAGGGTCTCAACTCCTCGCATTTTGAAATTATCGCCATTTTGGAGGGCGTTGTGGAGTCAGTTGGGTCAACAACACAAGCGAGGACAAGTTATTTGCCGAATGAGATTTTGTGGGGCAAAAGGTTCGAGAAATTGGTGACTTATCAACGGGAAAATGGAGAATATAAGATCGATTTTGGGAAATTCCACAATGTTTATGATGTGGAAACTCCGGAGTGCTCTGCCAAAGAGCTGGATGAGCTCAGGGTAGGATTTTTTTTTGAAAAAAGTTGAGATTTTTAACATTTTTCAGTTTTCGCACGGTGCAAAAAAAATATTTTTGTTTTTGCACTGTGCAATCAAAAAATTTCAAGTTTTTACACGGTGCAGTAAATTTTTGAGTTTATTATGTCATTGAAAATTATCAGTTAGAGTATAAAAATTATGTATTTTTTCATTTTTCAGTTTTTTCACCGTTGCACAGTGCAAAAACTGAATTTCAAAGTTTTGCACTGTGCAATCAAAAAATTTCAAGTTTTTACACGGTGCAGTAACTTTTTCAGTCTACTTTGTCATAGAAAAATCTTTTTCGAATATGAAAATCACGTATTTTTTTGAGATTCCAAATTTTTCACTGCTGCACAGTGCAAAAACTGGATTTCAAAGTTTTGCACTGTGCAGTCAAAAAATTTCAAATTTTCACATGGTGCAATAAATTTTTGAGTCTATTATGTTACCGAAAATTGTTAGTTAGAGTGTAAAAATTTTGTATTTTTTGAGTTTTCAAATTTTTCACTGCTGCACAGTGCAATAATTGAATTTCAAAGTTTCGCACTGTGCAGTTAAAAAACATCAAATTTTCACATGATGCAATACATTTTTGAGTCTATTATGTTACTGAAAATTATTAGTTAGAGTGTAAAAATTTTGTATTTTTTGTGTTTCCAATTTTTTCACCGTTGCACAGTGCAAAAACTGAACTTCAAGATTTTGCACTGTGCAATCTAAAAATTTCAAATTTTTTCACGAAGCAGTCAATTTTACAGTATATTGTGTTAATAAAAAATCTTGTCAACGTATAAAAATAATGTATTTTTTGAGTTTTCAATTTTTTCACCATTGCACAGTGCAAAAACGAAATTTCCAAAATTCGCACAGTGCAGCGCAAAAATCTTGCAATTTCGCACGGTGCGGCAATTTTTTCAAATTTTAAAACAGCTGAATTTTTAGCAGAGGTCTTCGGCAACGAGTTTTTAAATGATTACTCATCTCTCTAATTGCGCAGTGCAAAATTGACGATCTAAAGTTTTGCACAGTGCAGTCGGTTTTTAAATTTTTTTCGCACTGTGCGATGAAAAAAGAATAGCGAAAAATTGCTTTTGACAAAAATGGTCGCCCTCGGGCACAAAAAAAATCGAAATTTTTTAACCCAAATTTCCCCAAAAAAATCAAAAATCCTAACAATTTTTTATTTTTAGTCCCAAAACGTCTCCGAAAATGGCTTCATCGTCAAAAAATATTCCACCGAATCCATTCTTCCTCACCCAATCGACCGGATCCACATGCCCACCGCCTCGTTGCCGGACTTTCAGCATGACGACAGCGAGAGGATTGTGATCGAGCCAGCGACGGACGACGAAGAGCCGGGCGAGTTGCGAAGGCGAAAATCGTTTTTGACACTTCCCGATGGATCCGTTTATCTGCCTTCCGAGAGCCAGCGAAAACAGTCTTTTCAAGTGCGGAGGGGACCCGATTTGTTTTGAAATCGGGATTTTTTGAATGATTTTTGGATTTTTTGCTAGAAAAAATTTGAAAAATTGGGTCTTTTTTGGGGGTTGAATTGGGATTGGAACCAAAATTTGACCGATCATGTTGACCAATTTGACCGGGCAAGATGACCAATTTGCCCGGTCAAGTTGAATTTTTTTTCAGTCCGGCAAAAACCGTTTTTTTGATACCAAAATTTGACCGGGCAAATTGACCAATCTGACCGGGCAAGTTGACCAACTTGCCCAGAAAATTTGACCAATTTGCCCATCTTTACCAATTTGACCGGTCAAGATGACTTTTTTTCGATCGGGCAAATAAACAATCCTCTTGTAACCAAAATTTTCAAATTTACCTATGTAAAAAAGTTGACCAATTTTCCCAGTCAGCCCAGTAAATTGTCCAAATTCAAAAAAAAAAAAGATTTTTTGACGGTTTCATAAACTACTTGGTCGATTGTACCCGGTCAGATTAGGTCAAATTAACCGGTCTTTTCTTACCAGGCAAGTTGACCAATTTGACCGGTTGGGTTGACATTTTTTTGATCCGGCAAATAAACCGTCCTTTTGGAAGCAAAATTTTCAAATTGACCAATATCTTGACCTGGCAAGTTGACCAATTTGTCCAACTTGTCCAATTTGCCCAGGCGGCCCAGTAAACTGCCCAAATAAAAAAAGAGGATTTTTTGACAGTTTTACCGAATATTTGGCCTATTATAGCCGGTAACATTTGGTCAACTTCCCGGTCAAGTTGACCAATTTGCCCAACTTGTCCAATTTGCCCAGTCAGCCCGGTAAACTGCCCAAATTCAAAAAAAAAAAAAAAAAAAAATTTTGACGGTTTCATAAACTACTTGGTCGATTTTATCCGGTCAGATTTGGTCGAATTGACCGGTCAATTTCCAATCCCCAAACAAGGCTCATCGTCGTATTTTACAAAAATTTTATTTCCCCTGAAAATTCCACCTTCTCCTCCAAAAAACTTTACTCAATTTCCGCACGGGTTCCGCGCGACATTCGTTGCAAACTGATCACCCCGTAACAGAGCATTACAATTTCACACTTCTCTGCCCCCCGACTCCCATCGAATACTTTCCACAAAACGGTTCACTTGTACATATACGTCTTTTACAGAGTTTACCCTCATCTTCGTGAGTTTTATGCGTTTTTAATAAATCTTTATTATGTTTTATGTAAATTCATTGGAAAATAAGTTGAAAAAACCTTGTTATTGACCATAAGGTCTATTTTTCCATATACTTTTGCTGAGTGTGTTGATGAAACATCTGAAGGAAGACTTGCTGATAATACTGCAGGCTCGGCAAGGGAGCTGGGAACGGCGGCGGGGATCTGAAGGTGAATTATATATTAGAAAAGAAGCGAATATTTTATATAAATACGAAACCATTCCCTCAGTTAACTCAATGGTAAAGGTTCCGCAGACCACCAAAAAACAAAAAAGTATATAGAAGACTTCAGCGTATAGTCATACCATCGCACAGTGCAATTTTCGAAAAATTAAGCTTTTGTGTCTTGCACCGTGCAAAAACAAAAACTCAGTTTTTGCACAGTGCAGTAGCAAGATTGACAATATTTTTACAGTGTATAGAAGATTTCAGTGTATAGCCACTCTATGCTATGTAAAAATTCAAATCGCACAGTGCAATTCTCGAAAAATTAAGCTTTTGTGTCTTGCACTGTGCAAAAACTCAAAACTGAATTTCCGCGCAGTGCAATAGAGAAGTATAATTTTTTGTGGAAATAAAATCATACAGAGGTTATTACTTCATTTTAACCCACAAAATGTGCTATTCCACTTTGCAGTTTTTGAAAAAATGAAAATCTGTCTCTTGCACTGTGCAAAAACAAAAACTTTTTTTTGCACAATGCAATGGGCAAATACCAATTCTGTATTAAAATAGTATTATTGGAAAGGGCCTGCTATGTTATTTAAAGCCATAAAATGCTTGATTGCACTGTGCAGATTTCCAAAAAATGGAAATCTTTCTCTTGCACTGTGCAAAAACAAAAACTCTGTTTTTGCACAGTGCAAGTAGCAAGATTGAGAATATTTTCAGAATATATAAAGGTTTCAGCGTATAGTCACCCCATGCTATGTAAAAATTCAAATCGCACAGTGCAGTTTTCGAAAAATTAAGTTTTTGTGTCTTGCACTGTGCAAAACACGAAATTTTTCGCCTCTTCGAACTTCCTAAATTTCATCAAAATCTGAGCGTCGCACTTGAAGTACTTCCCCTGTACACGGATTTTTAAAATACGAACTTCTTCCCCTTACCAACACAAACTTTTATAGCAACTCAAAATTCAATCTCCATCACTTTCCCTCATCCCTTTGACCGTTTGTTTATTCCCTCTCTAATCAAAAAATCTGTTTATCCGCAAAAAATGGGGCCGCGAATTGATTTCAAACCCAAAAATCGCGAAACCAATGCGGACAATGGGAGCTGTGGGAGCGTTATCAATGTTAAACCTGCTTCAGGTGGCACTACTGCCCACCGAAAAGGAGATCAACGACGATTACGCGCAAGTGAAGAAGGCCAGAGAGAGCCTGATGAACTTGTTCATGCAGCCCGAAGTGACGTCACCGCCGGGCCGAGGAGCCATTGAGTTGGATACGTTTGTGATTGCGGACCATTTGAGGAAATTTGTGAGTGGTTTACGATAATGGTGGCTAGTATTTTCACAAAAATCTCAGTCTGTCGGGAAGATAATGAGCACAATGTCGCTGCGCAAGTTGTGTCGCTGAAGTGAAAAGCAATTTGATTTTGCCGTGACACAATTCATTTTATAGGTACCATTGTGATTTTCGATGCGAGAGAGTCCTCATTATTTTCCCGACAGACTGATAGTATTTTCATAAAGTACATGGACATTTTTCGCGTTCCGCCCCCGTTTTGCACCGTGCATTTCACCTTTTTTTCTTTCGTAATTTGCACAAAGTATCGCTGCGAATGACGTGGTGGAGCAAGTTTCCACCATGTCACTGCGTCGGTGCCAGGAATTTGCACAAAAAATGAGTGGTATCAATTACTAAAAATTCTAGCTTTGCAGAAGTATATATTTTTAGCAATCTTCGTCGCCGAGGGACTACGAAAAATGCGTGGAGCGGTTAATAGAAAAAACGTTTTTTGGCCAGATCTTTGCCAATTTTTCCGGTGAAAAAGGTTATTTTTTGCTCTCTGCAATAGAATTAGGAGGGGCTTATCACCAAAACTCGCTAAAAAAATGTAAAATTTTCTTCAATTTTTGTCCCGAAAATCTCGGTCGTTCCTTCAAAGCGCAATCTAGGTGTTCCGCTTATGTCCTGCATTTGAGACATTTCGTTTGTCAACGGCTCCATTTAAAAAAATGTAGGTCAAAAACAGGTAAAAAAATAGTAAAATTTAAACTATCCAGAGGTCTCGTTTTCTAGGCAGTTTTGTCAAGGTTCCCATGCAAAAAATAGTATCTGCAAGAAAATTCTTCGACGCAATCTTTTTGAAATTCGTTTTACCAGAGCTGGGGGATCCCTAGATCCTGCCGTGGTCGCCATGTCAAGACCTTGGTATAGGTCAAGTAATAAAGGTCCCTAATCTAGTTCTACCTAAGATCCCAAGCCCTATGCGAACACGAAGACAACGACTATTCAAACAAGCGACAATACAACTAACTATGCCCTAGGCAACAACTTCACAAATGAACTCACAATGCTTGACTCCACCAACACAAGAGACCATACACAAATCAATAGACAAATAGTAAATACAGTAGACTTTATTGGACACAACCGCATAAGCGGGAAAAGACAAAACACAAAAATAATACTAATAATTGGCGATTTCTCTTCCTTTTGTACCAATTTGTCGCTCATTCCGTGGGAATATGCAAATTCGCACGCGAAGTCGTGACAGTGTTCATAGCAGGGTACATAAAATCCCCCATCGTATTTTAAAATTTACCTTTTTTTATAATTTTTTTACTTTCCCAACGAAATTTTTCAAATTTTCAGGATGAATCGGATCTCTCGCTGAGCATGGACGCGACTCTCCTCACCAGTTGGACTGACCAGCGGATTTCCTGGGAGCCGCGGGATTTCGGGAATATCAATGAAATCGCCGTCACCGGCTATGACATCAACTTGTTTTGGGTGCCTCCGGTGGAGATCAAGTCGATTTTGCCGATCCGCAAAACGATCATGACTCCATACAACACTGAGTTGATGATAAAACATGACGGAACAGTGCTGGCGGCGAGCAAAATCTCGGTGAAAATGGCGTGCGAGTCGGACTTGGAGAACTATCCGTACGACAAGCCGAGTTGCTCGCTGTACCTGACCTATCGCTACTTCGAAAGTCAGAACTACACTTTTGGCGATAAACATATTTTTATGGACCGCGAAACGGTCGCCGGCTGGAACAACATGACTGTTCATGCCGCCTACAATGTGGTGAATATGACTGCCACCCGGTATTATGTCACCGGCCTGGGCGTTACCACGGATTATGTCAAGTACAAGAAGGGAGAGCCGGTCACAAAAGCCATCGGAACTTTTGTTCAGTACCAGTTTCAGATCGAGAGAAATCATGGCTATTATATTCATCATGTGTTGTTACCTCTGTATTGCGGAACGCTGTAAGTTTGGAGCGATAAAATAAAATTTTTGGAGGAAACATGGAAAAAACGGGGGAATGGACTTTTTGATGAGAAAGTTGGGGAAAAAGTCATCTTTTTTTGATAAAAAGTTGTAGAAAAAATTGATCGGTAAGGCCTGCAGATTAATTATCTAGGTTTATTATGGTTTACACAGCGTATTTTACCTTAAAATCATCAAAAATCATGATTTTTTGCAATTTTTCGTTCTTTTCGAGAGAAAACGGTTATTTAATTAGCTAGATGCTATGTACGTTCTAAACAACGTATTTTACCTTAAAATCCTCAAAAATCAAGGTTTTTTTGCAGTTTTTCGCTCTTTTCTAGAGAAAACTGTTATTTTTTGCAAAAAGCTCATTTTTTGATAGAAAATAGTATAAAAAATGATTGATGAGATTTGTAGGTTACTCAGGCATGCCCTATTTTTGTTTACCGCACCGTATTTTATCTCAAAATCGTCAAAAATCTAGATTTTTCGCGGTTTTTTACTATTTCCTAGATAAAACTTTTTTTGCAAAAAGCTTTTTTTGATATAAAATAGTATAAAAATTGATCTGTAAGGTTTGTAGACTGATTAACTAAACAAGAGAAAATTCGGTGTGGCGTATTTTACCTTAAAATCCCCAAGAATCAAGATTTTTTGCAATTTTTCCCTATTTTCTAGAGAAAACTATATCTTTTTTTGTAAAGAACTATCTTTTTTTGATCTATCTTTATCCCTGAAGACTCTAGAAGCCATTCTGCTACTTCACCTTTTTTCCTAAACTGTATTTTACATCATTCAACCAAAAATTCCGGAGTTATTTCAGTTTATCAACACTTTTAATCGAAAAATTTACATTTTAGCCCGCAGTAATTTTGTTTGGACCCTATTTCTAATAACACTTTCATACAATTTGCGTATTTTACACTTCCAACCCATAAAACACAAAAAAATCCGGCGTGTTCTTCACAAATTTTAGTGGAGACCATTTCTCTCATGACCTCTCTCACGGGGAAAAAACGCGCCCGAAGAGAGCCAATGAAAAAGACGAGCGGACTCGAACAGGCCCGTGTAGCTCAGTGGTTAGAGCGTCTGTCTCGTAAACAGAAGGTCCTAGGTTCGAATCCTGGTTCGGGCAATTCCCTTTTTAGCCCAATTTACAATCAAAATTACCATGTAAAAACATGGTAAATAATGTTAAATTTTAGATTATCACTTGTGGGAGCATCCCTAATCAATTTTTACAACAGTATGATGATTTTGTTGTTCGCTTTGCTCTATTTAATCATCACTTTGGCGAGAATTGCGGCAAATCTCCCGCCCAACTACGAAATCACCCCGTATTGCAGTAAGTTATGTTGTATAAAGTGGCTCAAAATGTTTTTAGTGACTTATGGCACCATGATCTTTGCGGAAGTCGTATTCTTTATTGGGTATAAGATCGGGTTGGCACTTTATTTGCGGAAAACCACGCTGAAAGGCGAAGAAATGTCGAAAATTCAACTTGCCGAGCGATTGTTCCGATATTATTTATTTCTACATGCATTGTTAAGCTATTATCTACTATTCTTCTAAGATTTTGTGATGTTTTGACTAATAAATTTGAGGAAAAAATCGATTTTAACCCCGTTTTTGACCAAAAATCGAGATTTTTTGAAGAAAACTTGAAATAAAAATAAAAATCACCTTTGTTGAGCCATCCAAATGGCCTGTAGATTGGCCATGTACTGCTCCGTTCCTCGAGCTTTACCCTCCGGCTTGGTTTTTGTCTTATAACGGCGGTTTTGGAACCAAATCTTCACCTGTTGTTGGCTCAAATTCAGTAGACTGGCGAGGAAAGCGCGACGTTCCGGGGAAACATAGCGATGCTGGAAGAACTCGGCTTCCAAAATGTGGACTTGAAGGGCTGTGAAGGTGGAGCGGCGACGTTGTGATTTGAGCAGGTCGGAAGAGGGGGAGGCACTGAAAGAATTGCAGGGAAATATAATATGTAGTATGAAAATATGTAGAGGTTTTTTGGATGAAAAAGAAGGTTGAGCCTGAACTCTCCCCCATTTTGAAAACTGAAAAAAACGAGGTGTGACATGTTATACGATGGAAATTCTTTTCAAATTGAGAAAAATTAGATGTCACATGTTATACGATGAAGATTTTTTTTCAAATTGAAAAAAATGAGGAGGGACATGTTACATGATGGAAATTTTTCAATTTGAGAAAAATTAGGTGTGACATGTTATACGATGAAGAATTTTTTTCAAATTGAAAAAATGAGGGGTGACATGTTACACGATGAAAAATTTTTTCAATTTGAGAAAAATTAGGTGTGACATGTTATACGATGGAAATTTTAACAAATTGAAAAGAATAAGGCGTGACATGTTATACGATGCAATTTTTTTTCAAATTGAAAAAAATATGGTGTGACATGTTATACGATGCAATTTTTTTTTGAAAATTAAGATGTCACACCCAATTTTTCTCAATTTGAAAAAACTTTCTTCGTATAACATGTCACACCTCGTTTTTTCAATTTTCAAAACGAGGGGGAGTGTTCAAAAAAGAGGAGAGTATTATTTTCCCGACAAACTTATACCATGAAAATACGGTGCAATCTCCACAAAAAACTTTTGCATTACAAAACCTCGCTATAACGAACAACTTCAGCGGTAAAAGTCAATCTTTGGTAAAAACGAATCTCCGTACAACGAAACTCCTCTATAACGAATAGTTTTTATTTTTCTTGCGATTTGCTGTGCAGAGGTTCTATCGTATAGCCAAAAACTCCACTTACCTTTCCCTCTCCAAATTCCCCATATTTTTCTCCAAAATCGAGTCAATCGTAAAATTACCACTCAACTTCTCCACAGTACCGCTCATCCCCATCCAAGTTCAACTCCAATTCGGTGGCCAAGCCGACGTTTGTCTCGATTATGGCCAAGAGATGATGAGTCTTTTGGCGGCCACATCTGGTTGTTAACATTGCCGCACTGACTAATTGCCAACCCGGTTGTATAAAGAGAGAGCGGCGGCATTAAAGTTGTTGGCGAAGATGCGGGCTGATCGGCCTTTTGATTGGCCTCGGGGCTTGGCCAAATGGTTTGGAGGGCTGGGAAGAGAGCGTAGGGGATACTGTAGTTTTATGAGGTGTCTGGAAATGAATGGAAATTGAGGGGAGAGAGGGGGAAAGGAGGGTTACCGGGAAAAACATGGATTTATGGATTTTTTGGCAACACAATTTTGCAAATTTATTTTTGAAAGTTTGATAAATATACCAGGGAAAGTAGCCGGACTGATATTCAGCGTTTGGTGCGAAAAATGTCAGGGTGCGAGCAACAATAGAAAAAAGTCTTTTCCACGGTGCAGAAAGCTAGAAATTGCACAGTGCAAAAAGGCCTTTCAGCCCCCTAGGAAGGGTAATTCAAACCCCCATTGTTTTGCCCGTTTCAAATCACCCATAATGAAAAACTTAGAGCAATACAAAAATGCAAATTGGAGCCCCAGTATCCCTCCACACTGGGGCCCGGACCTTTGTTTTCGCACAGCGAATGCCACCAAAGTCATTCCAGCGAGTTTGCGAACGGAGTAGTACTCCATATGGGTTAAAATTAACAGGGGAAGTACTCCAAGTGCGACGCTCAGATTTTCTTTACATTTTGCACACACGTCGGGTATGGACTAAATATCAATTCCCGAAAGTTTTAGCTCGCGCTTTGCGGGCGCCGCCGAGATATCGAACGATTTTTGCCGCCGAGAGAGCACGCTAAACGTGGAGAGCGGTCAGAGAGAAAACCTCTTTTTGGCCATAACTTTGGCAGTTTCGTGCGGAAAAATTTGATTTTTGGTAAAAAAATTATCCTTTACGGTATAAATAGGCATGAAACTTTTCGTGCCGAAATTCGGCAAAAAGTCCTAAATTTTGGCCGACTTTCGATCTAAAGATCTCGGTTGTTCCTGCAAAGCGCGAGCTAGGATTCTCGCATATATCTTAGAGAAAATTATTCTAAATTTGTGCCAAGCTTCATCAAAATCTGAGCGTCGCACTTGGAGTACTTCCCTGTTAGAAAGGGAGGTATTTTGCTACATTTTTGATAGTTTCCGGATGCAAAATGGTCGGTTTTTCGCCACTGGATCAGGTTTTCCACTGTACTGATCCGTCATGAAAGTCGATGGTCTGTTTTTTGAAGATTGCATTGTCCGAAAAATTCCATTACTAGCCACTATTTTCCCGACAGACTTTGATAAATTCTTCCACTAATTCGCGACGCAATTTATTTCCTCAGCGGCAATGCGATTTTCGCTGCGACAAAGTGCTCATTATTTTCCCGACAGACTTATATCTTTACTACATGGTAACTGCCACCGTATTTTAGATTGAACTTTTCTTTGCCATCAGTTTGAATTATCGTATTTTACCTTAACTGATTACACCAAAACAACATAAATTTGCTTGGCGTTTACCGAGTTTATTTCGGCCCTAAACAAATTAACCAGTGGCCGGAAATCCATTAAATATGTTCTTCATCTGGCCCCCTTTCCTCTCGCGATTTTACCGCCTACTTGCGGCGGCGTTTTGAAGTGTGCCGAGAGGGTTACGGTAAGTGGCATTTGCCGTGTTTTTATTCAATAAAAATCATCTTTTTTTGGTACGTATTTTACAAAATCAAAAAAAAAATTTTTTCCTAATTGAAGTATGAGGCTTCGGCTTCATTCAGAAAATATTTTTTCTTAAGATTACTGTACTTTTCCGGCTGTTTTTGACAAGTTTATTAAAATTGCGGGAAATTTCGGGGAAAAAAAGTAAATTATCCGCTTGAAAGCGCCGAAAACGGGCGACAAATACTTCAGATTTCTCATATGACATCTCAGAGAAGCCCTGAAGGGATTTCAATTAAATTTTTTTTGAATTTGACTGCTACTTACTTTACATTACTTTACAATTACTACTTTGTAAATTACAATTTAACTTTTTGAAAAGTGGTAAAAATGGAAAATGTGGAACAAAATGGATACAACTCGGTAAAATACGATCTGCCACCTTGAGATTTAGCATTTTCTCGCCTAAAATACGGATTTTTTCGAAAAAAATTTTTTTAATTTTTTTGAATTTTTTCATTTTTTTGTCGTATTTTAGGCAAAAATAAGGTGAGAACACTTATGATAAGCCTTCAAAATCAACGTTTTGGCATTTTTTTTGACTAAAATACGGGTTTTTTTTCGAAAAATTTTTTTTAATTTTTTTGAATTTTTTAATTTTTTTGTCGTATTTTAGGCGAAAATAATGTGAAAAAAATTATGAGGGGCCTTCAAAATCAACGCGTTGGCATTTTTTTCGCCTAAAATACGGATTTTTTTCGAAATTTTTTTTTTATTTTTTTGAATTTTTTCATTTTTTTGTCGTATTTTAGGCAAAAATAAGGTGAAAAAAACTTATGATAAGCCTTCAAAATCAACGTTTTGGCATTTTTTTGACTAAAATACAAAGAAAAAAAAATTTTTTTTGATTTTTTTTTTTGAATTTTCAAAATTTTCAAAGTCGTATTTTAGGCCTGGCAAGGTGAACAAACCTATGATGACCCTCAAAAAGCAATTTACCCACAACAAAATTGGCAACCGAGCAATGAAATGGTCGAAAATAACGAGGGATTATATGGTAGGTCTAGTATAATATAATTCAATTTTTTGATGTAAAAAAATAAATTGATCTAACTAATTTCAGATTCAGAAGAAAAACGGCCAGCCAATGTCCGGGAACGCCGGCGAATGTGTGGAATAAACGTCGCGTTTTTGGTAAAAAATTGATTTTTTGGTTTGCACGGTGCGAAATTTTATTTCTTTTTTTTTTCAAAAATTGCACTGTGCGGGTCATAAAATGGCAACGCAGTAATGTCAAAAAAACTTTTTTGTGGTTATTTTTAAAATACGTGGGTTCTTGCAAGTATTTTTTATCGCACAGTGCAAAAAAAAAATAATTTTTATGTTTCGCACAGTGCGAATTTTTTTTTGAAAAATTGCACTGCGCGGATTCAAAAGTGGCAAAAACGTAATGTCAAAAGAATTTTTTTGTGTTTATTTTTAAAATACAATTCGTTTGGTTAGTGTCTTTTTTCTCGCACAGTGCAAAAAAACAATTTTGATTTTTCGCACAGTGCAAAAAATTTTTTTGAAAAATTGCACTGTGCGGGTCATAAAAGGGCAAAAAGTGCTGTCAAAAAATCACCATATGATCATTTGTAAAATACGTTGTTCTGGTAAGTGTTTTTTTCGCACAGTGCAAAAAATTTTCTTGAAAAATTGCACTGTGCGGGACATAAAATGGCAAAAAAGTGATGTCCAAAAAAATATTTTGTGATTATTTGTAAAATACGTTGTTCTGATTAGCGTTCTGTATTGTACAGTGCAAAAAAATAATTTTGACTTTTCGCACGGTGCAAAAAATTCTTGTGAAAAATTGGACACTTCCGATGCAAAAATGGCAAAAAAAATGTTGTCAAAAGTCACCTTATGATCATTTGTAAAATACGGCTGCTCACACTATTGGTTTTTTATCGCACAGTGCAAAAAAATAATTTAGATTTTTCGCACAGTGCAAAAAATTTTTTTCAAAAATTGCACTGTGCGGGACATAAAATGGCAAAAAAAGTGATGTCAAAAAAATATTTTGTGATTATTTGTAAAATACGCCGGCGGATACAAGTGATTTTTTACCGCACAGTGCAAAAAAAATAATTTTCATTTTTTGCACCGTGCAAAATCTTTTTTTGAAAAATTGCACTGTTCGGATACAAAAATGGCCAAAAAAATATTGTCAAAAAATCATTGTATGCTTATTTGTAAAATACGGAGTCATAAATTTTGCTTTTTTCGCCAAAAAAAATTAGATTTTTCGCACAGTGCAAAAAAAATTTTATTAAATTGCACAGTGCAAGGATAAAAATAATTCTTTTTGCACTGTGCTGAAGCAAAAAATACATTTTTTAGAGGCAAAAAATATATTTTTCTCAAAAAACGGCAGGCGTATTTTAGGACCTTCGCAACAAAATCCCCACCTTCCCCTACGAAAAGAGGCTCTCCAAGATTGACACGCTGAACTTGGCCATCGCTTACATAAATATGTTGGAAGAAATCTTGGAGACGGATGTGGACCCACACACGTTTGTGCAGAATACAGTGAACATGGTGAGAAATGGACAGGAAATTAAGACGGTTTGGGGGACTAGCGGTGAGTTGCGATTACATTTTTCATAAAAAAAAAAAAAAAATATTTTTTTATTTTTTATCAAAGTTGTTCTGTAAACATTAATTAATGGCCACACAACATTTTTTCATGCCCAAAAATGATTTTGAAACCCAAAAGAAAATACTTTTTTTCAGACCTAATGGCCCGACTAAATTGGATCCGCTGGGATTTGCTGGGAATGGCACCGGTTCGCTAAGCATCCACAGTTCATTTATAATGTCTATGCTGTAATTTAAACAGCATTTTCATTATCCGTCATTTCAATTTTGAGATTTTTTGATAAAAAATTGAAAAAATTTGAATTTTTGCCAAAATTTTTGATTTTAGGGGATTTTAAGGTAGTAGACAACAGTTTGGCTATAAAATAGTATTTGAAATGACCCTATCATAGTGTCAGCTATATAAAAAATATTTTCATTACAATATACAATGTTTATTTAACGATTTATGACCAATAAATAAGAAAAAATCAAAAAAATTTGGGAAAAATCTCATTTCGTAAATTTCAAAAAACTGATGTTAAGTACAACGTTAATTCTTTCTCTAGTAAATTCTCAAAGCCTTCGACTACATTTTAACATCAAATCCGGCCTTTATGGCCCACTAAAAGCCCGTTGTTTTTGGCCGAAAAGTTGCTCCACCCCATTCAAAAACGTGTTGATATTCAGTGGGTCGTCCGGATTGGAGCATCTCAATCCACCGATGAAACTCGATTGTTTGTAGCCGCATTGGCATTGACACAACCCGAAACGGCATTCCGCGAATTCGGGGCATTGCTTCGAAGACAAACAGCGGTCTCCGAGACTTGACTTCACAAGACATTTATCGGCCATGGGAACCTCGTCGATTGGACAGGTCTTCACGCAAGAGGGGAAACGGTCGTCGTTGGACTGAAAAATGGGAAAAATTGAGGTCTTGGAATAATTTATTTTTCAAAAAAAAAAAAAAAAAAAAAAAATTTTTTTTTAATTTTTACCTTGGTCCCCCCTTACCATTTTTTTAGACCTCATGACAAAAAATCCTGGGAATTTTCCGCGGCTTCGCACCGTGAATTTCGGCCCATAAAATCCTGTCGCGACATGTCGCAGAAACGGTTTGTCGCTAGCGACAAACGGGAATCGCGCGCGACAAAGTGCAAAAAACGAAATTGCACTGTGCAAGTGGTCTTTTCACTCACTTTTCGGGGCGGTTCACTGCAGGATGAGCCAAGTCTTTCCCCTTGGGTGGTCAACTCTTCCTCCCAAAATTTTGTTTTTGTCAAGATTAATATAAACTTCTTCATGTTTTAATCTGCATGTTTCGACAGGACAATAACCCCACAAGTAAGTCAAGTTATCCCTCTTTCTCACTAAGCAACAATTTTTTGCATTACATAAGTTTATCCTTGCACATTTAGCCATTGTTGCAGGTATACAAATTTAGCTGAATGCTGTTCGTTCTTGCGATTCCATGAACGAAATTTGAAAGTCTTCCCCACAAAAGAACCGACGTCGAGCCTTCTTCGTGCCAGAATTGTTTCAGCCTGAAAGGACTTACAGTTTTTTTGTTGATTCGATTTTCGATATTACACTAGGTACTTTTATCAAATTGCAGGCAAAATCTAACGTTTTTGAAGTTTAACCCCGGGAATCTACAAAGGTGAGCCATTACTAAACCGTCCCCAACATAAATATTCTTTCAAACCCGGGTTTGAGATGTTTTAGGGTCTACGTGATCAAGTATAACGTGGATCTAAAAAAGTCAAAAATACCTCGCATGCTGTTCTAAACATGTTTTAGACCGACTAGGGACCTTTGAAATATGGTTTGCGAAGTATTAATACGCATCTATGGCCGCAGATACATCAAAGTTGTTCCATGCCTAAAATCGGGAAAAAATCAAAAACGACAATAAAAGGGGGGAAATCACTGTTACGACGTTAAGAATGTTAAAAGAAAGTTTTATTGTCCATTTAGACCATATATGACGTAAAACGTGACCTAATCTCGTCTTAAACTTACGAGAGTACCTAGTGTAATATCTAAAATCGAATCAACAAAAAAACTGTAAGTCCTTTCATGCTGAAACAATTCTGGCACGAAGAAGGCTCGACGCCGGTTCTTTTGTGGGGAAGACTTTCAAATTTCGTTCATGGAATCGCAAGAACGAACAGCATTCAGCTAAATTTGTATACCTGCAACAATGGCTAAATGTGAAAGGATAAACTTATGTAATGCAAAAAATCATTGCATATTTAGAAAGAGGGTTAATTTAACTTACTTTTAGAGTTATTGTCCTGTCGATGTATGTAGATTAAAACGTAAAGAAATTTATATTAATCTTGACAAAAAAGAATTTTGAGAGGAAGAGTTGACCATCCAAGGAGAAAGACTTGGCTCATCCTGCAGTGCGGTTGCACGGTGCAAAATGTTTTTCCAAATTATCGCGCAAAATGCACAGTGCAGAGTCGCAAAAAATTCCCAAGACTCTTTTGCAGCGAGCAGCACAGTGCAAGTTTTAGTTTTCCGCACTGTGCAAAAAATAAATTGCACTGTGCAGATCGTGGGATTGACAAAAATAAAAAAAAATTTTTCCACTGTGTATTTTAGATCTTAATGAATCTTTCAGACACAAAATTTTTTTTATTTGCAGTCATTGCACAGTGCAATTACCAAAAGTATTATTTGCACTGTGCAAAAAAGAAAATTGCACAGTGCAGATCGTAAATTTGAAGAAAATGCAAAAAAACTTTTTTACTGTATTTTTTAGCCTCTACTCAATCGTCCGGCATCAAAATTTTTTTCTATGTATCTCATTGCACTGTGCAATCTTAGAAAAAATACTTTGCACTGTGCAGTAAAAATTGAAATTTTGCACCGTGCAAAAAAAGGTAAACTAGTCCGTGTCGTATTTTACAATTTTTACAATGACATTTTTTATTGTTAACTTTATTTTTGGCACGGTAATTTTTTCAAAAAAAAAAAAAAAAATTTTTTGAAATTAAAAAAAATTTTTTTTCAAAAATCTCGAAGATCGAATTTTTGATGATTTCTTCACGTATTTTACCCTCAAATCTTCCCCACTCACCTCTCTGAATCCCAATCTGCATCTGCATTGCCCATTCAAACACTGCATACTAACCCCTCCTTCGCACTGTGCATCGTCCTGACAAGGGTCGTCGCGGTGCGCCACACTCAAACACTGCCCATTACTGTAGATGGGGGTGGGATCGCGGCAGGGCAGTGGGCAACACAGAGAGGCTTTCCAGCCGGGCTCACTGACCGTGAAACAGAAATGCGTCAATTTCCGGCACTTTTGCTCTTCCGGAGAGGCCGCGTCACAGGATTGACTGAAATTATGTTGTTTAAAGTGGTTTAAAATACGGTTTTCATAGAATTTACGGTTTAAAAACAAAGAAAAAAGTTTTTTTTTTAATCTAAAATCATCAAGATTTTTCTGAATTTTTGATTTTTTTCTTGCACTGTGCAAAATTTTTTATTCTAAATTTTGCAAAAGATACGAAGAAAAGTGACGATTTAGAAGAGTATTTCACAATTCTACATTACTATATGTAATGTCAAAGTATTTTTTTATTTTATTTTCGCCTAAAATACGATTTTTTACAACTTCTTTTTGACTGCACTGTGCATCGGAAAAAATTTTTTGCACGGTGCAAAAAATTCTTTTTTGTTATTTTCGCAAAAAAATTTAGTGAAATATGTTGATTTAACAGAGTATTTTACAATCCTACATTGCTATTTGTAGCCTCAAAATATTTTTTTAAATTTTTTCTTTCCTAAAATACGACTTTTTCCAATTTCTTTTTTGACTGCACTGTGCATTAGGAAAATCCTTTTGCACAGTGCGAAAAAAAAATGAAAAAACAAAATTTCAAAAAACAAAAAATTACAGTAACCTACGTCAAGTCCGGATCGCCATACGGGCATTTTAGCCGACAGCAATGACCAATGTAGGGCGATCCATATGTCACACATCTGAAGCCGGTTGGACAGGAGTCAGTGGTGGCCGCATTGTCCAGCATATCAACGTCGTTGATGAATAGCCTCCGGCAGGATTGGCGGGGGTGCATTCCATCGGGACAGGCTGGAAATTTTAAAAAAATAAGCCATTTTTTTGTAAACACGGATTTTTTGAGCGAAAAAGAAAAATTTTTTTTTTTTCAGTTTTTTGATTTTTTTTTCAAGTCTCGGCACCTACTAGCAAAACACTTGTTCGTCGCGGGATCCCGATGTGCTCCAGGGGTGCATTGACAGGTATTGGCGATGCAGGCATTGAAAGGGTCGACGCAATGCGAATCCTTCTCACATTGTTGTCCCCAATGAGCGACTCGGGTGCATTCGACCCCATAGAGTTGCTGACCGGGTGGGCAAGCTGGAAAAAAATATATTTTTTTTATACTTTACATTACTTTAGCCGTCAAAAAAAAACAAAATTTTTTGTTTTTTTGCACAGTGCAAAGAAATTTTTTTGGCGTTGCACAGTGCGGTGGATAAAAATTTTTTATTTTAAAAATTCGTATTTTAGGATGAGAAAAGGTCTAAAAAGTTGTTCTAAAAGAGAGATTAGGTTGTGAAGACGGGTAAAATACAAAAATTTTTTGATTTAATTCCATGAAAATTTCAAAAAAAAATTTTTTTTGATTTTTTTTGCACAGTGCAAAAATTTTTTTTTGGCGTTGCACAGTGCGGCGGATAAAAATTTTTTATTTTAAAAATTCGTATTTTAGGATGAGAAAAGGCCCAAAAAGTTGTTCTAAAAGAGAGATTGGGTAGTGAAAAAACGTAAAATACGACAATTTTGGCTGTATGTATGATATACGCCGCTGAAAAATTGAAAATAAAATCTTGCACAGTGCAGAAAAATTCTTTCCTAAAACTCTCTTTCTGGACAAAATGGTGGCAAAAAAGAAAAAAAAAACAATTGAAAAATGCTTTGGAGAGTTGTAAAATACGCACAATATAATTATAGGGTTCGTGAAATCTCTGAGAAAGCTTTTATTTTAGTGATCTCATCTTTGCACAGTGCATGAAAAAAATTGTAAAATATTTAAATTTTCGTGAGAATAAAGCAAAAAAATGACGTTAAATTGATCGTAAAGAACTCGTTTCATGGTAAAATACGCTCAAAATATCGTTTCTGTCTTTACGAATGAATTTTTCATGCACCGTGCAAAAAATAAAATTTCTCAAAAACTCGTATTTTAGAAAATCAAAATTTCCAAAATGCCTTGTTAACTTGTTCTAGAGCACATACGAAGTTTTAAAACACGCCCAATGATGATATTTCGCCTCTAAATTCCAACGAAATAATCAAAATCAACTTACGGACAGTGCACTTCCCCTTGATCACACTTCCTCCCCAACACTCGCATTTCCCATCGCGGCAAAGTAGCGGCGGCTTGCAGTCCCGTTGACAAGTGTCGCCGATTTTCGCTGGAGCCAACCGGCAGACCGTCCTCTGCTCATCAATATCGTATTCTTCGAAATTCGTGGGACAAGAGCACCGTCCATCCTTGCAGACTGTGTTTTGCCCGTAACATTCCTCGTCGAAAAGGCATTTGGAGCGGATTAGCTTTTCTGAAAAGGAAAACAATTTATTTGCAATACGAATTTTGATAATTCAACCGATTTTTTTGCTGAAAAATTATTTTTGAGACTGCACAGTGCGAAAATAAAAAATAGTTTTTTGCGTATAAAATGTCACTCTTTGGAAAAAATCAAAGTCATATAGAATTTGTACGCTCTGTAGCATATAGTAACTAAATTTTATTTTTTGAAACTGAAACATTCCGCCGAAATTTTCAATGTTTTTGAACTGCACCGTGCGAAAAACTAAAAATTTAAGATTTGCGTATAAAATGTCATTTTTTCGAAAAAAGCAAATTGCAATTCTAATTTGCACATTCTGTAATACATAGAAATTAAATTAAATTTCACTTTTTGAAACTCTAAAACCAAATTTCAATTTCTTCGTACTGCACCGTGCGAAAAACTAAAAACTCAAAATTTGCGTACAAAATGTCACTCTTTAGAAAAAATCAAAAAGCGATTTTAATTTACTTTCTTTGTAGAATATACGGAGAAGGTTTAATTTTTTTAGCTTTTAAAATCCGACCAAAAAATCGACATCTTTTTCACCGCACAGTGCAAAAAATAAAAGAAGATTTTTTCGTATAAAATGCCGCCCTAAAATTGGAAATGCGTTTTGAATAATATTACTAGAGTTATCAAGATGAGAACTGACCAGTTTTGGTTTTCTTGAAGTTTCGAAATTGAAGGGAATCGCAAAAAATAAGGAACCGCACGGTGCGAAAAAAATATTTTTGGTTTAACGACCTTCAAAAACTCAAAAACTGATTTAGACGGGCTACAATGTAAATTCAGATAGTATTTGAGCAAACTTACGTGTACATGGCACCTCAAACGCGGCGTGCGTCCAGCGGAGCCCAGCCAACGCAATCCAAACCCACGCCCAGGTTGGCATGATCTGTCTCCTTTTGGGGAGCGCGAAATCCGATGGCAGGGGGGCGATCTTCTGAATCTAGGGGCTTCTCCACACACACAGGGATCGCCGATGACCAGCGGCTCTTTTCGGATATCTCAGCGCGACTCCTCGTTTCTCTTCCATTTTTGGGTAAAGGTAAAGGGAAAGGGAGAGGATCAGGTGAGTCAGCGATTAAAGATGGGGGAACTGGAGTCATCGATTGTCAGGGTGTGACCTGTGGACAAATTTGGAAATTATTTAGGGATTAGAGTAGTCGTTCGGCCAAGAGTGACATTTTATATGATGAAACATGTTTTTGTGACAAGGGTTGATTCAAGATGGGAGAAAAGGAGTCATCGATTGTCAAGGTGTGACCTGTGGACAAGTTTGGAAATTATTTAGGGACTAGAGTAGCTTTATGGCCAAATGTGACATTTTATATGATCAAAGATGTTTTTGGGAAAGGGTTGATACAAAATAGGGCTGTGGGCAAATTTGGGCATTTATTTAGGACCTAGAGTCGTTACTTGGCGAAATAAGACATTTTATACGATGAAACATGTTTTTGAAGTAAAAGCTGTTCAAAATTGATGAGATGGAGTCATGGACTGTCATAGTGTGACATTGAGACAAGTTTTGGCATTTATTCTGAATCTAGAGTTATCACTAGGCCAAAAGCGATGTTTTATACGGTCAAACATCTTTCTTTCGATTAAAGTTGAGTCAGTGTTCAAAGATGGGAGAAATGGAGTCATGGATTGTCAAGGTGTGACTTGGGGACTAATTTAGGCATTTATTTAGGATATAGAGTCGTTATTTGGCCACATAAGACATTTACTAAAATAAAAGCGTATTTTTCCTCCAAAAAATGCCGTTTTATACGATGAAATGCCTTTTTGACCAAAACGACGGGTAACAAAAAGTTATGTACCGTCTAGCCTCGGTATGTGATCTAAGAATAATTTTGAGCATTTTATATTCTCTGTCATACCACTTTCTTGGACAAAAATGCCGTTTTATACGATGAAACATGTCTAGGCCCATCTTTGAATGCAAATTTCTCTGAGTCTTTTGCCAACATCAAAGATAATATATTTCAATCAACTCAAGATTAAAACAATTTATTGACCAATAAAAAAAGATCCAATTAAAATTAACAAAATTTGAATAATTAAAAACAGATAAAATGCATAAATTATTATACCCAAAGTTTCATTGTAAATTTGGAGAGATTACTTGTTAAGTTAGACAGTAAAGACAGTGTGTTTGTTCTAAGGCATCAAGAAGTTTGATTTCATATTGTTTTAGTCATCAAAATTGCAAAAAAATTTTTTTTTGAAATTCTAGTGTCTAACACAATATAAAACCAACTCAAAAGGTGGCTTAGAGGTCAGCCGGGTCGTGTTTCTGCAACTGCTCTCCATAATCGGTGGCTTGCGATCCAACAAAGGTGTCATAATGGGCCAAAATCTCTTCGTGACTCAATTTCCCGTCCTTGTTCTCGTCCGCAACGCCCAGCAAATGCTTGGCCTCGGCGTCGGCATGATCGAAGCCTAAGGGCATGATCCACTCTCTCATCTCTTCAGTGTCCAACTTCCCGTCGCCGTTCTTGTCACGGTGCTCTTTGAACATTTCGCGCTCCGATTGGACCCATTCAGGCTCTTTTCCGTTCAATTCTGGGTAGTCGTTTGGCCGGTACATGTCGTTGATGTACTCCTCGAGGTCAACAGCACCATCCTTGTTCTTGTCAATGTCTTCGATGGTCTCCTGAAACAGAAAATCCGGTAAAAAAGAGGGGTTTTTGGACAGAAGGGGATTCTGCACAGTGCAGTCGGAATTTTTGCCTTTTTTGGAAATTCTGCTGAACAGCAAGTGAAAATTACTATATGAACAAATAAAGTAGACCATTATCTTTCAAATTTAGACAAACTGAGAAAAAAATGTAAACCCGCACTGTACAAAAAATAAATTTTTGTTCATGCACTGTGCAGTCGGAATTTTTGCCTTTTTTGGAAATTCTACCGAGCAGCAAATAAAAATTACTCTATGACAAGGTAAAGTAGAGTATTCTTATTCTAAATTGACAAACTGAGATGAAAATTTGACCTTGCACTGTGTAAAATATATAAAGTTTTGTTCTGCACTGTGCAGTCAAAACTTTTGCCTTTTTTGGGAGGTCTGCTGGGCAGAAAAAGACAATCACTGCATAAGCAGGTAAGGAAGAGTATTCTTATTCTAATTTGACAAATTGAGATGAAAACTTGACCTTGCACAGTGTAAAATATATAAAGTTTTGTTCTGCACTGTGCAGTCGAAACTTGTGCCTTTTTTGGAAGTCCTTCCGAGCAGAAAATAAAAATCACTGTATGGTCAGACAAAGTAGACTATTATCTTTCAAATTTGACAAAATGAGAAAAAAATGTAAACCCGCACTGTGCAAAAAAATAAAGTTTTGTTCCTGCACAGTGCAAAACACAAAGGTTTCATTATTAGAAAATTGCACTGTGCAAATACAATTTTTAGGAAGCATGGAGTAATTCTAAGCTGATACCTTCTATATACAGTCAAAATATTATGAATGCTATAACTGCACTGGGCAAAAACAGAGTTTTTTGTTTTTGCACAGTGCAATATAAACATTTTCATTTTTTTGAAACTGCACTGTGCAATAAAAAATTTTATGGTTTAGAATGATGTAATAGACCCTATGTGATATTATTTTGACAAAAAAGTTGCCATTTCTATATTGCACTGTGCAGAAATCCAGTTTTGAATTTTTTGCACTGTGCAATTTTAAATTTTTTCAATTGCGCCAAAAAACTTCAACTTACATGAACAACGATGTCTCTCATGTGATCACAGTCCTCTGGGTGCATGAAACATCCATACTCAGTCCTGTCCAGCTTTCCATTGCTGTCATAATCAGCGACTTCCCATCTTCTCTCATCCCTTTTGATCATCTTTTCGTATTCTGGGCTCAACTCTTGGCCAGCGCCATCTGGGCTGCCGTAGACCAAAGCGCGATAATCAGCCCAGCTGAGAAGGCCGTCCTTGATCTGATCCTCCTTGTAGTGCTTCCAGGTGCGGTCCACATCGTTGTTTACATAGCGCTGTTGCATGAAACGGATGTGGTCACGAAGCTCCTCTTCTTCGATGAAGTCGTCCGCATTCGAGTCCATTTTCGGGATGAGTTTACTGTAAAAGTCGAAAAGTTTATGTGGTGGAAATGAAGATTAGATAGTCTTCTATAAGGGAGAGCAAAAAAGTTTTGTAAACATTGCCTTTTAAGGGCGAAATAATTCAAAAAATTTAAAAAAGCCGAAATTTTTGGTAAAAATCCTTTTTTCGAGAATTTTACTATGATACAGTAATCCAAAATGGCTGGAAATTTGGCTACAGCATCTTCGTAGCCTGTATATTCTTATATTAAAATCGACTTTTTATTTTTATACTATGCGACAATGATATACACAAAAAACTTTCATCACCCTCCCAAAAAATAAAACCACTTTTTGTTACTAAAAATTACAGTAACCTATCAAAAATTTATAGCGCAAAAAGAAGCTAATACCACTAGCTTCAAAACAGCATAAAAGATTTTTTGAAATTTCATTACCTAAGGGCATAAAACCTCAAAACTTACGCCAATTTCTCCTTGGACTTCTCGGGTGTGAGCTCATCAAATTCAGCGGCGGTTTCCTTCCCCAAGAAAGCTTCGTGATCGAATTTTTTGTCATGCTCGCTGCCTTTGAAGTGCTCACTGTCACTTAGGACATGAGGATGATTGGCTAGGACGAGGCCGGTCGTTAGGGCGAGCGCAAAAAATAGGCGCATTTTTGCTGAAAAGTGGGGAAATTAATGGGAGATTTTGAAGTTAATAAAGGTGGGAAAAAAGTGGCGGAGTAATAGAAATTATATTGAAATGTGAAATATGGACCAGATTGAGATGTCAAGGAAATTTTTTTTTTGTTTTTTATCGAAATTTTTGAAAAAAAAATAAGAAATATTTTTATTTTTAAAATTTTTTTTGTAAAATACGCACTACAAATAAGTTGCTTTTATTTTAAAATAAATTTTTTGTCGTTTTCCCCTAAGGAAATCTACAAATTTATCCGTCTCCCCCCGATTAGTCGTCTCAAACCCTTCCGAATCAATTGGATAAAAGTTGACCGTTTTGACGTGGAGAAATCTCGAAAAACCCCTCGAAAACGCCCCGAAGCAGGGCAAGGTCATTCAAGAAAAAGAAGAAAATATCTTCTTTTTGCGATTTTTCGGGTTTATAAAAGAAAAACGTTTTTCCTAAGGGGGAAAGTTGGGAAAAAATATGGAAAAAATACTTTTTATTTATTATATTTTTTTAATCAAAAAATATAAAGAAAATATTTTTATTTTTTAAAAATCAAAAAAATCTTCCAAAAATAATCAATTTTTCTCCTCCAAAAAAGTCCCAAAAATGGCCGAAAAAAACTTTTTTTTATTATATTTTAATTAAAAAAATAAAAAAAAATAAAAAAAATTATTTTTATTTTTTAAAAATCAAAAAAATCTTCCAAAAAAATCTATTTTTCTCCCCCGCAAAAATCCAAAAAATGGCCGCAACATCCCGCGAAAACAATGACTAAATACGGAGCAACCCCGTCTTTTTTTGTCCTATCCGTTTCTCGCGACCGGTTTTTGGGAGAAGAAAAACTTTTTTTGGAATGGTCAGGTGGGAAGAAATTGGTTGGAAATGGGCTAAAAGAAACGAGGAAATGTTCACGTCGCGCTGGTTATTAATAGAGAGAGATTGCTAATGGGGATTATGAAGAGGAAAAAAGAGGGGAGAAAAAGAGAATTTTTTGGGGGGAAATAGAAATAAAATAATGGAAATTCAGAAGATAGGTGAATGAAATTTGAATTTCTTATGAGAAAATTAATTTAAAATAAAAAAATGAAAAAAATAAAAAAAACGGGTGAAAATTTCAATTTTTTTAAAAATTTTAAAAAAATCAAAATAATTTTTTTAAAAAATACAAATAAGAAATATTAATATTATTTTTTTAAATTAAAAAAAAAATAAAAAAATGGGTGAAAATTTCAAAAAAAAATTATTTTAATCTTAAAAAAATCAAAATAATTTTTTATAAAAATACAAATAAAAAATATAAATATTACTTTTTTAAATTAAAAATAACCCCTCCAAGACCTAAAATCAATAAAAAAATTGCGTTGTGAATATTTATGAACAAAAGAATACCCTCCATCCTTGCCAAATACCCTCCATCTTGGCCATTGAGGCCCCTTTTCGAACTGCCAAAGAGAAAAGAGAGGTCGCTTTTTTCGAATGACCCCAACAGCTGCCCCTTTTCGTTAGCCCCGAAAAAGATGCTCGGTTAGAGAAGCGAAGAATTTGGTGATTTGGAAAAAAATCGGGGAAATCGCGGCGATATTATTTTTGGAAAGTTCTGGAAAATTTTGGGGTTTTTTATCTTTTTTGGAAAATAAAAAAAAAAATTAAATATTTTTTTTTTAAAAAATTAAAATTAAGATTTAAAATAAAAAAATCAAAAAAATAACATTATTTTTTATAATATTTAAAAAATAAAAAAAAATCGAAAAATTAAAAATATTTTTTATAAAAATAAAAAAATAAAAAATCGAAAAATCGAAAAATTTGGAAATTTCCCGAAGTTTCAAAAACCTCGAAATGATTGAAAAGTAAATTCAAAATTAGGTCAGACATCAACGAAAAATGGAACAGATAAGCGGTTTATGACAAGGTCAAGCAGGGCGGAAAAAACAACATTTCTTGCTTGGGTTTGATAAGTGTCAATCAAAGAAATTATTTTAAAAATCAAAAATGGCAAAAAAATTGAAAAAAAAGTTTAAAAAAATTAAAGAAAATTAAAAAATTTTTTCTTCTAAATAATAAAAAAATCAAAAAAAAAACAAATTTCCAAGAAAAAATCCAAGAAAAAATCGGTTTAAAAATTTCCAAAAATCCCCTAAAATTGCTAAAAATGGCGTTTTCAATGGCAATTCTACCCAAAAAAATTGAAGAATCCCCTCTTTCTCTCCAAATAAACAAAGAAAAAGTTTCCTCGGAAATCCCAAAGGTCAGAAATCGTTGCCTTTTCCGAGGCCCACGAAACGCATCTGGCCACAATCCACCTCTCCGTCTCTCATATACATAACCCCTCTTCTTCCAGACTTTTCTCTTTTTTACAAAAAAATCAAGGCGAATGGCCACTACCTTCACTTTTTGTTTCGGATCGACACATTTTTACGACCCAGTCATCAAAACATTCTAGAAAAAACGAATATGTATATGGATATCAGGCTGTCGGAAAAATAATGTGGAGTTGTCGCGCTTGGAATCGTCCATCATCACTTTGCGACAGCTAGCCTAGGGCTGGATATTTTTTGGTGCGCGACTACGCCAAGCATTTTGCAAATCCACATTATTTTCCCGACAGAACGCATGTTGCGCAATGCTTCAAAACGGGCCGTGCTCCGTTCGAAAAACCGCAAAATGCAACACAAAGCTTAGGTTCGTAAAGTCTCTGGAGCCCTTTTCCGTTCCCATATTCCCTGGAGTGATTTCATAAGTTGTGGGATAAAACAAAAATTCTCATTACACTGTGAAATTTGCTGATTTGTTGCTTTTCGCATGCTGCAAAAGGGCTTTTTTTGGGCTGTCGCTCGCACCCTGACTTTTCAACAAAATAAAATCACTCCTTTGGCGCTATAGTGATAACGACCGAGCAGAATGTTCAGTATTTGATATATGGCCTATCCGTGTACGCAAAATTTCAAGGAAATCGAATTTTCCTTGATCTCGCGCCCCCCAAATCCCCGAAAAGTTGATTTGTCGCGGGAATTGCGCGCGACAATAAGGCAAAATCAACCTCTGTGCAAAAGCACTTTTCGTGTTCATGCAGAGTCGCAGAAAAATCCCAAGACTTTTTTCCGCGACTAGTATGTAATATGGTACTTACTTGCAAGACATTCACACCTCATTTCACTTTTTCAGTTACATATTTAGTACTCCAAATCATCACCCAGTCATGACATATTTAAACTAGATACATAACAACTACTTCGGTCAGAAAGAGCTGCGCAAAAGCGAAAGAATTCCTCAAAGAATTACAGCCGCTTTTTTATATAGACCATTCTTGTGATGACGTGTAACAAAAAAGAAGAAAACAAACTCGTTACTAGTTTAACAAAGTGCAATTACTTTGCCTGCAAGCTCTGGGAAACGAAAGCCATGAAAACAAAAGTTTCATGCTCATTGTGACTTATAAACAAACAATTTTGCTTTACTTTATACATTACAACATGAACTCTTACTATAGAAAAAGTATTATCAATAACGGTGTCTTCAACAGAAAAGAAGAGGGCATCAGGTTCAGCTCGAGCATTACCAGTTACATATATCAGGTCCACAGGCTTGTTTGATTCGCTTGTAGCTGGGGAAGAACGTAGGAGAAGCTTGTGGCAACCGCTGGGACGTTTGATCGATCTATTGGTATCCTATCTGTACCCTTCCTGCGGTCCATTAATAAGCTATCGACTGTAACTGCGGGATTCGGCGTTTGGAGCGGAACCAGTTGGGTTGTTCCGCTGGTACCCGCGGAACTCTCAGCCTGTCGGGGAAATAACGGCGGGTCGTCGCAGCAAAATGTTTCGCGTCGTCGAAAAAAATCCATAGTGAAAAAATCCAGGCACTTTATGAAAATGCTAGTACAGTGACGGTCAAATAGATAGCTACTCCAAGGTGATAAGCTCTAGCGCAGAAGAGAGTCGCCGTCTGTAGGTAAATATGATATCAGTGTAAATATTTTATAATACTAGGACGTGCAACTATAAACATGTGGTATTGTATTGCTGGCCTAGCACGTACTAGGATAATATGTCCTTTCGGCCTGGTCAAAAAATGGCCACCCAATATTACTATGTTTTAAACGCCGTTTACTTTCGGGATTGGCGCCATACACAACTGAACTATATAAGGGAAATACGTATGTCAATACACCTCAGTTCCATTTTTTCTTATTTTGTGCATATGCCCTTAAGTATCGGTAATTTATCTATCTACGGCTACTTTCTTCTGCGCTAGAGAAAATCACCTTAGTAGTGCCTAGTCTACGAGAGGTAGAGAGCAACTAGGAAATATCAACGGGCAATAAGACCCGGCTAGACGTAATAACAGCCGACTGGGATATATCAAGGTATATTTGTCCAGCAAACGTCACGATAGCACACAATACAACAACAACTGGATGGTCTCGGGTAGTCGGAGGAGGACGAGGGAGTCGACCGTCCACCGAGCCGGAGAGTCCAATTGAATGAATGAGATCCACCGATTGGCGCGAAGTCGAGCGGTCGGAACGGATTGTCACGTACAGCGGTTGATCATGGGAAACTCGGGGAATCGGTCGAGAATGGGCTTGGATTGACGGACCATCGGGGTACCGCTGGTCCTACTCCTTGGGGTGACCTTTTTTTTGACCGCCGCTGTACGTGGAGCCACAGATTTGGGTCTTCAAAATTTAAGGAAAATTGATGGAATGCGCCATCAGCATTTCCTTGGTCAGTCATGTATCTTGTATTCATTGAAATCTTCTATTTTTCAGCTCTACCTCCGCTGTAATTACGACGAACGGGTCTGTTTGTTCAAGACATTCCAAATCAACGGCGTCGAATCGATCGTAAACGATGTTTTCGGCATGGAACAGTAATTTTTGTGACTTTCATTTGATATATTTTCTAAAAATGAATTTTGAAAATAATTTTTGTCCATAAAAATATGTATATGACCAATGAAATGCAAGATTTTTTTCTTCCTTTCCCGCTCCAACTGACTCATTGACCGCTTTTCTTTCGCTGAGAAAAACACTTTTACTATTAAACTCGGAAACTTAACACTACTTTATCTTCTCCATTGCTTCGATTTTTTCGTTTCACTTTCATAATCAGGTAGAATGAAGAAGGGGGGAAAGATTGGGAGATTCACGCGCCACACCACCACCCTCCTCATCGCCTCCGATGAGCTGCTTCTGATCAGCCAAATGGAAGACGAAACGAGGCGATTAGTAGTTTAGTTGAGCAGTTCCTCGCCGCGGATCCCCCCATGTTTTTATTAATCTTTTTACTGCCCATTCGAACACGATTTATTGGCGCAAAACAGATTTGTTAAAGGGGATTTCACGATTTGTCATCATGAACGGCAATGACGTCATTTCGGATGATTTTTGAAACTTTTTTATGAAGGTTTGGAGAGTTTGCACTCTCGCAAAAAATTTGGGGACATTTGCACAGTGCAGTTCGTTTTGACTCGATTTTTGGGCTCTGCACAGTGCAGTGGGATTTTTTTGAAATTTTGTATGTTTGCACGGTGCTAAAACAATTTTTTGAAATTACTTTTGATAGTACATGCTAAGTAGATTATCTTCATCAAATTTAAATTTAACCTTTTCTTTGCGGCGCTGTGAAAACAAGATTTTTTTAAAATTGCACGGTGCAGTCGATTTTGATTTGATTTTTGAGCCCTGCACAGTGCAATCGAGAATTTTAAGAAGTGTTTTACACTTATCGGGTTTCCTACACTGTCTTACAAATAAAAATGGCATGCTTTTGCCCGTGTTGCTCGGATAAACTAGACTTTTGAAAACTGCACCGTGCAGCGAATTTTTTAAAATTTCTGGTGTCTGCACGGTGCAAAAACAAAATTGCTATGTTTAATTTTGAAATTGCGTACAGTGTAGATTATCTTGATCAAGTTTAAATTTAACATTTGCTTTGCGGCACTGTGAAAACAAGATTTTTTAAAAATTGCACGGTGCAGTCGATTTTGACTTGGTTTTTGGGCCGTGCACAGTGCAATCGAGAATTTTAAGAAGTCTTTTACACTTATCGGGTTTCCTACGCTGTCTTACAGATAAAAATGGCGTGTTTTTTCTTTTGCTGCTTGTCTAAAACAAGATTTTTGGAAATTGCACTGTGCAGTGAGATTTATTTGAAATTTCGCATTGTTTCACAGTGCATTACACAGTTTCTATTTTTAATTTTGAAATCACAAGCAACGTAGATCACCTTGATCAAATTTAAATTCCCATTTTGCTTTCCGGCACTGTGAAAACATGCGTTCTTAAAAATTGCACTGTGCGGCCAATTTTTCCGGAAATTTTTCGCAAATGCACAGTGCCGTGGAAAAAATTACTTAATTTTATGGATAAATAGACCAAATAGAACATCTTTGATCAATATAATTTTTTTCTATGCACTGTGCACCCGTTTTTTCGATATTTTTTATTTTGCACAGTGCAAAATCAATTTTTGTCATTGCACCGTGCAATACCAGTTTATTTTTCTCAAAATTTATTTTTCAATATTATAAATCAAATAAATTTTAATTGCTCTTTTCGTTACGAGTTCATTCTCCTTCCAGCAGTTAGTTCTTCGCTTTTTTAAAACGATTTTCCCGCAAAACAGCCATAAAATATGTCAAAGCGCCCATATTTTGTTAGGAACTCCCAAATCCCCTGAGGCAAAATACATTTCAAGCTTTATTTTCCCTCGTATTTTACTCCGCCAACACTTTTTTCACCACCTAATCAGTGGTCGCTGAGAAAAATGTCATAAAATCTTGAGAAATGAGGGTTTTTTTTATTTTTCTATTTTTTTCGCATCGCCTCGAGGAATTTGGCGAGCCCTCGCGCCTTCACAAAGCTGTATATTGGATAATTCTCCGTGAAATTTCCTAAAAGATATTCTTTTTTCGATTTTTTCCAACTTGGGTCAATCTGGAGAGCCGATTTCGCAATCGGGCCAGGGTGGGGCCCAGACGACCAATGTACGAGAGCAACTTGGGACCGTTGCCATTGTTCGAGACACCATGGAGCAGGTGAGTTTTGAATTTTAATATACGTTATGTTTTCATTTCTCAAAATTAAAAAAAAAAAAAAAAAAAAAAAATGTTTTAAAATACGTTATGTAGTTCCTTAATTTTTAGATACATCTTGGTTAAGGATACTAAAAAAATGATAACGCAAGGCATCTTAATCTTAAAAATTTTTTTGCACAGTGCAAAATTAAATTTCTTTTGCACAGTGAAAATTTCAAAAAAGTTATTCTCTTTCTGCGCAGTGCAAAGTTCAAAGTTTAAAAAAAATTTGCGCAGTGCAAAGTTTAAAAAACAGTTTTTTTTAGTGCACAGTGCAAAAAAAATGTTTTTGCACGGTGCGAAGTTCAAAAAAAAAAAAATAAAAAAATAAATAAATAAAATTTTGCCAAGTGTGCAAAAAAAAGAGTTAAAAAAAAATTGTTTCTTTGTAAAATACGGCATGTTTTTGTGAGACACAAAAAAATTGTTTCATAGATTTTTTTACGATGTAAAAATACGGATTCAAAAGATTTTTTTTGCCCTGTGCCCACAAGACCATTGTTTTTTTTCTTTTTCTTTTTTTTTTGAATGTAAAATACGGCAGGCAGTTTCAGTCCTGAACTTAAAATTACTTTAACAAATAAAAAATTTATTTTTTTTAATCCATTTTGTTCAAAAGAATTCTATTTCTAAAATTTTTTTTAATGCACAGACGGTCCAAAAGTAGTGGCTTCAAGCTGGAAAATAAGAGTAAAATACGTTTACAATAGGTCTAATTTCTTTAAAAAAACTTTTTAATGAAAAAAGAACAGTTTTTTTATGTTTTTATTTTTAAAATACGCTTTTACATTCTTATTTATTTATATTTGCACAGTGCAGCTAAAAAATAAAAAAAAAGATTTGAGCCGAGTTTTTCTTTTTTCTTTTTTTTTAAAGTATTCCTCCAGGGAACACATCGAAAATTTTATTAGCTTTTACCCCCCGTTTACGTTGTTAATCATCTCAGTAAATCCCCATTCCCTAAAAATTATTCCATTCTTTTGCCCCATAAACCCCGATCATTCGCTTGTTGCTCTATTGACGTATTGTTCACTCTCGACGAAAGACTTTACTTTATGTTCGCTTACGTTGTATTTGTTTTTTTATTTTTTCGTTTTTTCAGATTTTTAAAATTTATGGAAAAAATATTTTATTGAAATTTGAAATACTAATAGGGGAAGTACTCCAAGTGCGACGCTCAGATTTTGATGAAAATTGGCACAAATTTAGAATAATTTTTTCTAAGATATATGCGAGAATTGCAGCTCGCGTTTCGCAGAAACAACCGAGATTTTTCGATCGAAAGTCGGCCAAAATTTAGAACTTTTTGCCGAATTTCGGCACGAAAAGTCTCATGCCTATTTCAACCGTAAAGGATAATGTTTCTACAAAAAATCAAATTTTTCCGCACGAAACTGCCAAAGTTATGGCCAAAAAAGCCATTTCTCTCTGACCGCTCTCCAAGTTTGCTCTCTCGGAGGGAAAAATCGTTCGATATCTCGGCGGCGCCCGCAAAGCGCGAGCTAAAACTTTCAGGAATTGATATTTAGTCCATTTCCGACGTGTGTGCAAAATTTAAAGAAAATCTGAGCGTCGCACTTGGAGTACTTCCACCGTAAATAAAAAATAGGCAGGAAAATATAAATTTGGCAATTTTTAAAATACGAAATGATGACTTTTTTCAACCTTTTTCCGATCAAAAATCATCAAATATAAAGCAATATCACCTGAACTGAACCGTTCTTCCCCTTTTCTGCGTCATTTTTAAGATTAATTCGAGCATTCGACATGCTTCGTCTCACTTTTTACTCATACTTTCGCGGAAATCAGCTGTTCGGAGCATTTTTTTTATTGTCCCGACCACACCATTCTCTTCACTCTTCGGCCCTCCGGAGGCCTTGTTAATTTTGATTTTTTGGGTGTTTTCGTATTAGTCAGTTGTTTGGTTGGGTTTTTGGGGGTTCAAAAATGTCGTTGCGGCGTATTTTAACAACAAAATCAGGGGAAAAAAACGTTTTTTGTAGATGAAATACGGGTAAAATACGACGAGCTCATCCTGGGGTTAACATATTTTTAAAAAAATTTTTTTTTTTTTTTTTTTTTTTTAATCCAAAAATTTTGAAACTTTTTTTTTTCAAAAATTCGGTCGAAAATGGCTTGAAATGGAATATTTTCATGATTCAAATAATACTAGTCCTTCCGAAAAGTCACCAGACTCAAATCGGCGACACGCACTGTGCGAAAACAAAAATTTTTTTTTGCACTGTGCAAAAATAAAAATTTGATTTTTTGCACTGTGCAATAGGCTTTTTTTGGGCTGTCGCTCTTTTTTCGCACATTGCAAAGTCTAAAAATCTGTCCGGTGACTCTCCGGGAGGACTTTGGCGACTGTGGACAATTTTTTTTTTAATTTTATTTCAAAAAAAAAAATTTCAAAAATTCAAAATTTTTTTTACCCAGAATAGTTTGTAATGAAATATTTTCCATTTTAAAATAACTTTTTTATCATTTTTTCATATTTTTTCCTAATAAATTTCAAAAAAATCCAATAAAATCAAAGATTTTCGCCGAAAAAAATCGATAGAAAACTCCTCTCTGTCAAATAAATTTGATTATTTTCGACCAAAAATTCCAAAACAATCAAGTTTTTATGCTTTTTCATCCAAAAATCGGTCACAAATTAATTAAAAATGAGCATTTTTCCCATAGAAAAGGCCACTATCTATGTGGATTAGACTTTTTTTATTTTTTTCTACAAAAAATTCCAAAAAAAATCAAAGTTTTTCTTCGAAAAAATCCGCCAAAAATTGCTTGAAATTGAATATTTTTCTCTATTTCTTCTCTCTGTTTTTATTATAAATCTCCTTTTTATTATTTTCTTTGTCTTTTGCGCAATCTTCCCCTTCAATTTCTTTGATTTTCCCTCTCGAAAAATCGTATCAGAATATAGTGTAATTCTATCGCCAACCACAAATATAATAAAAATGCGGATCGAAAAATGATTTTATGGCCAAAAAATTATAACTTTTTGTGGCCCATTCGCATGGAACAAAGGCGTGGGACGTGGCCGGGTTGTGGGAACAGAGGTGGTTTTTTTTTGGGAAAGGTGTTGGAGTGGTCAGAAGTGCCGACTTTGAAGGGTTTTATGGGATGGTCAAGTCATAGCGGGGCCAAAAAGAAAAAAAAAGTTTTGACGAGTTTTTGCACGGTGCAATCCGCGTCGCGGAGTGGCTTTGCGCGACAAACAATCCGCACAGTGCGAAATAAAAATTAACTGTGCAGTTTGATTTGGGCGACAAATTTTTGATTTCTTTTTTCATGAGAATTCATCTTGCACTGTGCGTTTTTCCGTCGCAATGCGACAAGTGTTTTCGCGCGACAGCGCACCGTGCAAACATGCCGAACATTTTGGATCGTCTTCTTCGCACAGTGCAAACCGCTTCTTCACGCTTGCACTGTGCGCGGTCAGTTTTGCACTGTGCGTTTTTTCGTCGCAATGCGACAAGTTTTTCGCGCGACGGCGCACCGTGCAAACATGCGAAAACTTTTCTTCTCCCCGCTTTTGCACAGTGCAAACTTTTTTTTCAAGTTTGCACTGTGCGAAAAAAGCGAAATGCACGGTGCGTTGGCGACAAGTAGCGAAAATTCGAAACGCACTGTGCAGTTTCATTTGGGCGACAAATTTTTGATTGCCCTTTTCATGAGAATTCATTTTGCACTGTGCGTGGTCAGTGTTGCACCGTGCGCTTTTTCGTCGCAATGCGACAGGTTTTTCGCGCGACAGCGCACCGTGCAAACATGCGAAGACTCCTTGGGTCGCCTTCGCACAGTGCAAACCGCTTCTTCAAGTTTGCACTGCGCGAAAAGAGCGAAATAGAAAAAAGTCTACAACTTTGGCAGTTTCGTGCGGAAAAAATTGATTTTTTGTAGAAACATTATCCTTTACGGTTGAAACAGGCATGAAACTTTTCATGCCGAAATTCGGCAAAAAGTCCTAAAGTTTCGCCGACTTTCGACCTAAAAATCTCGGTTGTTTCGGCAAAGCGCGAGCTAGGATTCTCGCATATATCTTAGAAAAAATTTCTCTAAATTTGTGCCATGTTTCATCAAAATCTGAGCGTTGCACTTGGAGTACTTCCTCTGTGAGTTGGCGCGAATTTTGGGCCAAATCGCATAGTGCAAAACGGTTCGTAAAAGATACAGTCGCGCAACATGCACCGTGCGGTGCGATAAAGGAGGAAAAAGTCCACGCACTTGATGAAAATTCGAGTACTGCTCCATAAACTTAATTTCCAGGGCTCTCATGCTACAACGTATTTTACATAAATATCTTTCTGGATGAATTCTGAACAAGTTTGTTATCTATTTCCTCTCTCATTTTCCATCAATTTCAATTTTACAAACCTACTCCTCGCCGCTTCTTCGGAACAACTTTAATCAAACAAAACTGTCAAGAAACCATTTGTTTTTTCGCTTCGCAAACGATTAGCCCCAACCTTTCTCATGACATTGAACTTTGCAAACGAGAGAAGACCAAATGATTGCATAGGGATTACTTACTCATCGGAGGCGAGTGAATTGGAGATCTAGCGGAATTTAGTATCTATTTTTTTGTTGGATTACTGTAGATGTCAACTTTTTAGGATAAAAAAAATTTTTTGAAGGTGAAATACGACGGACTATTGCAAAATGCCTTCTTTGAAATTTATAGAAATGAAAAAGTAAAGATTTTTCTTGCACTGTGCGGTCAAAAAAATTCTCTTTCTGCACTGTGCAGTCAAAAAATGGATTGCTGTTTCGCACCGTGCAATCAAAAAAGATTATTTTTTGCACTGTGCAGTCAAAAAATTATTGTTTGTCGCACTGTGCAATGCAATGAAATTCTTTTTTTATCGCACTGTGCGGTCAAAAAATGGATTGTTTTTTCGCACTGTGCAGTGAAAAAATGGATTGTCTTTTCGCACTGTGCAGTCAAAAAAGGGCTGTTTTTTGCACCGTGCAATCAAAAAAGATTATTTTTTCGCACTGTGCAGTCAAAAAGTGGATTGCTTTTTTGCACTGTGCAGTAAAAAAATTGATTGCTTTTTCGCACTGTGCAGTCAAAAAATGGATTGATTTTTTGCACTGTGCAGTCAAAAATTATATTTTTCTTTGCACTGTGCGGTCAAAAAAAGATTATTTTTCGCACCGTGCAGTGAAAAAATGGATTGTTTTTCCGCACCGTGCAGTCAAAAGTTATATTTTTCTTTGCACTGTGCAGTCAAAAAAAGTTTATTTTTTTGCACCGTGCAGTCAAAAAAGACTATCTTTTGCACCGTGCAAAAAAATTTTTTTTTTGATTTTCGAACCTTGAAATGTCTTTCAACGAAAAAAAATTGTTGATATGCTTTCCCAGAAAGGTGCCCCGCCGTGTCGCGATCAATCTTTCTCTCGCCTTGATACTAATTTATGACCATTTTCGGAGATTAAATTTTTTGCAGTATTTTTTGTAAAACTGCTGGAGAATGGTTCAGGAGGACGTATTTTAAAAATTTATTATTAAATCATAGCTTTTTTCGTATTTTACAAAAAAAAATTCTTTTTTATTCCAAAAAATCTCCGTAATTTTTCGTATTTTACGGCCTTGATCGAGTGGAGATGAATCCCCGCGACCCCCGCGATCAGTTTACGATATAATTATGGCTGGGATTTGTTCCCGAATTTAATGAACCATAAAAGCCCGGAGGCGGTTTCGAGGTCGTATTTGAATACGACCATCATCATCGCTTTTCTTCTCCCCCCAATTAAACGGTTTTATTATTCTGGCCGGCGAAGTTGTGTTGTAATAAAACCAATATGAGCTGTGCTGTCGTTATTTTTCGGTCACAGAGGCTTGTGTACAAGAAATTTTCATTTATTTTTTGAGTGCACAGTGCAAACTTTTTTCACTTTTTGACTGCACAGTGCAAAAAAAATTATTTTGATCTGCACCGTGCAAAAAAATTATAATTTATTTTGGGTGCACAGTGCAAATTTTTGTTCATTTTTTTGATTGCACAGTGCAAAAAAAAATTATTTTGATCTGCACCGTGCAAAAAAATTATAATTTATTTTGGGTGCACAGTGCAAATTTTTGTTCATTTTTTTGATTGCACAGTGCAAAAAAAATTATTTTGATCTGCACAGTGCAAATTTTTATTCATTTCTTGACTGCACAGTGCAAAAAAAATACTTTGATCTGCACAGTGCAAACTTCTTTTTCACTTTCTGACTGCACAGTGCAGAAAAATGCTATTTTGATCTGCACAGTGCAAACTTTTTTTTTTCACTTTTTGACCGCACAGTGCAAATTCTCATTTATTTTTTGACTGCACAGTGCAAAAAAAATCTTTTTGTTTGCACGGTGCAAATGATGTCGCAAGTTCACTTCTTGTCGCACAGTGAAAGGTAAAGCGATTTTTTGCACTGTGCAGTCTTTTCGGTGACAGAAGAAGGTTTGAAATTGGCTGCACAGTGCAATAAATTTTTCTTTTGCACAGTGCGATCAAAACAAGTTATTTGCACAGTGCAAAAAATAAAAATTGATTTATTTTTCGGCACTGTGCAATCAAAAAAATATATTTTTTTTTGCACAGTGCGAAAAAATACAAATTTATGCCTTTTTTGCACTGTGCGATTGAAAACAAGCTATTTGCACAGTGCAAAAAAAAAATAAAATAAAAATTGTTTATTTCTTTTGCACTGTGCGGCCAAACAAAATTTTTTGCACTGTGCGATCAAAAACAAATCTTTTTGCACTGTGCGATCACCCGGATCAAAAAAAAATTTTTTTCTATCAAAAAATCCCGTCTGATAAAAAAATTGAACCCCACGCGCTTGCACGTAATTTTCGCGTGCTCCCCGATATCCGGATCGCTTCCCAATCGCTATCAGTTTCAGTGTTTTTCGAGAACTGTATATCCGCGCGCATAAACAGAGGCCAGAAAAAATAAACATTGCGGAAAGGCTGAGGGGGAAAAAATAATAAAGCGAAACACTTGAGCGTGAACAGAGTTTTGGGGTCGGTCTTGAACACATGCCTAGGATATTAGCATTTTCATAAAGTGCATGGGCATTTTTTCTGCTTTTGCAACGTGCATTTTGAATTTTTTCCCATGCTTGGCGCCAACGCAGTTTTTATAAGGGTTACGAGATTTTAAGCTTGTTTTTTACATGAACAGTAGACGTTTTTAGATCAAAAATTGCAAAAAAATCGACGTATTTCAGCGATTTTCTGGATGGCAAAAAATTGGCATTCTGTTTCACATCCAGTGTGTAAGATTTTGAGCAAAAAAACAATCTTTTTTACATAAAATCGCCAAGTTACAGCCGAAAAATTCCCAAATTCCCCTCCGCCCGCTCTCCTAATTTGTATATTTTTCGCACAGTGCACTTCGAACCTTTTCCCATGCTTGTCGCAAAGGCACAGTGCATTTTTCATTTTTCTTTTTACGCACAGGGCAAACCTCAAAAAAAGCCGTTTGCACTGTGCAAAAAATTGACAAAAGCTTTTGTCGCAGCGACAATTCAAATGCACGGTGCAAAAATCGAGCTTTTTTTTGTGCACGGTGCGGCGAAAAAAGTCAAATTTTGTTGACTTTTTTCGACCCCTTTTTCACACCGCACCGTGCATGTTGCGCGACACGATCCTTTTCCAAACATTTTTGCACTGTGCAATTTCTTTTTGCTCGCCCAAAATTCGCACCGAATCCATTGAGAAAAGCTTGCGTCGCAGCGATATCCGCTTGCACAGTGCAAAAGGTCAAATGCACGGTGCGAGAATCGGGGGTTTTTTTGCACGGTGCGGAGTCGCTGAAGTGATTTTAGCGACGTGCACTGTGCGAAAACAAAATTTCAGTTTGCACTGTGCAATTTTTTGTTTTTTGCACCGTGCAATAGACTTTTTTGGGTTGTCGCTCGCACCCTGAATTTTTTTGCACAGTGCAAGTTGCAGAAATCAGCCCAACGACTTTTCGGACGGCTATTTATCCAAAAAAATGAATGAAAATTTTTGGAAAAATTATTTTTGATTTATTCTTCGTATTTTAGGCGAATTTCTGTGCAAAAACTTCTTGATAATTTCCAAAAATTGCGTGACAAAAATCATTCTTCCCTCCCATTAAACGTTCCATATTCCCCATTCCTAATGAGCGCTCTTAATAACCACCGCCGTCGGATATTATGTTTACGATGCGCTTTTGATATTAATAGTCGAAAACGGGGCTCTCTTCCGACGCATCCGTTTCCCGTCCGGGTGACCATGACATTGGAACACTATTAGGGAGATTTTTGGGATATGTTTTGTATGATAGCCGGCTGAAGGATGCGTATTATATATGGGGTTTTAGATGAAAATTTTAATAGGTTTAGGGGTAAAATACGATTTGTAAAATGTTGGTCTTTGGTTATTGTTTTAACATAACCATAGACAAACCTTAAAAAGTGCTAGCAAGATTTAAAAAACAGTGGGCTTAACCGCGTTAAATTTCACAAAATCTCAAATTTACAACAAATTTTATAGTAAAATATCTCAAAATTTTAAGGCTGGAATTTTCTTCAAAATTTCCTTGTTTGTTATACATAGACCTCTTATCAATTCCTGATAATTTTGGCTCACACGTTTCAAGGACATCTGAGTTATTACCATTTTTTTAAAGTCCATGGGCATTTACTAGTCGCGACATAAAGTCCTGACACATTTTGCACCGTGCGAAAGCTCGGGGTTTGGACGTCGTGCCCCCAAATTCATTTTGCACCGTGCATTCTTCTTTCATTTCATCCGCACTGTGCATCTTTTCGCATTTGTCGCCGCGATTTCCCGTTTTTGCGCTAGCGACGTGCACTTTCGCGCGCGACAAACCCGAATTTGGGGGCGCGACGTCCAAATCCCGAACTTTCGCACGGTGCAAAATGTGTCAGGACTTTATGGCGCGACTAGTATTCGCGCCCCGCACGGTGCACAAAAAACACTCCATTTTGCACTGTGCATTTCACCTTTTTTTCTTTGCTTTTCGCACTGTGCACTTTCGAAATATCTCTGCGACATTGAAAAGTTTGATTCGTCGCTGCATCGGCGAGACTTGCACAGTGCAAACGGCTTTTTTGAGGTTTGCACTGTGCGTAAAGAGAAAAATGAAGAATGCACTGTGCATTTGCGACAAGCATGGGAAAAGGTTCAAAATGCACTGTGCGGAAAAAATAAAAGTTGGGAGAGCGGGCGGAGGGGAAATTTGGGACTTTTTCGGCTATAACTTGGTGAAATTTTGAGTAAAAAAATTGTTTTTTTTTTTTGTAAAGATCCTACAAACTGGATGTGAAACAGAATGCCAATTTTTCGCCATCCAGAAAATCGCTGAAATACGTCGATTTTTTGGCAATTTTTGATCTAAAAACGTCTACTGTTCATGTAAAAAGCAGGCTTAAAATCTCGTAATCCTCATAAAAATTAATCTCTGAGGTTTTGCCAAGTTTTCCCAAGGTCTAAATTTTCAATTTTTTTAGTAAAAAATGAAACACCTAAAAAGTGCAAAAAATCATTCCCTAGAATCCAAAAAAACCGTTTCCATGCTAATTTCGGAATTCTCACCATGTTGAGGTCAGTGGTGTCAAGGTCTCGTCTTTTATGTAATATGAATGAAACGCAAAAATTATGCCGGGAATCAACGCGTAAATATGTTTTCGGGTCATTTAGAGGCTTTCAAGGCTTGTCTCGGTCATTTCTAAAATTTTTAACGGGAACGGAGTGCTATATGGTGTATTTTATATAGGCCAAAAGATGTGTTTTTACTAATATTTTTACTAATTCTTTTTTTTCTCTTCAAAAAGAGTCATTTTTTAATTAAGATTGTATTTTTTCCTCTCGTTTTTGCCTCATTTTTGCGATGAGCAAGCTCTTTTCCACTTCCCGGAACTTTATGAATCGTAAGAAACATTTCGGATTTTCCGCTGGAGCCCCAAAATTTTTAAAATGATTCCTTTTTGTATTAGACGATGACTTCTTCCTCTTTTCATTCGCCATGAATGGTTCAAGAGTCTTCTTGATCGAGCATCCGCTTCAACAAGTCCGATTCTTCGAGTCCTGCAAAGTAGAGGGCGGTTTCTTGGATGATTCTGAAGGTCTCTTGTCTTCCGGAGGGAGTCTTTTTACGGGTGAATTTTTGGACTGCATTTTTTGCATTGTGCAAAATTTTAGGGTTTTTTGCACAGTGCAGATTAAGATTTTTAACGAAAAATAAAAAAAATTTTTTTGCACTGTGCAGATTGAAATTTGCACTGTGAAAAATTTTATGATTTTTTGCACTGTGCAGATTGAAAAAAATTTTTTTGCACTGTGCAAATTTAGAAAAAATGTTTTTTGCACTGTGCAGATTGAAAAATTTTTTGCACAGTGCATATTGAAAAAATTTTTTTGCACTGTGCAAAATTTTATGATTTTTTGCACTGTGCAGATTGAAAAAATTTTTTGCACAGTGCATTTTGAAAAAAAATTTTTGCACCGTGCAGATTTAAAATTTTTTTTGCACAGTGCAAGTTTTAAAGAAAATTTTTTTGCACAGTGCAGATTAAGATTTTTTTTGCACTGTGCATTAACGAAAAGTAAAAAAAAAATTTTGCACTGTGCAAATTTTGAAAAAATGTTTTTTGCACTGTGCAGATAGAAAAAATTTTTTTTGCACAGTGCAAGTTTTAAAGAAATTTTTTATGCACAGTGCAGATTAAGATTTTTAACGAAAAATAAAAAAAAATTTTTTGCACTGTGCAAATTTTGAAAAAACGTTTTTTGCACTGTGCATATAGAAAAAAAAATTTGCACTGTGCAGATTTAAAAAACACCTTTTGTGCACAGTGCAAACAAAAAAAAATTTTATTGCACTGTGCAAATTTTGAAAAAATGTTTTTGCACTGTGCAGATAGAAAAAAATTTTTTGCGCCGTGCAGATTTAAAAAAAACATCTTTTGTGCACAGTGCAAATAAAAAAAATCTTTATTACACTGTGCAAATTTTGAAATAGTTTTTTTTTTTAGTTTTTTAGCACGGTGCAGTTGGCTTTTTCCACAGTGCAGAAATTTCTTTATTTTTATGCACAGTGCAATTCAAAAAAAAAACTTTCCACATTGCAAAAAACACCTCAAGTTTTGCCTCACTGTAAAAAAACAATTTATTTTCGCTCGCATTCCCATAAATTACCTTGTCTTCACGTATGACAATTAGCCTTCCGCAACCGGTATATTCGTCATCAGTATTTGTACAACCCGTCATTCTATTAATCAAATTTCTGTCCCTTTTCGCTTCAAATGTCATGTTCGATTACGAAAAAGTGGGAATGCGGATCCGAATAAATCAAAAAAAGACGGAATATTTGTTTTGGAAAGATTTTTTGTGTTGCGAATGGCAATTTGCGTCGTCGTGGTTCCTTTGTCTTAAAAGAATGGTAGTTAAAAAATTAGAATGGCTTCGGATCCGTTAAGGAGCCAAGGCCTTCTGACTTTTTTTGATTTTTTCGGGTCTAAAATTAATTTTTTGATTTTTCGTAATTTGCACTGTGCGGTTGGGAAAAAGAGGAATTGCATGGAAAAGACAGGAATTTCTTTGCGTTTTGAAGTAAATAGGTCGAATTGGCAGTGAAATAAACATCTTTAAGAGAAAAATTACGTTTAAAGTTCGCCCGCACCGTGCAATAGGCATTTTCAAATTTTGCACGGTGCGAGGAAAAGAAGTTTCATTTTTGCACTGTGCAGGCCATTTATTTTTCCAAAAGTTTATCAGTAAGAATTTTTAGAGCCATTATATCATTTTCAAATTGTTTTTACCACACTCAGAGTCGAGTTCACTGTGCAATGGCCACTTTCCTATTTTGCACAGTGAAATAAACAGAAACTTAATTTTTGCACAGTGCAGACCATTTATTTTAAAAAATGTGTCAGTAAGGCTTTTTAATGTCACTATGTCATTTTAAAACCCTTTGTGCCCCACTTAGAATCCATTGCACAGTGCAATGGCCACTTTCCTATTTTGCACAGTGCAATAAACAGAAACTTAATTTTTGCACTGTGCAGACCATTTAGCTTTTAAATCCTTTGCCAATAAATATTTCTGGAGCCATTATATCATTTTCAAACCGTTTATGCCACACTTAGACTCCATTGCACTGTGCAATGGCCACTTTCCTATTTTGCACAGTGCAATAAACAGAAACTTAATTTTTGCACGGCGCAGACTATTTATTTTTCAAACAATTTATCAGCAATAATTTTTAAGGTTATTGTGCCCTTTTTGAACCGTTTGTACCACACTTAGACTCCATTGCACTCTGCAACAACCCCAAAATTTCCTCGCACCGTGCAAAACTCAAGTTCATCCCGTCCCTCTTTTCTTAGCTCTCCAGAGATCCCGGAAACATATGATAGCCCCTTCAAATCGAATATTGACCCTATTTTATGCGCCCATAAAAACCTGTTGTACACCACCTTTTCCCAACGCATATAAATAATGTTTGCTCAACGGATTCCGTAACCGGAGGTTCTTTAACCGAGCCTCTTCGTGGTTTCAAGAAACTCGAAAGAAAGAAAAGACTATTCGAACTCGAGTTGTGAGGGCTTACATTTCGACTTTTGATCGGGGAAAAATTATATTTTTTTTTTGAGGACTGCACGGTGCGAAAATTTCTTTTTTTTGGACAATGCCGTAAGGAGGCCGGAGGGTTTCTGCATGGGCTTAATGCATTTTTTGGTAATTCTAACTTAGAAAGGACCGACCTCGTATTTTAAAAAAAGTTTCTACTTTCAATTTTTACAAAAAACTTTTTTTCATTTTGCACAGAACAAAAATTATTTTGACTTTTTACTCACAAGGGAAGTACCCCAAGTGCGACGCTCAGATTTTCTTTAAATTTTGCACACACGTCGGGAATAGACTAAATATCAACTCCTGAAAGTTTTAGCTCGCGCTTTGCAGGCGCCGCCGAGATATCGAACGATTTTTGCCGCCGAGAGAGCACGCTAAAGATAGAGAGCGGTCAGAGAGAAAAACGCTTTTTGGCTATAACTTTGGCAGTTTCGCGCGGAAAAATTTAATTTTTTGTAGAAACATTATCCTTTACGGTAGAAATAGGCATGAAACCTTTCGTGCCGAAATTGTACAAAAAGTTCTAAATTTTCGCCGACTTTCGATCTAAAAATCTCGGTTGTTTCTGCGAAACGCGAGCTGCAATTCTCGCATATATCTTAGAAAAAATTATTCTAAATTTGTGCCACGTTTCATCAAAATCTGAGCGTCGCACTTGGGGTACTTCCCCTGTCAACTGTTTCCTTTGGTTCCAGCTGCAAATCGACTTGTCACTGTGCGCGTATTTTACCTCTTAACTTAAATTTTTAGGCTTGACTAAAAATTAGTGCGAAGCTTCTATTTTGAAATTCCGCACGGTGCAAAAACTTGTTTTCAAATTTTGCAATGCAAAATAAAAAAAACAGAATTTTCTTTGCAAATGGAAAAATTTCGCACTGTGCAATTTTTAAAAAATTGCAATTTTTTTTACAAAATTAACAGCCGTTTCTGTGTTCCGTATTTTACCAATCAATTTTGTTTTTTATCCCCTGAACCTGAAAAAATCGATGAAAAAACTCCGCACTGTGCAAAAAATTGATTTTGAAATTTTGTATCGCCTAATTAAAAAAATCAAAGATTCTTTCACAGAGGTCAAACAGTAGGCTGGATGCACCGTATTTTACCAATCAATTTTGTTTTTTATCCCCTGAACCTGCAAAAAATCGATGGAAAAATTTCGCACTGTGCAAAAAATTGACTTTGAAATTTTGTATCGCCTAATTAAAAACAATCAAAGATCCTTTAAAAAGTCAAAAAGAACACCCTAACTACGCGTATTTTACCAATCAATTTTATTTTTCATCCCCTGAACCTGCAAAAAATCGATGGAAAAATTTCGCACTGTGCAAAAAATTGACTTTGAAATTTTGTATCGCCTAATTAAAAAAAATGAGATTCCTTTTAAAAATCGATAAATTCTGGTGCAGTTCCGTATTTTACATATCAATTTTATTTTTCATCCCCTGAAGCTGCAAAAAATCGACGAAAAATATTCGCACTGTGCAAAAAAATGATTTTGAAATTTTGTATGGCCTAATTAAAAACAATCAAAGATTCTTTCACAGAGGTCAAACAGTAGGCTGGATGCACCGTATTTTACCAATCAATTTTGTTTTTTATCCCCTGAACCTGCAAAAAATCGATGGAAAAATTTCGCACTGTGCAAAAAATTGACTTTGAAATTTTGTATCGCCTAATTAAAAACAATCAAAGATCCTTTAAAAAGTCAAAAAGAACACCCTAACTACGCGTATTTTACCAATCAATTTTATTTTTCATCCCCTGAAGCTGCAAAAAATCGACGAAAAATATTCGCACTGTGCAAAAAAATGATTTTGAAATTTTGTATGGCCTAATTAAAAACAATGAAAGATCCTTTAAAAAGTCAAAAAGAACACCCTAACTACGCGTATTTTACCAATCAATTTTGTTTTTTATCCCCTGAACCTGCAAAAAATCGATGGAAAAATTTCGCACTGTGCAAAAAATTGACTTTGAAATTTTGTATCGCCTAATTAAAAAAATCAAAGATTCTTTCACAGAGGTCAAACAGTAGGCTGGATGCACCGTATTTTACATATCAATTCTATTTTTCATCCCTTGAACCTGCAAAAAGTCGATGGAAAAATTTCGCGCGGTGCAAAAATCTGATTTTGAAATTTTGTATGGCCTAATTAAAAAGAATCAAAGATCCTTTTAAAAAGTAAAAAACCGCATTTTGATTTACCGTATTTTACCAATCACTTTTATTTTTCATCCCCTGAACCTGCAAAAAATCGATAAAAAAAAATCCGCACTGTGCAAAAAACAAAAACAGACGAACCCCCTTATTTCCCAAACTTTGTCCGAAAATTCCACGGTATTAGTGCGAATTTCCCTCCCTGACATCTGCTGCTTCTCCAACACCCTTCACCGCAACATATTCCATCTTACTTTTTACCGAGTAAATCTCCCCTTTCTCGGCTCGTCTTTGACTCCCTAATTCGCGCGTCTCCGATTCTCTTTTTTCGGGGGGAGTTTCGGCATTCCGAGGGGCTCGAATTAGTAATTTTTTTTAATCAATGACCTTGAGTGTAAGTAAAAGTTTCTCACATTTGGAAATCGCTTTTTTTCGGCGTGAGGAGAGAGGGAGACGGCTAATTTGGTCGAATTTTTGATGGAAAATTGAGGTTTTTTCGATGGCTTTTGAAAATTTTTTTTATGTGATGACTACATAGGCCATTATATCGTATTTTAAGACTAATTTTTGTTAAAAATTTTGAAATTTTAAAAAATTTTCAAAAATTAAAATTTTTTTTTATTCTTTTTTTTTGATTAAAATAAGATGAAAATTTTGGCAATGCCGTATTTTACCCTTTATTATTTATAATCCTTCAAAAAAATCGCAAAATACTTCAAAAAATCAAAAAATTCAAATTTAAAAAAATTTCCCCTTAAGCGGTAAATCTCAAAAATTCTGCAAATTTAACGTCCCCAGCCTCAGTAGGTCATCGCGAATTTTCTCAATCCCCCTTTTATTCGGTTGCACTTTACCCGAAAGACTTTCAAATCCGCACTTATCCCCGTTTATCCCCCCGATTTTCAAAAATCCCGCGCAATCGTCGGAATTTGAACTGACGCCAGCTGGGCGATTAATGAAGGCCCCGATTGTCCATCGCTCCAAGTCCCCGCACCTTTTCGAATTGGCGCATTTATTCAGACGGAATTGTTTTCCGCTTCTAATTGAGTCCAATTTGAAACACCCATTCCGCGTTGTTTTTGTGGGGGGAGATTCGAGATGATGTAACCGACTAATAGGGCGAGCGTGTTGCGTAAGTCACCGTGATCCACTATGGGTAATCATTTTGGAAGGTTTACGGTAATTTTTGAAGATCTTAGTGTTTTGGTTTTTGCACTGTGCGCTCAAGTTTTTATGAAATTCTATACCGTAAAGTGTAAATTTAAAAAAATTTTATGACATTTATTGCATCTACTAGTCATTCTGCAAAGGTTCAACTTCATTATTACCCTTAGGTTACTGTAGTTTTCAAGATTTGCGCAATTTTTTATTTTGCACAGTGCAAAAATTTTTTTTTGATTTTCAGCTTGTTCTCGACGAAGTAAGTCTAGCTATATTGTAAATATGACTTATCGAGAGTCTCGCATAACATACGATCAACTTTTATCAAAAGAGTTCCCTCAGCGACAGAGTAAATTGAAATTTTTCATTTTGCACAGTGCAATTGATTTTTTTTTGTATTTCGCACGGTGCGATGGGCAAAATTGGGAAAAAAATTTTTGTCCCAATTTTTTATCCTCTGTGAGCTTCGTATCTTTTGTAATTTCAGTTTTTACCCTTCATTTTGCTCAGTAATTCACCTTTCTTTCCATTGCACAGTGCGATTTGCCTCTCCAAAACTTTGGTCATAAAATCGCACTGTGCGGTCGCCAAATCGCTTTTCTTTGTCCAAAAACTTCTCCTCCCATTACTAGTCATTAATATCCGAGCCACAATCGATGACTTTCGACTCGTTACGACCCCATTCGAACGCTGATCTCTATTTATTTTCCGTTGACACGTTTCAAGTCTGGAGAAACTTTTTTTTTTTCACCGCTCCGCTTGCGAACGATCCGTTTTGGGGATGTTCTGAAAGGCGTTGCGCAATCTGCCCGTCTTCCCATTGTTCGATCTTGTTATTCTTTTGACTTTTCTTTGCAGCATCGACTTGAGAGGGCTTTTGGTCCCGTTTATGGGCAGAATATTGTAAAAAAATTGCGGGAAATGACAATAAAGGCTTTATATAAAAATCCACGAGCATTTTCAGCCTATTTTTTCTTGGAATTTTTCAGAAATTTTTGATTTTTTTGGATTTTTTGGAAACATTTCCTCAGGCAAAATTTGAAATGACCTTCAAAAATGATTTTAGAATAAATTCAGCCGACTTTTTCTTGGAATTTTTCAAAAATTTTTGATTTTTTTTTTGGATTTTTTGTAAAAATCGCCTCAGGCAAAATTTGAAATGACCTTCAAAAATGATTTTAGAATAAATTCAGCCGATTTTTTCTAGGGATTTTTCAAAAAAAAAATCATTTTTTAAAATTTTTTGGAAAAATTGCCTCAGGCAAAATGTGCGAAAGTCTTCAAAAATGATTTTAGAAAGTTGAATATCCTTTATTACGGTTTGATCTTCACCTTTTCATCGGTTTCCCTACCCCCATCCCTTTTCTTTATGACCTTTTTCGGAACATGGATTAGAAGACGTCTAATACAATGTTTGCTCACCATTGGTCACTCTCCCCAGGTCCAAAAACTTTTGCTCGTCCTACACATATGTTTTCCTCGCCCCGAGGAATTATTTTCCCTTTCTTTGGAAAGGTGTTTGAAAACCGCACGGTGCGGTGGGTTTTTTGTGAACCGCACAGTGCGATGGAATTTTCGGGAGCTTTTGCACAGTGCAAGGACTATACCAGAAAAAATTGATGTTATAAGATGATGTCGTAATGACATAGAGGTTGTTTGGTCTCAGTAAAAATTAATTTGAAACAGTTTCATATGGGATTTTTGGTCAAAAATGAAATTTTGCACTGTGCAGTCAATTTTGCCTTTGTCTGCACTGTGCGATGGAATTTTCGGGAGCTTTTGCATAGTGCAAGGGCTATATGAGAGAAAATTGGTGTTATAAGATGATGTCGTGATGACGTAGAGGTTGTTTGATGTCATCAAAAATTAATTTGAAATAGTTTCACGGGGTTTTTTAAATAAAGAAAAAATCTGCACTGTGCGGTGAATTTTGTTTTTGTCTGCACGGTTCGACAAACAAAAAATTGTTAAATCTTTTTTTACTGAGTGCTACAGTAATTCATTTGCAATATTATAAGTTAATTTTTCTTTGCATTACACAATGCAAACAAGATTTTTTGCGAAAATAAAAAATTTTGCACAGTGCAGACAAAAATTTTTTTTTTCACTGTGCAAAAAAACCCAAACCCTAAAAAATTAAATTAAAAATTCGGTTCTCTGATCCATCTAGTAGCCCATCTTCCCTTTCCCCCATCCGAATTTCAACACTCGACGAAACCGAAAATTGACCACGAAACTGGATTTTCCAGCTACCATTTTCTAATCCTAATTCGGTTCATTTTTCCTTCTTTCATTAAGTTTTTGGGGGACGAGTAATCAAGCCCGTTACTCACCGTCCTCTTAATTATTCCGTAATCTTCGACCATTTCCGAGTTTATTTTCAGTCGTTGAAAAAAATGTGTTTCAGATCGGCGAAGCGATTTCTGGACCCGATTTTGGACGGAGGGTCGGTTTCACGCGAATTCGAGAGACTCTCACGGTTTGGCCGAGCCAACGGTGTGGACCATAGAAGGAGCAGAAGTGCGCATCCCACGATTTTGGGAGATATGGCTTATCGGTAAGGGGAATATGGCAAATTTTGGTGGGAAAGACCGGAAAAACTTTCAAAAAAGTAGAAAATTTTTTTTTATAATATTTTGAACCTGTTTCGAACAGTTCTGACCTATTAGAAAAGCCGCATTTTACAAAAAAAAATTTTCAAAAAAAAAAATTTTGCACTGTGCAAAAATTTTTTTGCCTATTTTTGCACAGTGCAGTCCCAAAAAATCCCAGAGTCCTCTATAAATCTCATTTTACCAAAAAAAATTCAAATTAAAGCCTTTTCTATCAAATAAAAATTCATTTTTTTTCTTTCAGCCACAAGCCTCGAGCTTCTTCCTCGAGTCACCACTCGGTGGAGCCCAGTCTGCCGGATCGTTTAGCGTCGGCGTTGAAGTCGTTGAGGCCTCATCTAAATCATGGTCAGAATAACAATCGACAGAAGGTGGGTTAAATTAATTTTTATGGTAAAATACGGCTGGCTGACTGCAAAAATTATGGGGTCCCAAAAAATGCACTGACTACAGAGTCTTGACAACTGCACTGTGCGAAATTTTGAAGTTAAAAAAATGCACCGTGCAAAACTCTAGGGCTTCTAAAACAGCACGTGCGAAATTTCAAAGCCCAGAAAATTGCACTGTGCGAAAAAGCAAATTTTTATAGCACTGTGCAAATAATTCCAAAGTTTCAGTCGATGGTCGTGGACGCTGATGATGTTGTTTACTTCGCGAATAATGAACGTATGACAAATTCGGATTACATTGGGAAAGGTGGACATATGTGTAACGAAACTTGCCGACATCAGGACCAAATCGACGATGGTGTTGAGATGGGCAATTATAAAGATGTAAGTGCTGTCAAATCTTTGTGCAATGGCTTGTAATGGGTAAAAAAATATGTTTTTTTTAATGTAAAAAGCTTTGTTTTGGTTCAAATTACCCTAAAATTTCACTTTCCGAGTTTTGAAATTCTCCGTTATGGGAGGGGTTTTGCTGTAGGGGAGTTTGTAACACAATGTAAAATACGTCTGCCCGATTTTTCCTTCAATTTATATTTCTTTTCAAAACCTCCACACGTCCCTTCTGTTTGCCCATATGATTACCAGTCTTTGTCGCTTTTCCAATCCCCCTCAGCCGTATTGTATTGTCGCCTTTTTTCAGTCAAATCCAAAGACAAGACTGCAAAGTGCACCTCCGGCAGAACTAAAGACACTGGATGATCTACGGCAGCTCTATCGAAATGTCCCCACTTCGGATGGGGACGAGGATTTAGAAGCAAATAATGCGTAAGTGGAAATTTGCCGAAATGTTATGTAACCTGCGAGAGATAAGCGAAAAAGTTATACAAGGAGCCCTTTTGGTAGAAGCAAAAGGGAAAATCCATCGTGAAATTTCGATCATTTTCAACCGAAAACCCCTGGTTTTCGGGGTAAAAGAGGCCTTTTTCAAAAGGTTGCAGCGACCTCAGTTTGCATTTAAAAATCTTGTCATTTCGTACGCAAAAAATAATGTCGCTTAAAAATATAATACATACTCCAAAAAGGAACTCTCTGCGCCGCCTCCGCCGAAAGTTATAGCCTCCTGCTTTCCTTCACGTTTCTTGAAAGACTGTCACGACTTAGCTATGAGTCGTGGTGTAAGATGGCCCTTAACTTGCCCGCTACTACTAGTATTCACTACCTAACCTGATAACGCAAACTAGAGGACTCAGGCAATAAAACTGTGAACTCACGATATTGACTCCAGACGATGTGACCATAGACAAATCAATAGACAAATAGTAAATATAGTAGACTTTATTGGCCACAACAGCATAAGCAGGAAAAGACAAAACACAAATTAATATGCTAATAATTGGCGATTTCTCTTCCTTTTATACCAATTTGTCGGTCATTCCGTGGGAGTATGCAAATTCGCACGCGAAGTCGTGACACTCCGGGGGCCACTTGCTCTTCTCCATCAGCTGGCCTGATGCGATCATAGCTAAGTCGTGACAAGACCCTGTAAAAAGCAATTTGATTCTGCTGCGACACAATTCATTTTCCCGGCGGCGATGCGATTTTCGATGCAATAGTGTGCTCATTATTTTCCGATAGATTGAAAAAAATGCTGTAAAAAAAAATCGTCATTGGCCAATTCCATATTAACCTCATCCACTTCAGATTCAAGCCCAAACGAACCTCGAGTGCCAATTTCAACTCCATCGAGCTGAAGCCTCCGGTTCCCTCGTCCTCTCCGCCCGGCTCACTTTCTCCCCGATCGCCGGTCGTCAACGCCAGCTTAACCTCTTCTCTCTCGAGTTCAGCCTCCTCCTCGCGATCGGCCGCCGACTCCGGCTATCGCTCGCATAAGCGGCTGCAAAAGGACCTGGAGAACAACAACACACCGGAAGTTTCGATGGTCTACGTCAATGACGGGAGTTTGTCATCGACGGAGCTGCTGAAACGCGAGAAAAAGAAGGCTGAAAATGCGGCAACGAAGAAAATTACGGTTGTTCAAGTTTCGCAGAGTGTCTCGGCCGCTACACAATCAGATATTCAGGCGTTCCGACCGGAGCCTTTCAAGGTACCCTTCACGTATACGACCAGTGATATTCGACAAGTTATTGAGCAGACTGTGCCGGCGCTGAGTCAGGGCTTCAGCAATGAGATCTTCATGATGTTGTTGACGAGATTTCGGCATTCCATGGATTTGTTTGCAAGCGAGGTCAGGAGAAATATCGGGCCGTTTGTGAAGTGCGCTGTGAGGGATATTAATCTGACTTTGATGGTAAGAAACGTTTTCAAAGTGAAGTAAATGGCTTTGAAATTAGTTTTAAAACACATTAGATTTAACTTAGAGGCATCTGAGGGGAGCTAGGTGTAATTTTAACCTCAAGGGGAAGACTTGACCCAAAGCCCAAAGTGTCAAGTCTTCTCCTTATTTTTGAAAGCGCTGAAATTGGCTTCTTTTTGATTTTGTAAATGTAAAAATAAATTTAGCTCTGTCTTAAACGGAAAAGATGCAATTTTAACTCCGAGGGGAAGACTTGACCCAAAGTGTCCAAAAGTGTCAAGTCTTTCCCTCTTTTTGAAATTGAAAAAAATTTACTTCCTCTTTATTTTTATATTTAAAAATAAATTTTGCTCTCTCTAAAAGCGGCCGTAAACCTTTTTACCTCCAAAAGGAACACTTGACACAAAGTGTCAAGTCTTTCCCTCCTCAAAAAAACCGCGGAGATCTCCTACTTCTTAATTTTTATATAGTAAAATACGTTGGGAACTCATCATAGATTACATTTTCAGTCTCTACTTCCCGAGAAAATCGCCTATGTCTGCATGGACTACGCAGTTCAGACCTTGGCCTTCTTCTCAAATTCAGCGTCATTTTCCAAAAGTTTAGAGGCCAGAGCGTCGCTAAAAATGAACGTCGGCAAGATGTATCGATGGATGAAGCTGTCCGGACTCACAGCCATCGTTGTGGATGTGGTATGAACTTTTTAACGAACCAAAACTTACATTCACCCGCTTTTTAGACCGCAGTCTATCTCACCGCGATTTTCGAACGTCTTTTACTGTCGTATATCCAAAACATCGACAAAAATCGAGGGACCAGGTCCTTCTCCGAGGTCCTGCGAACTCATTCCTCAATGTTCGACGCATTTACCGGCACATCTTTGATGAATGGCATCTGCCTGCCTAGGTTCAGGTCCATGGAGAAGATATTGGATGTTGATGTGCCAATGGAAGATGCGAAAAGCAGAAAATGGTACAAACGATGGGTTGAGAATCACAAGTTGGGGCTGAGGTTTGATGCGGATGCCAAGAATTGTCTCTTTTTCTATGTGAAATGCAATGAAGAGGGGCAGAACTGCAACTGCACCGGGAAACGGTGAGAATTTGACTGAACTTTGGAGGGAAATTAAATGGCTTTAAAATAAATTCTTGAACACCTTAGACTAAATTTAGAGGCATACGGGGGTATCTTGGGGCAATTTTAACTTCAAGGAGAAGACTTGACCGAAGGTGTCAAGTCTTTCCTTCTTTTTGAAATTGCTGCAATTGGCTGTTCTTTTATTTCTAGATGTAAAAAATACTCGAAGTGGGGATGATTTTTGTTAAAAATTTCTAGACACCTAACAAAAAAAATTGTAATTTTTCAAAAAAAAAATTTTTTTCATTGTTTTTCATTTTCAGCCCAACTTTTGACGACTGGATGGAGACCCTTCTAAATCTTTCGGAACATCGAAATACCCTGCGAATCACCCGCTCAGACGTCATGGAAACCGCTAGGATCCTGAAGGTTGTGGACCGGCTGCCGCAACGGCCCGCCACCGACTTTGTTGACAGCTCGGATTGCCTCGAATGGCAATGGCTGGACCAGACAAGGCTTTGGGAAGTGGATCAAGCCGAGAGACGGAAAATTCTGGGACTCTGTGATCTTGGGAGGACCAATTCTCATGTGAGAATTTTTTTATTTCTTTTTTTTTTTTTTTTTTTTGTATTTTGCACTGTGCAGACATTTTTTGGTTTTGTTTTTTTTGCACTGTGCAGAGAGTTTTTATGAAAATTTTTTGTTGCACAGTGCAAAAAAGATTTTTTTTTGAATTGCACCGTGCAAAATTTATTTTTTTCTTGCACAGTGCAGTCATTCTGCAATTTTAAAAAGTCGTGCTGCACTGTGCAAAAAAAAATAAAAAAAGCTTGCACTGTGCAAAAAAATAAATTTTTTTCGACCTCTAAAAATTGTATTTCGAGATTTTTTAAAATTTTTGCATAGTGCGATTTTTTTGTAACAAAATTTTTTTGCACCGTGCAAAAAATTTTTCGAATATTTTTGCACTGTGCAAAGAAAATTTTTTTTTACAAAACACCAAAATCTTTCCAATTACATCTAAACTTATTTTCAGGGCCTTTCCTGTCTCTCCCGTTGCATTCTTAATGGAAATAATGGGGCTGCAAATCTAATAGTGCACAAAACGAACGCCCACCTCGATACTCCTATAGCACCCGCCAATTTGAAAGGACCTCACAAAAATTGCAAATTATTCGACGATTTCTTGGGCTGGACCCCGCTGTTTTGGGCCATAGCGAAGGAGGATGCGGAAATGGTCAAAAAATTGCTGGCGCAGAATGTGCATGTCAATGCTGGATGGATGCGGCGGGAGACGCCATTGCAGGTGAGTTTACTGAGTAAAAAACACATGTTTTGGGAGTCAGTAGAGTTCATAGAGTTCAGTAATGCTTGTTTATTATTTTTTAGCAATTTAAAAAATTTTTGAAATTTGCACTGTGCGAAAATAAAAAAGTTGCTTTTGCACTGTGCAGATCAGATTTTTGGCCTAAAAAACCTTAAAGCTTAGTTGCCAAGGCATGATTTTTGTGCTACATAAATTCTTTTGTGTTCTACTCGCTGTGCTAAAAAAGAAAATTTTGAATTTCCGTTTGCACCGTGCAAAATTTTGAAATCTTTTTTTTTGCACTGTGCGAAAAACATTTTCACTCAAAAAGTCGCAGAAATCAAAAGATTGATAAAAATTTTGGCGCCACGTAACTTTCTCCCACCTTATTTGATATTTTACAGATGACAAAAATTGTTAAACTTTATTGCACCGTGCGAAATTTTGAGATCTTTTTTGTGCACAGTGCAAAATAATTTTTCACTCAAAAAGCCAATTTGTTATGCCCTTGGGCGATAATTTTTTTACTGCGTAAAATTTATTAGATATATTCAAGACGCCAGTATATAAAAACCAAAATTTTTTTGTGCACTGTGCAAAATTTTTAATTTTTATTTTCCGCACTGTGCAATTTTCTAAAAAATTTTTTTTTGCACAGTGCAGACAAAACTTGTTTATTTTCCACTTCCCAAGCGCTCAGAAACACCTTCAGCCTAAATATTAACTGCTCATTTTTCAGCTAGCCGCCGCTGTTGGCGCTCCAGAAGCGGTCCACCAACTTCTCAAGCACCGTGCGGACGCACATTTCACCTCCGTCGATTACGAGCACAAAGATCAGCAGAATGTGGCGGGCGCTCCATCAGCGTTGGCAATGGCAGCAGCTGCTGGAAATTCCAAGGCGTTTAACTTGGTCCTAACCGAGCTGCGAAGGCCCACATTTAGCAGGGAAGATCTCCCAACGTCGATTTCCGAGGGAAAAGGAAAGCTCAAGGATTCGGCGGAGGAAACAACGCAGACTGTAAATTATGCGGAGTCGTCAAAAATGACGCAGTTGGTAATGCGGGTAAGTTTTTTTGTTGATTTTTTTCGATTTTTGAGTTTGAAATTTTATGATTTTTTTGCACTGTGCAAAATTTTTTTTGGTGCACAGTGCAGTTATGAAAAAAAAAAATTTTTGTACTGTGCGAGTTTACTGAGTAAAAAACTTGTTTTGGGAGTCAGCAGAGTTCAGTAATGCTTGTTTATTATTTTTTGGCAATTTGAAAATTTCGGAAATTTTGCACTGTGCGGAAATAAAAAAAATTGTTTTTTGCACTGTGCAGATCGGATTTTTGACCTAGGATATCGCAGAGCGGAGCAGAAAAAACATGATTTTTGTGCTATGCAAATTCTTTTGTGTTCTTTTGTAGTGCTAAAAAAGAAAATTCGGAATTTTTGTTTGCACTGTGCGAAATTTTGAAATCTTGTTTATGCACAGTGCGAAAAATCTGTAAAAGTTTTTTTGCGCACAGTGCAATGACTGAAAAAAATCTTCTTTGCACCGTGCGAAAAATTTCGCGAACTTTTATTTTGTGCACAGTGCAGTGACTAAAGAATTTTTTGCACTGTGCAAAAAATTGCGCTAAAATTTTTTTGTGCACAGTGCAAATCCGATTAAAAAAAATTTTTTTGGGATAAATTGAAGCTTTTCAAAATGAAATTTTTTCCTTAATAGCTCAAAAAATTGAAAACTTTGCACCGTGCAACTAAAGAAAATTGGATATTTTCCACCCAAAAATCGTTTTTTCTTCAGGAAGCCCTTTATTACGCCGTGGAATGCGGTAACTTGGAGTTGGCTTTCGATTTGAATTTATTGGGAGTAAAATGGACGATAAATTTGTGGACCAAATGTCTGGAATGGGCCGTGCAACAAAAGTCGAATCAAGGCGTTAGATTGGTTTTGGAGAGTTTTAATCAAAGGCAGCTGCGACAAGCGCCACTTCAAGCCCTCGAGGGATTCAATCGGAAGGTAAAAATTTAATTTTTTTGAGAAAAATTTTAAAAAATTTTGCAAAAATTTTATTTTTTTTTAAAATTTTTGTGATTTTTTTTGAATTTTTTAGATTTTTTTTTAGAATTTTTGAGATTTTTTTTTAATTTTCTGGGATTTTTTTTGAATTTTTTAAATTTTTTTTTTGAATTTTTGAGATTTTTTTTTAATTTTTGGGATTTTTTTTATTTTTAAGATTTTTTAAAATTTAAAAAATTTTTTTTTTAATTTTTGATGTTTTTTTTTAATTTTTTTGATTTTTTTTGAATTTTTGAGATTTTTTTTTATTTTTGGGATTTTTTTTATTTTTAAGATTTTTTAAAATTTTAAAAATTTTTTTTTTAATTTTTGAGGTTTTTTTTGAATTTTTAGGAAATTTTTTGATAAAAAATTTGATGAAAAATTTTTTTAAATATTTTTTTTTTTCAGTTATTCGACATCGTTGAGCTCGATTTCACCGATCCATTCACGGACAATCCCGTTTTCGCCCAACTTTTGAAGCTCATTTCCTCCATTTTCAAAGGATTCCACACTGATGTTGAGGACCGAAAAGACAACTCCTCATCAGACATCTCCCCATCCAAGCCTTGTGGCGTAATGATTGACCCCAAGTATTGTGATAACGAGAAATTCAGCGATGTGAAGTTTGTGGTTGATGGGAGAACCATCTTTGCGCATAGAATTGCATTGGTAAATGCGAGTCAACAATTCGAGGCGATTTTGCAAAATGGAGTTGACAGTGTGAAGGTGAATGACATCAGTTATGCAACTTTTAAGGTGAGGAATTTTAATGAAAATTATAAAAAAATAAAAAAATTTTTTTTCAAAAAATAAAAAATAAAAAAAAATAAAAATAATTAAAAAAATAAAATTTAAAAAAATTAGAAAAAATATTTTTTAAATAAATAAAATTAAGAAAACCATTTTTTGAATTAAAAAAAGCCGTAATTTAGTTTTCAAAAAAAAAAAATAAAATAAAAAAAAGAAAAATTTTTAAATAAAAATTTTTTCTGAAAAAAATAAAAAAAAATATTTTTTAAAATTAAAAAATTATTAATTTTTACAAAAAAAAAACAAAAAAATAAAAGTTTTAAAAAATCAAAAAATCTCATTTCTAGGCCCTAATTGAGTTCGTATACGGAAAGCGCGCCGAATGTCTCAAACATATCTCAGCTGAGCCAATTTCCGAACAACTGAAGGCAATCCAATCGGCGGAAAGATTCGGATTGTCCGAGTTATCCGAACTGATCGTCAAAGCAATCAGCGATCATATCGAGGTCGTCAATTGCTTATCGATATATCAGCATGCTATTGTAGGTCGATATTTTAGTTTTATTTTTTTTATTTTCATTCCATCCCTCAAAACCTTACAAAAATTCCAAAAAACAACTTTCCAGAAGACCGACAACACCCGCCTGCTGAAGCGCGTGGAGCCGTTCATCCTCTGCCATCTGGAGGAAATCCTCGGCCGCAGCTCGCGCCATCGTCTCGAGTTCATCCAAATGAACAAAACCTTCGACCTCACGCAACGTTTAGCCATATATTCGAATCGCACCGTGCGCCAAATCTTTCACAACTTCGAGTCCGAAGAGCTTTCCGTCCACAAACTGTAAAGTTATATCATAATCTAGATTTTATCGGAATAAATGTAATATTTGAAAAACAATTGTGCAGTTGTATTGGCATGAAAAGTGCTTCTAACAAGGAAAGTACTTTTATGGGGGCTCCTACTTTTTGACGGGACATATCTCAAAAAATCAGAAAAAATGTGCTGATCAAGAATATATAGATCTTAGCTGCCCATTTTAGGTTTTTAGGGGTGAAAACTGAGTCGGAAGTTGACTTAAAGTCCTATATGAACCCCTTTTCGCTTAATTTTTTCAAAGGTTTACAATTTTTATTTTGGCTTAAAATGGTGTTTATTGAGTTTCTAAGACGTAATAAGACAGTCTTGGCCCAAAAATTTATTTTTCCGACCTTCAGCTTCAAAAAAAGTTGATTCAGCCCAAAAGGGAAATCGAACCTGTGCGGCGTCCCCCCTCTTGATTCCCAGACTGCGGCACTAACCGCTCGGCCACACCGCTCTCTTCCGAAGGAAGAGATCGAGTGCTCTTTTTATCGTTTCGAATGTCTGCCTTTTGTAGGGAAATTAAACCAGTTTTTGGGCATTTTCACCCTTAAAAACCTAAAATGGGCAGCTAAGATTTATATATCCTTGATCAGCGCATTTTTTCTGATTTTTTGAGATATGTCCCGTCAAAAAGTAGGAGCCCCCATAAAAGTACTTTCCTTGTAAAATAAGCCGTGGCTAGCCTTTTTAACAAGGAAAGTACTTTTAGCTCCTACTTTTTGACGGGACATATCTCAAAAAATCAGAAAAAATGTGCTGATCAAGGATATATAAATCCTAGCTGCCCATTTTGGGTTTTTTGGCATGTTTTGGCCGTCGAAAGTTCCTTGTAAGCAAAAAAAAATTTCGAATTTTTATCGATTTTCGGACAAATTCTGCAAAACAGGAGCCAGGAATATCCTACATATTTATCTTAGAAAAATGTAATCTAATACATCTACAAGTTTCACGTATGCCAAGTTTCATGAAGACCTTAGTCTCTCACTTCAAGCACATCTCCTGTAAAGTTTGACAGCCACAACAGCCCTTCACTTGTCAAAGATGTCTCTGTTTTTTGCTTTTGTTTACCGCAACCCTCGCTCGGCATGGCGTGTTTGTTTTTTTGAACAGCATTTTTTATTATTTATTATTGCCGGAAAACGAGTTTAGTTTTTGACAACGCCTCATCAGCATATGTTGTTCGAGCTTTCAGTCTCTTCTCTCTGGTCGATGATCGATGCGTTTTGAACAAATCTTTTTTATATTTCTTCAGGAAAAAGACTGTGGAGATGGTATCCGATCACCGCTTCAGGACGCCAAGTCGTCTCAAAGCGACGACTAGGCGGTTTTTGGCCGGTGAAAGCTCAAATGAGGCCACTTTAAGGCCCTAAATTTTTGGGAAGGATGTTTATAGGGGAAGTACTCCAAGTGCGACACTCAGATTTTGATGAAACTTGGCACAAATTTAGAATAATTGTTTCTAAGATATATGCGAGGATCCTAGCTCGCGCTTTGCTGAAACAACGGAGATTTTTAGACCGAAAGTCGGCCAAAATTTAGGACTTTTTGCCGAATTTCGGCACGAAAAGTTTCATGCCTATTTCTACCGCAAAGGATAATGTTTCTACAAAAAATCAAATTTTTCCGCGCGAAACTGCCAAAGTTATGGCCAAAAAGCGTTTTTCTCTCTGACCGCTGTCCACGTTTAGCGTGCTCTCTCAAAAATCGTTCGATATCTCGGCGGGGCCCGCAAAGCGCGAGCTAAAACTTTCAGGAATTGATTTTATCCCTACCCGACGTGTGTGCAAAATTTAAAGAAAATCTGAGAGTCGCACTTGGAGTTACTTCCCCTGTTAGTTTTGTTCATAAATTTTTTGGTTAAAATACGCCACTAAAGCTTTGATTTCTTTAATTTTTAAAGATATGAGCGTACTGTGAAAATTTTTACGGATTTTATGTCTCGACTCTAATCGAAGGAATTCCAAAGGGATTTTTACGGCCTACCAAGGCCGGGAAAAATGATTAAAAAGGTTATATTTCATATTTTTGAAGCCTTTAGGCATCAATAATAATAAATATCATAGCAAAAAAATATCAAATGTTATCTGTCGAGAAAAAAATGTGGATTTGTCGCACCTTAGAATCGCCCCTCATCGCTTTCCGACGGCTAGCAGAAAATTTAATGCGAGAAATATTATTCCGAAAAATCCGCATTATTTTCTCGACAGACTGACAAAACAGGTTTTCTATACTTTACCCGCCTCCACATTCAATATTAACATTTCCATTTGCCTAACGCTTGCGAAAACCAATTAATTTTTATGCTCTCGCTGACCTTATTTACATAGTCGGCCAAGTGAATCAGCTAGTCATGGAGGTCTAGCATTTCTTGTGCTCTCTTGCCCTTCCTTGGCTAGACCTCGTTTTAAAATTTGATGGAAATTCAACAACGCATGGGGAATTTTTTAATGCTAACAAAAATTGATATGCTCTGAGGTGGAACGGACATTGGATGAGTAAAAATTTATGAAATTTTGAGCACTTTGGAGGCCTTTTCAAAGTGGATTTTGCAGGGGTTTTTCGATGGGAAAATATTTTAAAAATTTTTTTTTTAATATTATTTTACATCGCTTGTCAAATGCGGCACATTTTGACAAAATTCAAAGCTGCGAAAAGCATTTTTTGCTCTTATTAGGTTGCTGAAACGTTCCCAAAATAAATATTTTTTCTCCGCGCGACTTTGGCAGATATAGGGCCTAAAAATCGTTATTCTATCTAATTCCTCTTCACACTTGACGTAAAAAGGTGATCCGATATGTTGATTGCTGTTGTAAAGTTTAGCGAAATTGGGAAGTGGTATTAGAACGGGTTATAAACTTGCTGTCATCAGCTCTTTTCCTCACAATCAGACATACGCGAGGCTCCTATCTCACGCTTTGCAGGAACGACGGAGAATTTTAGCCCGAAAGTTGGAAAAAATGAGACATTTTCTTTTCAATTTTAGCGCGAAAAGTTTCACATGTTTCTGGTGTAGAAGGTAATAAATATTTACACAAAAAATATCAGTATGTCGGGAAAATAACGGCGGATCATCGCGCCTCGGAATCGCCCTTCGTCGCTTTGCGACTGCAATCCGTGGCTGGGGATTTGGTACGCGATAGCGGCGAGACATTTTGATGCGACCATCCGCCGTTATTTTCCCGACAGACTGATAAAACTTTTCCGAGCGAAACCGGCAAAAATATCACCAAGAAGTGTTTCTCTGCCCGCTCTCCGCCTTTCGCATACTCTTTCGGCCGTAATAATCCTTGAATGTCTCGGCTGCCCCTTGAAAGCCGGGGCTAAAACTTTCAGAGATTGATACGTATCATATGCCCAAGGCGTACGTAAAATTTCAAGAAAATCTGAGGATTACACTTCAGGGGGATGTTTCACGTACAAAAGGGCACTAACTTGAGTTAGCCGCATCACGCAAAAAGCGGAGAGAGCAGGGAAAAAAAGGACTGCTAACTTGAGTGACCTCTTTTCCTTTTGATCGGCGAATCGGGCGACTTTTTATGGGCCTGGCCGGACATTTTAGGTCATAACTTTTGATACAGTGGACCAATTTACGCCCTTCAAAAAAAAATATTAATGCTGGTTGTACGCAGAACGCATGGATATAAATTCTAAAATTTCCTTCTAAATTATGCAAATTATATGCAAATTATTTTTCTTGGTATCTTAAAGTTCGTATTTTAATAAAATCTTTATATACGCATATCCGTTATGTTCTCAGCATCAACACGTTTTTTGAAGGGCGTAAATTGGTCTACTGTGCCAAAAGTTATGGCCCAAAATGTTTGGCCAAGGTCGATAAAAAGTCAGGTCACTCGAGTTACCACTCCTCTTTTTCGCTTTTTGCGTGATGCCGCTAACTCAAGTTAGTGCCCCTCTTGTACGTGAAACATCCCCCAGATATTTCTCTTGTTCTTAATTTTCTAGGTTTCTATATCCCACCCGTTTGATTTTTCAACAAATTGGCCTCCGATCGCTTGTTTATATCCCATTAAAATTGTTTTAGTTTTTGTCTTCCGTCTTGAAGGGGGATATCATCAATCAAGTGGGGAGAACGCGAGACATTTAAACACGGTGTGTCAATCTGCGAAAAAGAACGTATTTATTGGGTTTTTGGCCGGTCAAAGCTCAAATGAGGCAATTTTCAGGCCCTAAATTTTTGTGAAAAAGATATTTTTTTGAGCGTGAAAAGGTTTGTTTGTAAAATACGCTTGAAAAACTTCTGAGTTGTTATTTTTGTGCACACTATTAGCATTTTCACAAAGTGAGCCTATGAAAGTCATTTATAGACCCCACAAATTTTAGCTCGCGCTTTGCAAACACAGCTGAGCTCGATCTTTGTGAGCGAGTGAGCTGAACTCGGAGACGTTCAGAGTGAAAACACTTTTTTTTGTCGTATCTTTGTCATTTTTTGCGCGGAAAAAATAGTTTTTTTGTGGAAACATTACCCTCTACAGTAGAAATAGGCATGAAACTTTTCATAGCAAAATTCGCAAAAAAAAAAGTCAAAATTTTTTCAATTTTCGACCAAAAAAATCTCGGTCGTTTTTGCAAAGCGCGAGCTATATAGGAGTCTCACGTACATCTTATTGTTAGAAAATTACTGTAAATTTACGTCAAGTTTCACCAAAATCTGGATCTACCCCTAAGTTCGAGAACTCTCCCTGCAAACCTAATTATTTTTTTTTTTTATTTTTTCATTCCAGAATTGTTCAGAATTAATCCCGCTGTTTTAATGGCCAATGACTTCCTTCTCGAGCTGAAATGCCATTTCCCAAACGACCTTTCCACACAAAGAACTTTGGCCAACGCACTTCCCACAAGGCAGATAATTAGAGCCAAGAAGTGGGGGGAAATTAGTCTTTATCGCGAACTTGTTCTTGTTTTCTGTAGTCTTTTGCCGGAGGGACATGATTTTCGAATTTTTTAGAATGCCAGGGAAATCTTATGTGGCTTGAAGGGATTATTGCTTACAAAGCTTTCACTTATTGTCACGATTCTTTCAAGCCAAAAATCAGTGTTATTACAGTATCACAGATTACTTTGAAGTCTCACAAGAATATGGGCGTGTATTGCGGCGGTCGGATATTAGTAAAAGTGGGCACAAATTTTGATTGTTTCTTTTTGAAGCCCTTTTCAAAAGTTTCTATGCAGAAACGACCGAGATTTTTATGCCAAAAATTGGAGGAAAAAATATGACCATTTTTGACAAATTTTGGCATCAAACGTTTCATGCTTATTTCTACCGTAGAGAGTAATGTCCCCACAAAAAATCAATCTTTTCCATGCGAAACTGATAAAGACATTAGTCTTTTAGCAAAATCGCTAGAGTGATTTTTACTATTAGGTTGGATTATAAGTTATGACCAGATTGCCACGGCTCTGAAGCTGGCTCTTGGCTTCGGCTCCGAGCCGGGAGCCAGAGCCGGAGCCGGAAATTTTGGGCGTGGCTCCGGCTCCCGAGCCCAAAGTCGGAGCCAGGCTTCTCAGCGTTCAGAAAAGCAAAAATTTCATGATCTTGTTAAATCAAATTGCTTGAAAAATACTGGGAAGGATGTGTTGCATACGGCTTGGCTGCAAAAACGTTGGGTGTATGATCTATGGCACTAATAACCTTTATTTTTGGAAAAGTGTTTTTAAAAATTATTTTGCACGGGAGCCGGTATTCGGAGCCGGAGACCCTTTCAAATTTTTCATGGGAGCCGGGAGCCGGAGCTGCAAATTTGGCCTCGGCTCCGGCTCTGGGAGCTAAGAGCCGGAGCCGAAATTTTGACCGTGGCAATCTCTGGTTATGACCATAATCTTCTAAAATTCCTAAAACTTTAATGATGCTTTTTTCCGATGCTGTGTCAGCGTTTTCTACGACCCTGCAAGACTATAATAACACCAATCCGAGACCAGCAGCGGTTGGCAGAGAGACATGACTTGAGTTGTTTTGTACCCTGCCATAATCGGGGCATTTCCGAGTTTTTAGCAATAGAAAATCTCGGCTATGCCGTAAGACTTTTTAATACGCACTAGATGAAACTTAGATAAGCCCTCTATTAGTCTATAAGTGTGTTGAACTAAGGAGGGATCTGAGCTAGGAAATAGTCGACGTCAAACTTTTGCAAGAAAATGGTCATAACATATTATCCAACCTAATACAAGCACTATTTTTTCGAATTTTTTGGCTATCTAATGCCAGTGGGGACTTTTAACGTATAGAAACGTTCTTCACGCCCGAAATATTTCTCTCTCACATCTGCGAATTGAACTTTTCCCCGGCCCCAAAGTTCAAAAATGATTCGAAAGTGCCATCTGATATGACGTGGGTGTAAATGCCACTTGATGATAAATTGGTTATATCCAACCCTCGCTAATGACATTTGAGGTTCTCTCCGACTTTTCGCTTTCATGCGAACGCTCGGGTGAGAATTGAATTACATTTTTTTTTTATTTTCGAAAGGGATTTCCGCGAAAACGGCCGGATTTCTGAAGCCAATATGACTATAAATCTATACTTTTTGCGTTACTTTTTGCCAGAGACTTTGGCTGACGTTACTTTTTAGAGGTCTTACGGGCATTTTTATTTAAATTTTTGAATAGTACATGGCAAGAAAGTCAAGTTTGGTGCTAATTTTTGTTGTTTACTCTTTATCTTTTTCTCTTCCTTGTCGTAATCAGATTTACGAGGGAAGCCTTCCAAGTGCAATGCTCGGATTTTCTCGAAACTTTGGACACACGCCAGGCATGGCTAAATATTAGCATTTTCATAAAGTCCGTAGACTTTTTTTGTCGTAGGTTGTGCTTAGTGCAAAAACGGGACGTTGCGGTGGCGCGAGAAAAAAATTGACTATGCAAATGGTAAAAGTTCCTTATTTTGGCCACAATTTATAACTTTGCGGAAACTGGTCGAAATTAGCCCAAATTTAGCGTGCACGCTCAATTCATCGTTGTCAATGCCCGGACAGTGGATTTAGTTAGTGAGATACCTTCTTTTTTACGAACCACCTTACCCTTCAAAAACGGCTGCAGCCTGCGATTTTACACTTTATACGATGATGTCCGGAACTAAATTTATTGCCTCCGTATGGAACTAAATGAGTCGTCACAGCCTTCGTAGGTACCCTTAAAACTATAGAGCTATTATAGTAATTCAGTGCCAGCTAGGTCGAAGCGTTTTTCCTAACTTTAGTGCCCAAGCTTGGGCGCAGTTCGCGGAGTACCTTTGTTGTGGCCAAAATAAGGAACTTTTTCCTGGACTTGCACGCCTATGACAAAAAATCTACGCACTTTCTGAAATAACTAGTAGTATCAATTCCTGAAGATTTTAGCTCACGCTTTGCGGGGATAGCCGGGATACTTTTCGTGGCAAAGTTTGCAAAAAGTGTCCCATTTTCTCCGACTTTCGATCTATGTAAAAACCTTGGTCATTTTTGCAAGTTGCGAGCCAGGAGTCTTATAAGTCTGTCGGGAAAATAATGTGGAATTGTCACTGTAAAATGTCTAGCCTTCTTCGCAATCCCGCACCAAATCTCCGGCCGCAGCTTGACGTCGCAAAGCGATAATGGGCGATTTGAAGTCACAAAAAATCCAAATTTTTTTCCCGACAGACTGGTATACAAGTTTCGTTAAAATCTGAGCGTCCCAATCTGTCAGCCAATTTTTTTTTGATTTTTTCAAAATTTTATTATCATAATGTCGCAATAATTTTTTTCTCCCATTGTTTATCCCAAGAGACCCTAGGATAAGTGGCTTAAAAGAAGTGCAATGTCTCTTGTTTTTTGTTATTGCTTCCCCCACAAATTTTTGCAAAACAAACAAGCCAATTCAATTACTGATCTAGGCCAAATATGGTTCTCTGCCGGCTCATTATTAGTATTCACAAAGTGCATGGACATTTGTTCTCTTTTGCACGGTGTATTTTTAATTTCTTTCCGTCCCTTGTCGCCAACGCACAGTGCATAAAAATGAAATTACTTTTCGCTTCAGCGACGCGGTACAACATTATGCTCATTATTTTCCCGACAAAAATGAAAATGTATATTATAGTATATATGCATATTGTAGTATCTTCAGTCATCACCAAGCCCTTGAGAGCATGCCAATGCATTGCTGAGCCTCCACAAATGCCAAATCCTTCAACATGTCGATGTGGTTAGTGATTGCCTGTTTCGTCCTGCCTGCGGCCGTCTTCTCTCTGTGCGGCTTCATCGCCTGGTTGCGGATGTGGCAGTTGGGGCGACGACGAGAGAAGAAAGTGTTCCAGCAACTGGAAGAGCATGTTCGGCAGCGATATGAGTAAGTTCAAGCGGCTTGTCTTGTTATTCGGACCGTTTTAGATTACGAGTAGAGTACGTGTAGATGCTTTATCTTCTTGCTTTATTGTGGAAATGTAAGCGTGTGAGAGTGCGGAGAAGTGTTTTTTGTTACAGAAGAGTGGATTTTTATAGGTGTACAACGAATTCACATAAGATAGATGTCTATTTTCAGTCTGTCGGGAAAATAATGTGGATTTGTCGCGTTTTGGACTTGCCCATCATCGCTTGCAACGGCTAGCCCACGACTGAATTTTAGTTATTGCGACGAGGCTAGATATTTTGTTGCAACAAATCCACATTATTTTCCCATCTGACATAAATTTAGATGCGAGATTCCTAGCTTGCGCTTTCCAGAAACTTTAAGTTTCCAAAAATTGGCACTTTTTTTGAATTTTGGCTTCAAAAATTTCATGCCTGTTTTAATGTAAAGGGCAATATTCCCATAAAAAATCGTTTTTTTCATGCGAAACTGGCAAAGACATGGCAAAAAAAGCGTTTTTCTGTCTGACCGCATTCTGCGTTTCGCCTACTCTTTCGATCGCCAAAGATCAGTATCTCGGCTGCGTTTGCAAAGCGTGAACTAAAACTTTCAGGAATTGATACGTGGTTAACGATCAACATGTGTGCCAAGTTAAAAAAATCTCTGAGTGGCATTCCCCTTGTTAGGTAACAAAATGAACCTCCCTACTGCAAAGCCGCACTAAAAGCGAGTAATTTTTTGGTGCAGTTCAATATGTGATTGTCTTACATTCGAGACACAAAACTTGCCGTAATAGAAACTATCAAGGGACATTGCGTATTTTACAAAGAGTATTCTATAATTCTTTCAGAGCCTGCCGTCACGGTCGTCTTTCCGCCCATGGAACGTTGCGAACCGGCTCCACACAGGTCGATCTTCCATTAAAGTCCGAGAAACAAGTTCTTTTCGTTTGAAAAGAAAGCGGAAGTTCTTGTACTTCATTATGATTACTGTTGTTTTTAACAAGTTTTTGTTGTATACCGATATCATGTACATAAATTTGAAAGTGTATCATGTATATTTGAAGATCTTTTCTTGCTAGGAGGATAAAATCTACGTGCGTTTCATTAGTTGCTGATCCCATCTTCATTCATCGCGTCTTCGCTTTTCCAGCGATCTCTCGACTTGCTCCATTTAGCGTTGGCTACGAATTGGCCATACATTGATTGCTGGTACAGTGGCGGACCTGATCCAGTGGCAAAAACGTACCATTTTTCCGGGAAGAATCAAAAATGAGGCAGAATAGCTCCCTCTTCAAGTGAAAGGACTACGATTTCAAAAGCGCTCTTTTTGTGAGGCGCGCGCTCTTCAAAACACGGTTTTCTTAGTTGTAGAGGGAGGTATTTTGCTGCGCTTTTGGAAATCCCCGAAAGCAAAATTTTACGTTTCTTGCACATTGAATCAGGCTCGCCAATATATCTTGAAATCTCTTTGATCGTTGGCTACTGGCCCCGGCACAAACAACCCTTTGCGCCCGCAACGGCATTGGTAATCAAGCAAATACAGAACCAAATCACCCACACTCGTTCTTTCAAGAGCTCCTGAAAATCCACAGCACGCATCCGGAGCATTGCCTAGGACCCATAATCGAACAAAACAAACAAGCTGATCGTACTGCATCCATTAAAAAATTTTTGAACTTTTGCTCATTTTTCCGTATTTCCGAACACAAATTTTCCAGTGGGCAACCAGCTATATCCACAAAAATAGCATGTGGGCTTAGTTTCCCAACAAATTCTGTAGTCTGTTGCCTTACAATTGCAACTAAAAAAACTGCTCAAATACGGATATTTGGACTAAACTGGGATATAAAAGAGGGATCAGTTCCCAGAGAGGATATCGTTGAGAATGATGCAAAAGCTCGCTATTGTCTTTGTGTTGGCTGTGCTCGGTGTTGAGGCCAAAGAATGTGTTGCGAATGAGACCACCGGCACCGTGGTGTTTGGAGTTAATCTGAGGGGTACACGTAAGTTCCATAAGCGTCTCGATTAAAAAATAACCGCATTTTTGCACATCCAAACGATATATTTCCAGTTATCATCAACACTACCAGCAACGCCAACATCAGTGTTGACCCCGAAGCCGACTATGTTGGGGTCCCCGTGAAAGTCTTTGCGATCTTTCAAAAGGAATTTGATGATGATCTTCCAATCCGAGAGTTCTTCAACAAGCGCACGTTGTACCTGAACATTACCATCGAAGGTGAAAGTTTTGGCGCAAATAGTATTCATGGAATTACGTTGAACACAACCGAGGGAGACCAGTGGTTCTTCGGGAAGCCGATCGGAAATGAAATCTGCAGAATTCTGCGCGCCAAAACTGATCGCCCATCCCAAGCAAACTAAGAGTTCTTTCTTTATTTTAATAAATTACGGCATCAGAGTTTCTTGAATCTTTTGAAAAAGTTTTGTGAACATTGACTTAGGTACGTCAAGGTCGGAAAAAAGTATGTATTCTTTGGCATAAGGTGAAGCGTTGAACGTCATAGATACGCATTAGACATATGAAATGTAATTCTTCAATCTCTTTAGCCTCTCAGAAGCAAGGAGTCGTGAAATCCAACTGGGAATTTAAAAAAATGCTCGCTAGCTAGGGCGTAGAGCAAAAATAGCAGCTAATAAAAGGTGATCCTAGACCAGTTTTTTACGCTCTTTCAAATGGTGTATGTCTCAAGAAAAAACCAGGATGCGCGGTTTTGCCGATCCCTTGTCATTGTTAGGTATATTTATTGAATAGTTATCGTATGTACAACCCAAATTACATGTATATTTTCATTTCCTCGCCATCATCTCAATGACTCGTCGCCTCAGGGGCTCCAAAATCATCCCATCATCCTGCGACTGCCCCGTTTCCTTCATCTTCATCTGATGTTTGTACGCTTCTACGCATTCCTTGGGCACTAAAAAAACGCGATATTTCAGAAGACGTATTTTAAAATTTCACAAGTGTAATTATGTCAACAATTACATAAATATAAATCATCTTAATTTCCGCTAATATCGCGTGCACTTACACTTGTTACAGCGCTGTTCCAGGTCGTCGTTCTCCACGCAAAGTTCGTCTTCTTTACATTCCTTTTCGCACATATCCAGGACGGGGATCCATTGGGCTTCCGAAAACGGATTTCCGCCTAAAATTTGATAAATATAAATAGATTTCGAAATGATTGATTTTTCTGAGAATTTGACCTTATAAGTTTCACAAACGTAACTGTTCGGGGTTCTGAGATATCTTGTCTGATTTATTGCTTCGAAATTGCAGTCGGACAAACAAAAATTCCTCTCTGATAGCTCTCCTAATTTCTCGTATATGTCTGCTGCAGCCATAAAATTCGTAATACTAGTCGCGTCATAAAGTCCGTAGAATTTTCTTCGCCAATGTCGCGGGTGCGATCGCCCAAAAGTGCATGTCGCTACAGTGAGGGACCTGATCCAATGGCATAAAACGTCTCCTTTAGCATCCCGGAAGGGATCAAAATGACTCCAAACCATTCCCTTCTCTAAGCTAAAAAACTCCGCTTTGAAAAGCGCGCCCTTTCCTTCAAGGCGGGCTCTACACACTGTGCAATTTCTACGGATCTTTAATATATCGCGCCTAGTAAAAGTTATAACCATTGACACATTTCGGCTTTAAATACCTCAAAAATTTCTTGTTATAGATTCATGCTGCATGGGAGTTCATTTTACGGATTAGTAAATGGTTTTGAGTCAAAAGAAAATTCGCGCGGCGCTCAGAAATGTTATTGTTTGCGCACGTTTCGGGCATAGGCCACATATCAATTTCTGGAAGTTTTAGCTTGCGCTTTGCAAGAACAGCCGAGATATTGAACAATCTTTGCGGCCGAGAGAGTACGTGAAACGCGGAGAGCGGTCAGAGAGAAAAAAAAACTTTTTTGGCCGTATGTTTGCCAGTTTCGTCTGGAAAAAAATGAATTTTTGAGGAAAGATTACCTTCTACATTAGAAATAACCACAAGCTTTTTCATGCCAAAATTCGCAAAAAAAATTCACATTTTCTTAAACTTTCGATATAAAAATCTTGGTCGTTTCCGCAAAGCGCAAGCTATTAGTATATTATATGGACTGGAAAAAAACTGTTCTAAGCTAGTGCTAGCCCTCATCAAAAACTCGGCATCGCACTAGGAGTATTTCCTTTTTTAATGGCCAAAATAGAGAGAAAACACTAGCAGAGTTACAGTCATAACACAGCCAGATTTTATGTAAAATACGAAGATTTCTTCCCTGACAAGACTTTTTCCACGATTAACTTACACAACTTCTGGTTCAACATGATAAATTTGTTCATATCCAAGCAGTAAACCGGTGTTAGCGACAAGAATAAAACTAACAACTTCTTCATGATACAACAGACTTGGCAAAATACGAGAAAATCGACCCAAAAGAATAGCAGAATAGAAATGAACGCAATTATTTAGTAACTTTTCTCCGCTCACCTTGAGTTATTTGTTGTTTTAGCGACGACTTCCTTTCTTCTGTCGGTTCCGCAAAAAGAAAGAGGATGACATTGTGACGTCACAATTAGAAATGGACCGCAAAAAACGAGGTGGAAGCTGAAGAGTGATGATGAATCGAGGGTAATTGCTGCCACATCAAGGTATACGAGTGAGATATTTATAACACGAAGAAATGCAATGAAACACACAATTTGTGCGTCATACAGTATTATTAGCATTTTCAAAAAGTGCATGGACATTTGTTCTCTTTTGCACAGTGAATTTTGAACTTTTTCCAGTCTATGTACTCTTTAAAAAGCCTGTCTACGCACTTTTGAATAAAGCTGAATAACTGAAAAAAAAAGAATTTTAGGGTCATAAGGCGAGTATTAGTGCCTTCATACTAGGGTTCGGACGGGGTATATACCCGGGGTATATACCCAAATACCCGAGAGGCCGAGAATTTTCGGGTATTTATGGGTATATTCAAATTACTTTTGCATTCAAAAAATGTAAAAAAAAGTCGAGTTTTGTCATAAAAAATCAATAAATGTTGACATTTTGTCATAATTTGTTTTTTGCCTCTCAAAACTTGGTTGTAAGGCGGAAATTTACTTGGACGGGGTCGGAAAATAAACGGGAAAAAATTAAAAATCTGACTGCCAAATATTGGATTGCTAAACTTTTTGATTGTTAAAATACTAGTTTTGTTTGTTGTAGTTGGGAAAATAAAGAATATCACTCCAAACTTGACTAGGTTAATGAATAACTTGCTAATTATTCATTAACGACTTCATATTGGTACTATATTGGACTAATTTAGGCTAATTTTATAAATACCCGAATATACCCGAGATTTCGGTTATATACCCGGGTATATACCCGCGTGGTGAATATACCCGAATTTTCCGAACCCTACTTCATACTAGTTCATCCAGAAAGTCACCGGACTGAAATCGGGTACATGGACTGTGAGAAAACCAAAATTCCCTTTTAACTGTTCAATTTATTGCTTTTTGCACCGTGCAATAGGCTTTTTTGGACCGTCGCTTGCACCCTGACTCTTTCGCACAGTGCCGGACGGACAGCAAAGTGCACTGACATTTTCGTTCGCACAGTGCATTTTGAACTTTTTCCCATGCTCGTCGCCAACGCACAGTGCGTTTTTCTTCATTTGTCGGGGTTTGCGCCGTGCACAAAATCCGCGAGTTCTTGCACCGCGCACTCACTTTTTTTTGATTTCAACTCAACGGCGCCGCTGCGGTTTTGCTCAAAAATGTGCACAGTGCACACGGTTTTTTGAAGTTTGCACGGTGCGCAAACGGGAAATTTCACAGTGTGTTGGCGACAAAGGTTCAAGACGCACTGTGCGAAAACGAAATGATGTCCAGGCAGTTTGTAAAAATGCTAATAGGCGGAGCCGAGGAAAAATTGAAACAGCCCGGCTATGTCTAAAAACAGAATGTGAGTCAGGCAGAATTATCTGTCGCAAAAGAATGTCAACAAATGAGCAATTGAGCCACATCATTTTTTTGCGATCACGCGGCAAAAAAGGCCTAATTTCTCTCGATTTTGTTCATTTTACAGCCAAAATATGATGTCATTTTGAGTTTTTTAATTTCACAGCCATGATGTTCATTTTGTATGATGTCATTTTTGGCGCATTCCTTGCCGACTCACCTTGTATACAAACATATTTAAAACCTGGAATGAACAGACTTGTATCGTTCACTAGCTGATCAACAATGTTCCAGAGAGCCCTAGCCTTATTTTTCGCAGCAGTTTTTGTGGACTGTTTGCCTCTAACAGAGCCAACATACCACTTGAAACTAGTGGGCCAGCTTCTCTGCAATGGGACCTCCATCAACGGCTCTGTAGCGCTCTTTGAAAACGGCGGTAAAATTTACATCAAAATATCAAAAAAAAAAATGATTTTAGCACCAAGAAAGGTGGCTTTGAGTGATGTTGAGGCTGGCGAGGATGGTAAATTTGAAATCGAGGGAAGTTCCAAGCTTTGGTCCAAGGAGCAGCCTCTTTTATGGATTTATCATAACTGCAATGGTAAGTGCTCTGATTAGAGGGGATTAGATATTTGACCGCGCTATGCAGAAATAATATTACGTCAATCGCGTAATAGAGAAAATTTTGTAAAATACGGTAAACGACTAAGCGTCTTCAAAAAGTTGAAATAAAATTACTTTATGACCAAAAAAATTCAAACCGCGTTATGCAGAAACATTTTTTTTATTTCGCGTTATACAGAAACATCCCGTGTGATACAGAAAAATCCGGTAAAAATCAACAAATCTGAATAAAAAATACGAAAAAATATATTTTAGACCCAAAAAATTTAGAGGGCAGCGTGCGCGTCAAAGGCTCTTCCCATTGCATGTGTCATCAGTCTGTCGGGAAAATAGCGAGCGCCCTGTCGCGTCAAAAATCGCAACCGTGCATTTTACATTTGGCACTGTTCAACTGTAATGGCGCAAGCTTTTTTTTCAACTGCTCGTCACAGACAACTGCACATTGCAAGATGGTTCAAAATGCACAGTGCGCGCGCCAAAAAGTCCACGCACTTTTGACAAAGCGAGTCTACGCACTTTTGAATAAATCTGAATAATCGAAAAATAGAATTTTAGGGTCGTATGAGGGCAATTCGCACTTTCATAAAGTTCATGGACACTTGTTTTCTTTCGCACAGTGCATTTTCAACTTTTTCCCACGCTTTTCTCCAACGCACAGTGCTAACCTAAAAAAAAGCCGTTTGCACGGTGCAAATTCGCTTTTGTCGCAGCGACACTTCAAATGCACAGTGCGAAAACGAAAAAAGTGAAATGCACAGTGCAAAATGGGGGTTTTTTGTGCACGGTGCGGGCTGACAAATGTCTATGCACTTTATAAAAATTTAATATGAGCCTGTCGGGAAAATAATAAGAACTTTGTTGCATCGATAATCGCATTGCCGCTGAGAAAATATATGATAAATTATGTCGCGGAAAATCAACATGCTTTTCACTTCAGCGACGCGATAGGCGACATTGCGCTCATAATTTTCCCGACAGACTAATGCATATTAATACGTATTTCAGGAGAATACGAAGTCACTAAACGAGTGGTTTCCGCAGCTCACACTTCGCTGGGAATTCCCCAAACTTACAAAGAGGAGTTTGAACTGTCGCAGGCGACGGACAACAAGCAATCTCACAAGATTTTCTTCCCTATTGGACTTCTTTTTCGCACTGTAAATTCCGGGCTTGCTCTTGCGGATACCATCATACGGAAAGTTTATTATTAAGGATTAAAAATTGTATGTATTATATGTTTTGTGTTTCTTATAGAACATACGAGGCTTGTGCACTTCAATAAATTTTATAATATTTTTTCATTTTTATTTGGCCCTTCCAATATTTCTGATGGAGGGTTTGTTCTTCTGGGCAAATATTACGTCTTCATGTTTGCTTTTTTGAGCTTAAATATGTCGCACGTGAATGAGCAAATGCATACAGTATTTCGGCGATTACTCAAATTGTTTCAGGGCTATAAGCAAGTGAGGAAAGACCGGTGTTTCGAAATAAGATAGCAAAAAGTACATTAAAAAACAATACTTATTGTAAATGTAATTGTTTTTTACATTGTCAAGACTTGTGTAGTCGAGGTGTAAAGAGGCCCCTGACTTGCCCTCTACTCCAAGTATCCACTGCCCCTACTAACCCGGAGACACAACTAGAGAACTCTCGCAGTAAAAACTGTGAACTCACGATATTGACTCCAATTAGCTTCTACCACCACCGCACTATGACAAGGGGACTTCCAACAATTCCAAAAATATGTTTATTTCACCAACGAGTGACCGAAAAGCGGTCGATCCATTACATTTATATCAAAATATTCGTCGGTTTATGCTAATTTCTGGGAATTCTTCACGGAATCGTGACAACATATCAATCTGCCGGGAAAATAGTGGCGGGTGGTCGACTGCGCCCTTATTTCCACGAGGCGAAATATTTTGCTGCAATGACCCGCCACACGGCATTCTGTACTTTTGGGACACAACCGATCTCCGCGACTTTCTCAATTTTTTTCGGAATGCGCCTGCCTTTTCTCTTCATATCTCGCTAGCCGTTTGCGCTAGAAGGCTGAAATTTGGTATGCCGGTAGAGCAAAAAGCTGGCTTTGAGAAAATATGAATATTGCAAGGAACCCTGCAGCATAAAGTTCCCGATGACAATTGAAAAAATCTGATTTTTAACCACTACTTTCAGACAGACCGATACAACTGTTGTTATCAAAGAGCCTGCATAAAATTACAGAGCCCATATTCAAAATTTTATCTGCAAAGCACGAGACAAAATTTTCAGGAATTAATACACGGCCTATGCCTGAAATTTGCGCAAAATTTGAAGAAACTCTGATCGTCGCACTTGGACTTCTTGAAAATCGGTTTTTTTGTTATCTTTATCATCAATTATCAGTCTTTCGGGAAAATAGTGGCGGTTCGTCGCAGAAAAATATTTCACCTCGTCGAAAAGAGGGTCCAATCATACAACATGTGCCCAAGGCCAGTCGTTGCAAAGCGATGATGGGCGATTCCAATGCGAGACTAGACCACATTATTTTCCCGACAGACTGATATCTCAGCTACCCTTGCAGAGTGCAAGATGAAATTTTCAGGAATTGATATGTGGCCTATGCGCGACATGTCTGCAAAATTTGAAAGAAATCTGAACTTTTTTTTATTGTTTATTTTTTTGCGTTATTTTTATCATCATTTAAAAAATTGCTCTATTTTCCCTCTTTTAACCCTTTTACAGCTTGTTTATTACCCTTTTCTCACCTCATCATCAACACTGAATGACTCAGAAAGCGATTGTAATCGTTTATCAACACGCCAAACCTCTCTTTTCCACTTGAATGACTCACAATTTCGACGCGCTTCGTACAGTCTCGGCACGTCACAATCGTCGTCGCAATGAAGCGTGAATTTATTATCTGTTCGCATCCACGAAAAGGGGGCGTGGCGCCGACGGGGAATTGGGTCGGAAGAGAGCGAGGGGGAAAATGGAAATTCCGCGCCAAACCCCTCCGGCCAAACGACTTTTACTTTGTGTGGCGCTTCGGACAATTTCCGGCCCCCCGAAATCATCGCTGCGGTCATTGTACTCGCGACAGGAGAGCGCCGAAATGAACATGGTGGGTCTAATTTGTTGTTGAAATAAAAAATTTTACTTTGAATACTTGCACAGTGCAGAAAAATTTTTTGATTTTGCACAGTGCAAAAATTCAAAAATTCGAATTTTTGTTTTTCCGAATGTCTAGAACGCAACATCCCCTATGAATATATTAGCGTCGTTTTGCGGACCATCTTTCTCTTCCCCAGAAAGGACGCGGAAATTGGATATTAGGGCATTTTGCGAGATTTTCCCAAATTTCGCACAGTGAAAGAGGATATTTTCTGTTTTTCACTGGGATTGAGCGCGTAAACTACACTTTTATTATATCTTTGAGGTCATAGAGGCTCTATAAAACGTTTTTAAAATCAAAATTTTTTCGCTGTTGCTTTGCACTGTGCGATCGGAAAGATTTGACTTTTGCACTGTGCGGATAAAATTTTTTGGATTTTCTCCGGAGTGGAGGAGCATAATAGGCCAAAAAGGAGCTGATATTTTTTGTTTACCCTCAGGGCTTCCTATTTTTGTATTAGCTTCAGAACAATCAGCCTGCACTGTGCGATAAGCAACTTTTGATTTTTTGCACTGTGCGGAATAATTTTTTCGGGTTTTCTCCGGAGTGGCGGAGTATGATAGGCCAAAAAGGAGTTGATATTTTTTGATTACCCTCAGGGCTTCCAATTTTTATATTAGCTTCAGAACAATCAACCTGCGCCGTGCGATAAGAAACTTTTGATTTTTTGCACTGTGCGGAATAATTTTTTCGGGTTTTCTTCGGAGTGGCGGAGTATGATAGGCCAAAAAGGAGTTGATATTTTTTGTTTACCCTCAGGGCTTCCAATTCTTGTATTATTTCAAAATCATTCAATCCGCACCGTGCGGAAATTCATTTTCAAAATTTCGCACAGTGCCGTCATTTTTCGCTTCCGCACTGTGCATTGGACCAAAAAGGTTTACCTTGACATGTTGAAATTCCTTTTTCATTAGTCTCTTTTCATCGTACACATCAAAAATCGTCTATTCAAAAGGCTTTTCGGATCGTTTAACCATGGTATTGGCGGTTGTTTTGGGCCGTAGCAAACGAACTGTGGCCCCCCAAAAATAAATACGAATTTCGCTCTCAGCCGCTCTTTGACAAGAAAATTTTGGGGTGGGGGGAGTTGTCTGGCCCATTGACATGTGTAAATTGCTCTTGTGCTCCGTGATAGACACAAGTTTTTTCTTTTGAGATTTTATAAAAAAAACATTTTTTTTGAATTTTTTAGAATATTCAACGGCAAAACAACCAAAACAACGGGCAAATGCGTCGATGCACTGCCGCAGAGTACGAAGGTAAGATTTTTTGCTATTTTTACATTTTTTATTTTTTGCACAGTGCAATATAAAAATTTTTTGACTGCACCGTGCAAAAATTTAAATTATAAATTTTTGCACTGTGCAGTATGAGAAAAATAAAAAAACAGGTATTTTCGAGTATGTAGAGATACGGAAAACACAATAACAATAGTTTGGAATTCTCCATTTTCCTCTGCACCGTGCAATCTTAACTTTTTTGAGCTGCACAGTGCAGAACTTGTAAAGTCTATTTTGCACTGTGCGGAGGAGAAATTTCTAAAGAAGTTGGTAATGTAGGTGATGTACCTAGTTTAAAAATTAATTATGACTTTTAAAATTTTGTAAAATACGCAAGCTAATATTACTTTTGAAATTTTTTTCTCCTTGCACAGTGCAAAAATTAAACTGTAAATTCTGCACTGTGCAGATCAAGAAAAATTATGAAGTAAATTTTTTCGACTACGATAGGCTAAGAAGCACTGAAAAAAAATTGTTAGAAATTTATGTTTTTCTTCTGCACTGTGAAATCTTAAAATTTTCCAGCTGCACCGTGCAAGTTTTAAAAAATCGATTTTTCACGGTGCGTAAGATAAATTTTTAAATAAATCAGTAATGTAGGTGATGTATTCAGTGCGAAAATTAATTGTGACTTTTAAAATTTTGTAAAATACGCCACGACATGATAATAATTAAACTTTTTTTCTTTGCACAGTGCAAACTAAAACAAAAAATTTTGCACAGTGCGGAAAATTTTTTTGAATAAATCGGTATTGTAGGTGATGTACTCAGTGCAAAAATTAATTAGGATTCTTAAAATTTTGTAAAATGCGCTAGCCAATACAAATTTTGAAAATTTTTTTTCTTTGCACAGTGCAAAATAAAACAAAAAAAATTTGCGCTGTGCGAAGCGAATTTTTTTGTATTGCAAAAAAAAAATGAAAAACTTAAAAAATAACTAACCAATTCAAACCTAAAACACTATCAAAAACGTTATTCTCAAACGCCTACGCAAATTTCAAATGCGGAGGTGTTTGGACTTTCCGCACCGTGCGAATTCCAATCTTTTTGGCCATAATTCAATTCCAAACATCATCTCGATGCCCCGTGTTTTGCCGGATATCATTTCAGATTCTGTGCTTCGGATTTTCCGTGTGATACAAGCCATAACATAATGCGAATGGTATGTGGTTTTACCCCACACTTTTTGTCGCATCAATGGCTCATTTTATGGGCCAAAAATGTAAAAAAATGGGGAAGTATATAGAACTTTTTAGGGACTCTGCCGGAAAGAGGGGGATCAAATTAAACAGTTTTTTTTGGACTGACTTTGGCGAGATATTTTCTTTGAAATTTCTTTGGGGAATTTGCATAAATTTTGCGGATTCTGAGAGATTGGTCAGTTTCATAGAATTTAGATAGGTTTTTATGAGATGTTTTTTCATTTGGCTCTGAGAATGGAGTAAAGGAGAGTCCAAAAAACAAAATTTTTTGGGAAAGTCTAAAAATCGTGGCTAAAAATTAAAAAAAAATATTTAAAATGTTTTTAAAAAATTTCAAAAAATAAAAAATAAATAAAATAAAACAAACAATTTTACGATATTTTTTTATTTTTTTTTATTTTTAATCAATAAAGAATGGAAAATACCTAAATGAATATAAAAAAAATTAAATTCTTTTTGTAAATGTAGCTTGATGGGTCAATAGAAATGATATTATTTTCCGAAAAATATCTCGTGAGCTCTCCCTAAAAGATCAAACTCCTTATTTGTCCAGAATCTCGTTGTTTATCGCACTTTAGCCAAAACGGAGGCGTGAGCAAACACACGTTGAAACAAATTGCAATATTCCGATGTTTTGAAGATTTTGAATTACAGTAGAAACTGGTAGCATAAATTGAGGGGTTCGAAAAAATTTTAAGCTTAATTTTTTTTATTTAATTTAAAAAAAAATAAAATAAAATTTTTTTTTTTTTATTTTTATTTTTTTTTTAATCTTTTCCATTGCAAATTCGCTTTGACAATTTGCACTTTTTCGAACTCTCAAATGTTTTTTTTGACTCCCGGAATAAGTAAACTCGGCAAGTTTACAATTTCTCTTTCAACGCTCGGATTGCCAAGAAGAATGGCCAAATGACTTTTTGGCTTTGGTTTTTTGCTTTGTCCCCCGACTTGGCTTAATCAGATATAAACGCCGGGGGAAAACTGGATTGAAAATTTCGTCGTGAATATTCTGATATGGCTGAAAAAAAAGTGAAAACATAAAAAGATAATAAATAAATAAAAAAATTTGACCGCACAATGCAAACAATTGCTTTTTTTATCTGCACTGTGCAATATTTAAAATTATTTATTTTTGCACTGTGCGGCCAAAAAATAGTTTTTTATCTGCACCGTGCAATATTTAAAATTATTTATTTTTGCACTGTGCGGCCAAAAAAAGTTTTCTTTTAAAGCACCGTGCAGAATTTTTGACCGCATTTTTTCCACTGTGCTTCAAAGAAAAAAATTTTTTTACTGCATGATGCAGAATTTAATTTTTGCTTTGCACAGTGCAAAATTTTTTTTATAAAATTTTTTCGCACAGTGAAATGAAAAAAGTTTTCTTTTATTGCAGAGTGCACAATTTTCTTTTTATTTTGCACCGTGCTTTCCAAAAAAATCAAAAATCCTAGAATACAATGTGCAAAAAAATAAGAAACATAAAAAATTCAAAAAAACATCAAATTTCATTTATATGTTTATTATGTTTGCAGAATTCAAAAAAGCCTTCCAATTTTTCGACGCGAATCACGATGGTTACATAACTGCTCAAGAATTGGAACTGGCGATGAATAAATGCGGAGTTTACCCGTCGAAATTGGAACTTCGATTTGTGATGAGCGAGGGAGATCGGGATGGTGAGATTTTGAAGATTTTTTAGGGTAAAATACGTGGTCGGCATCTTTCATTAGCTTTTTTCATAAAAATAAAAAAAAATAAAAAAAAAGTGCGAAATCGATCTTTAAAAAAATAAGATTTTGAAGATTTTTTAGGGTAAAATACGTCATTGAATATTCTTGGCATATTTTTTAAAAATTAAAATAAAAAAAATTTCAAAAAATCCCAAAATTTTTTTTTATTTTTGGCTTCATTATTTTTTTTTATTTCGAAATTTTAAATCTGATTATATCCATCAACCAGTTTTATATCCCAAAAATATATTTTTTCTTTTTATTTTGGCGTGGGAGCAAGAATATAAAAAGAATATCAAAGAAGAAACGTTTTATAAAACAATTTGGCATGACATTTGACGTCAAACAAAAGAATAACTAAATTGCTCCCTTTTATTCGCTTTTTTGGTGGACAAAAAAGGGATTATAAACAAGTGGAAAGGATTAAAAATAAAAACACTGTTAAATTTTTTTATTTTTATATTAAATATATGGCTCAATTTCAAGACTTAGAAGCTTTGTAAAATACGAACAGTTTGACAACATCTTTTTTGACTTTATACAAATCTCAAAAAAGTAATAAAAAAAGTAAAAAAATTAAATTTTTTTATCTAAAATACTATTTTCAATTAACAAATTTATATTATTTCCAGGAAACGGAGTGATAACATTTGACGAGTTCGCAGCCCTGATGGAAAACCAAGATCGCAGGTTAAAGTACGACAATCAACAGCTATGGGAGCAGTTCAGGATGTTCGACAAGGTAAGGAATTTTAAAATACGAGGGTTCCAATAAACGTTATTTTTCTATCAAAAATTATTTATTTTTTTTTATTTCTTACAGAAGGGTGCCCAAACAGCCACCCTCAGATTTTGATGAAAATTGGCGCAAATTAAGACTATTTTTTTAACAATAAGCCGTATGCGAAACGGCTAATACATAAAAATAAAAATTTCAGGACAACGACGGGTTCATTGAGCGCGGCGAGATGACACAGATCGTCAAGGAGCTGGCGTTGGGTCGATATTTCCCCACCAACGTAATTGACAAGCTGTTTCGGGAAGCTGATGTGGATGGCGACGGCAAAATAAGTTTTGAGGGTAAGCTTTTTAAACTTCTTTAACAAGGGCAAGACCACAAGTATTTCATACCTATTTCTACCGGAAAGGGTAATGTTTCCACAAAAAATAATTTTTTTCCGTACAAAACTAGCAAAGTTTTGGCCAGAAAGTGTTTTTCTCCCTGACCGCTCTCCGCGTTTAGCGTACTCTCTCGGCGGCAAATATCGTTGAATATCTCGGTGGCGCTTGAAAAGCGTGAGCTAAAACTTTCAGAAATTGATATTTAGTTCATGACCGACGTGTGTGCGAAATTTATAGAAAATCTGACAAGGGAAGTCACTTTTTTCGCAGATCGATCCATACTGGTGACCTAGTGGATATTGAAGGCCTCAGTTTTTTTGGAGGTCTTTTCGGTGGGGTTTTCCGTGAACTTTGATGAGCCATAGCTCTGCCCTCAGGGCCTGTTTGGAAGCCAGATTCTCATTGCACTGTCTGAGGCCTTCAACATCCACTAGGTCACCAGTATGGACCGATCTGCGAAAAAGTAACTTCCCTTGTGAGCGTCGCAGTTTGAGTACTTCCGCTGTAAGTAAAATTACGGTAAATTGCAAAAAAAAAAATTTTTTTTCTTAACCAGTAGGCCACTTTTTTTGCTGTTTCGTTTTTTAATTCCTACAAACCACTTCCTATTTTCAGAATTTGCGATGGCCGTCAATTAGCGAATCCGTCACCCTCAATCAGACGCCCATTCCTATTCCAATTACGCAGCGGACGATGAGTTAATTCCATGGCAATAACAAGAATATTTACATAGATTTCTTTTTTATTTTTTTATTTGTGTGTACTTTTGATTAAACAAGTGTAAATAAACAAATTATCAGAGTAGAAAGGGCCAAAAATTGTTTCCAAAAATAGTTATTTATATAGTTATTTTTAAGGGCCCTTGTGGAAAAAATGGTGGATTTTTTGAGAGAAGAAACGCAAAACACATTTTTTGAACTGCACCGTGCAGAAAAAATTAATTTCTCTGATTGCACAGTGCACAAAAAATATTTTTTGTTGCACAGTGCAGACATTATTTAGTTCACGAGCAGCACAGTGCGGTGAAACTAAAATTATTTTTTACTGCACGGTGCAAAAATTTTTTTTAACAACACACTGCGGAACAAAAAAAATGTTTTTTTTTACAATTGCACTGTGCCAAAAAAATTGTTTTTTAACGCACCGTGCAAAGCCTTCAAACAACGATGACAAACGACTACATAAACTATGACAAACGACTAACTATACTCAGGAAACAACTTCACAAATGAACTCGCAATACTGGACTCCACCAACACAAGAGTTGACCATAGACAAATCAATAATAGACAGTAGAAAATACGACGGTTTATTGCACACGACATACAACCGGGAAAAGACAAAACACGAATAATCATAATAATTGGCGATTTATCTTCCTTTTATACCAATTTGTCGGTCATTCCGTGGGAATATGCAAATTTGCAGCGAAGTCGTGACACCGTGCAAAAAAGTGTATTGCGATTGCACAGTGCCAAAAAATTTATTTTCAAATTGCACCGTGCAGAATCACGGATCATTTTTTCTTCCACAGTGCGACCATTTTTCCTTTTTTTTAACCGCACAGTGCATTCAGAAAAAAATTTGTTTTATTGCACCGTGCGAAAAAAAATTATGCCATTGCACGGTGCACAAGCAAAAAAACTTTTATTGCACAGGGCAGTAATTTTTATAATAATTTTTTTCCAATCGCAGTCATTTTTTTAATAAAAATTGGTTTCAATTGGCTCTTTTTTACATCTTTTTTTACAGCGTAATCATTACAGCACACCCTTCAAACGTTCAAAAAACAAAAGTTAAAAATAAAATTTTCCACGGTGGGCGAAAACACGTTTTTTTGAACGGGCTTATGCAGTAATAAAATCCTGGCGATCGGTCAGTTTTACTTCAAACCTTGCGCAATGAGGTAAATAAGCAGATAATGGAGCAGTTTTCATAAAAGTTATTTATGAGCTCGTATTCAACCGTGACCTAAAAATAAAAAATAAAAAGTGTTTTTTAATGGTCAAATTGAAAATTTGAAGGTATAGGAGAACTGTTTGAAGATTTTTATTCGACTTTTTTTGTCCGAAAATTGATCAATAACCGAGTTTGAACAAAAAAATATCTATTTTACTAGTCCGTTCGCCAAGTTGCTGAAGTGATTTTTGCGACATGCACTGTGAGAAAACAAAAAGTGCAATTTGCACTGTGCTGAAAATACCGGTTTTTTCGGGTGTTCCTGAACGTTTCTGCACAGTGCAAACGCCAAAAATCACTCCAGCTATAACTGTCACGGGTTAAGTGAGAGCACGTGTATAAGGGTTCTTATTCTAATTGCTATTTCCGATCCCAAGCCCAAATAATACTATACAAACAACGATGACAAACGACTACCTATACTCAGGAAACAACTTCACAAATTTTTCGTTCTGTCGTAATGGCATAAAAAGTGCTTACTTCTAAAGTCAAGAATGATGTTTCCACGAAAAAATTAATCTTTTCCGCGCGAAATGGGCAAAGATATGCCAAAAGGTGTTTCTCTCTCCGAAGATTGCAAGTTCGAATCCTGCCGTGGTCGCCATGTCACGAGTTCAGTGAGAGCACGTGTATAAGGGTCCCTATTCTAGTTGCTATTTCTGATCCCAAGCCCAAATAATACTATACAAACAACGATGACAAACGACTACCCATACTCAGGAAACAACTTCACTAATGAACTCACAATACTGGACTCCACCAACACAAGAGTTGACCATAGACAAATCAATAATAGACAACAGTAGAAATACAACGGTTTATTGCACACAACACAACATACAACCGGGGAAAGACAGAACACGAATAATAATAATAATTGGCGATTTCTCTTCCTTTAATACCAATTTGTCGGTCATTCCGTGGGAATATGCAAATTCGCACGCAAAGTCGTGACATAACGAACGCAGACACAAAAGGGGCCGATAGGGTTTATTGGGCCAGACACAAGAATAATACAACCGCACACGAGAATCGCGAGACACCGACTTCTGAGAATAGGGGAAATTGATCTGATGATGACTTTGTCCTTTGATTTTATGAAAATTCGTGGGAAAGAATTGGCGATTTCAGTGAAATCGCCAACACCAGCAAACATGGACTTGTATATAATTTTTACCGTAGAAAGCATGAAATTGTGATGCAACCGGTAATGTTAGTGTTTTCATAAAGTGCATAGACATATCGCTTTTTCACAGTGCATCCTTGAACTTTTTCCTTGCTTGTCGCCATCGCATAGTGCAGTAAAAAAAATTAGTGCATACAGTGAGGGACCTGATCCAGTGGCAAAAAACGTATCATTTTGCATCCGGGAAATATCAAAAATGTGGCGAAATGTCTCCCTCTCCAACTAAAAAGACTCCGTTTTGAACTGCGCGCCGTTTCTCTCAAAAAAAAGAGTGGGCGCGCTTTTGAAATCGGAGTTTTTTCCACTACGAGAGGGAGGCACTCTGCTGCATTTTTGATACTTCCCGGATGCATAAATGTATGTTTTTGGCCAATGGATCAGGTCCGCTACTCTACAAAAACAGTCACACATGGTGCAGGCCACGTATGAATTCCTCTCGTGGTTTGCAGCGGCAGCCGAGATGATAAACGATTTTTTTGCTGATAGCGAGGCGCGGAAAACGATAAAAATACCTTTGCACGTAGCGTTGCCAGTTCCGCAAGGAAAAAATTGATTTTTCGAAACGACATCTTTTTTTATTTTTTAATGGTATTGTATACTCCCGGACATAAATTTCTGACCACCCATATCTCAAGTGAATATAACGCAATCACTTTGAAACTTGGCATGTATACTGGTTATGACAGGCAATATCTGCCACATAAAAATATTTTTTGTGTCTTTGTCCTTAGGCAAGTTATGCAGGTTTTCCAAAAATTGGTGGACAAAACTTTCTGATCACCTAAAATAACTAAAGTTTTCTCGGTTACCTTGAGCAAGCAACATGATTCATTTATCATAAAACACTGTTTAGGGACCTGCAAAGACGTTGAGTGTACCTTGTACCACCACATTCGGCGTGTGCCCTCAAGCAACCCGTTAAGCAACCCAAAAAACTGCAAGTTTTTGAGCGGGACTTTTCTAGCGACTATCCCTCTTTTACACAATTGTAAAGTAACAGTTTATTTTCCAGTATATACAAGCAATTTTGAGGATATGTCAAGTAAATATATACAACATACTCTAACTATACAGAGGTGAAATTTCAAAGGCCGGAACACAAAAGCTAAATAATGCAACTCCCGATGAAAACTTAGTGAAAGACAAAGATTCTTTTGAGCAATCAAACAACATAAAAAACATAGCAAATTCAACGAGTCAATATGAATAAAAGTGAACTAAAGCTCGATCTAAGTACATAAAAAACGCAGTAATACCATGAATTTGAAATAATGCAACAAGGTGGGGGAAATATGTCGTATTTTAGAAGATATAGGATTTCTTGAAGATGTTCATTTCACTTCAATTTCTAGCCAAATCTCGGTCGGATAAAGGAGTCCATCTTCATCAAGAGCTCCTCAAATTCCATCGATTGACGTCTGAAAAGAAGGAAAGGTAAGTTTTAAAATACGGATCTTGTTTATTTTTCAAGTATTTATAATACAATCAGTCTGTCGGGAAAATAATGAGCATAATCTTGATGCGCCTATCGTGAAGTGAAAATCAATTTGATTTTGCCTCGAAGACGATTCATTTTCTCGGCGGCGATACGATTTTCGATGCGACAGAGCGCTCATTATTTTCCCGACAGAGTAATAGAGGGCCAGAAAGTCTTGATTTGTGGCTCCGCAGGAAAAAAGCAGCACAGTTGGATTGAAAAACGTGCAATTTTATTCCCACGACATCATCTTTGATTGTTATTTTCAAAAGAATTGATTTTCAACTGTGTGTGGTAATTTTTTTTTTTTTTGAATTTTACTGTACAAATTCTAAAACTTCTCAGCCCACCCAGTAGTTAGTATATTTAGTGAAACCTCTGCACAACATATCGCCATTCAGCAAAACCTTTCAATAACAATCAATTTCAGATGTCCCGAAAATAAATTTCCGGCCAAAATATCAGTCTGTCGGGAAAATAACGAGCACTCTGTCGCATCGAAAACCGCATTGCTGCCGAGAAAATGAATTGTGTCGCGGCAAAATAAAATTTTGATCCCTTCAGTGACACAATCTGCTCATTGCTTATTATTTTCCCGACAGACCGATATAAGGGATATTTACCGTGAGATTTTTGTGAAGATTACTGTAGATTTTACAAAAAAGAAGCTGTTTTTTACACTCCTATATAAAGAGCTTTATAAAATTGTTTTTTCTTCAGCGACGCGATCGGCTCATTGCTCATTATTTTCCCGACAGACTGATAAAAATCCGTATAACAAAAACTTTACTATAACGAATAATTTTTTTTTGGGGTCTCTGCGATTCGTTGTACAGAGGTTTAAGTTGTATTATGTATTATAAATTATGAACACTCACTTTTTATGATGCTTGTGTCGATGCGCCTTTTTCCACTCGTGCAAACTGCGGCGGTGTTGTTTCTCGAGTTTGGAGCCCTTTCGAAGCATATAACTGAAAACAGAAACGTCACAAACTTTATCAAAGACATCGTAAAACATTGTAGTTTATTGATCTCGTGAGTTGAGATTACAAAAATGAGAACCCAATTCAGCAACTTACCCCTTGCGATAAGCGTCGGCGGGTTGGACGAACAACGAGAAGAGCAGTAATAATACAAAAGCAACTCGTAGTAACATGATTTGTGACTGATATGTCTAAAAAATAATGACATCATTTTTGAAAAAAGAAAATAATGATGTCATAATCATGAAATTACACGAAAAATTAGGAAAATATCGCGAAAACGTCAAATTTTTCAAAAAAAATTATAAAATGTTTAACCGCGCTATGCAGAAATACTATAACGTCAATCGCGTAATACAGAAAATTTTGTAAAATACGGTAGACGGCAGAGCGTTTTTGAAAAATTGAAAAAAAATTACTTTAAGAGCAAAAAATTCAAACCGCGTTATGCAGAAACATTCTTTTTATTTCGCGTTATACAGAAGTATTTCGTGTTATACAGAAAAAATCGACAAAAATCGCCAAATCTGAAGAAAAAATACAAAAAAAGTATTTTAGATCCAAAAAATTGACCCGCGTTATGCAGAAATACCTGGCCAAAACTTAAAAAATCTCATTTTTTAAAATTTCCAAGCTGAAAGAGCCCTAAATCACTAAAAGCAAAGGTGAAATGATAAACCAGATTACTGCAAAATCAGCGACAAAACAAGTGTGACCAGACGAAGGGTAACCGCAAATTAACACGTCGCAAAAACGACGTGTTAAACTGGGCAGCCTCGTGACCATTTTGCTGTTGATTTAGAAACAGTTCGAAGAAAGCGGACGGCAACGTGACCGTGGAATGTAAAGTGTAAATTGTGGGAAATAGAGGGCAGAATCGGTAAATTTTCAGCGATATTTATTGAGATTCTTTGAGGGAAAAATAAAAAAAATCGAAAAAGATTTTTTTTTTTTTTTTTTGAATAATGAAAATAGCCAACAAAAATTGTAATTCGATTAAATGTAGCATTTTACCTCGCCAAAACATTGCAATTTTTTTAAAAAAGTATAAAAACAGGAAATATTTTGTTCGAAAAATTACAGAGGGCATTACTCTAACTCAGACACTGAGATTTTGATGAAACTTGGCGCAATTTTAATTAGTTTTTTTTCTGAGAAACATACGAGATTTCTAGTTTCGCAATTGTCAGGAGCGACGAAGATTTTTAGTCAAAAAGCTGGTCAAAATTTACAGGGGAAGTACTCCAAGTGCGACGCTCAGATTTTCTTTAAATTTTGCACACATATCGGGTATGGACTAAATATCAATTCCTGAAAGTTTTAGCTCGCGCTTTGCGAGCGCCGCCGAGTTATCGAACGATTTTTGTCGCCGAGAGACGCTACGTGGAGAGCGTTCAGAGTGGATCGATCCAAAAATCTCGGTTGTTTCTGCAAAGCGCGAGGTAGGATTCCCGCATATATCTTAGAAAAAATTATTCTAAATATGTGCCAAGTTTCATCCAAATCTGAGCGTCGCACTTGGAGTACTTCCCCTGTAAGATTAGTCTGGATTCTGGCTTTTTTGAAGTCCCTGCAAAGGGCAAGCTAAAATTTTCACAAATTGCTACGCACCACAAACCCAAAATGTATGCAAAATTAAAAGATTATCTGAATGTTACTCTTGGAGCACTATGTTAGTCATCCAGGAACCTGCAAAATACCTAAAATATTCAAAAAACTTAAAATTAAAATATCGCAAAAATAACAAAAATTTACCCAACACAACCAATAACTATGCCCTCAAATTCGATAAATGGGAAATGATAATCATCCCAAAAACTCTTCCGGTGGCACCATAAAAACTTTTTTTTATCAAAGTTAAACTCTCCTCCCCGGAAGCGTTTGTAATAAACACTTTATATGTTTTCTACTCCCCAAATGTTTTTCTTTTAGGACATCAAATCAAAAAGGTTATCTTAAATTTACTTTTCACACAAAAATTTTTCAAAAAAAAAAATTTAATCTTACTGGTCAAAAATTGTCGGAAAAATACTGAGTACATTCAAAAATGAGCATTTTTTTCAAAAACACTAGTGAAAAATGCAATATTTCCCGTAATATTTCCACTACCATCCAATCGACTGCTTTACGAGCCCGTAAACAGTAACTGTAGCCATTGCAAAAGCAAAAAGGATACTAAAAAAGTTTTAATCAAGCTAATTTTATTGTTATGACTAAACGTCTGCACTCGGAAGTGACTACCAATTAACTAATTTAATTACAGCCGGTGCGCGCTTACTCATTGTGTCCGGATTGCTGATAACGCCCAATGTTTTCTTTTGAGATATAAAAAAAATTTGTTTTGTTTTTTTTTTGAAGACAATGGAATTATTCTTTTTTTTTTGGGACTGGGAAAAAAATTTTGGTAAAAAAAAAATAAAAAAAAAAATATTTTTTATTTCAACAATTGAAAACGAAAAATTGCACTCCTAAAAAAATTTTGCCTCAAGCGCTTTCCGAGAAAATAATGTAGATTTGTCGCAGCAAAATGTCTCGCCTCGCCGCAGTCCAAATCCCCAGCCGCGGCAAGTGCTCGCAGAGCAATCATTGACGATTCCAAGCCGTGATAAATCCACATTATTTTCCCGACAGATCAACCTGTCCATAAAATCAGTCTGTCGGTAAAATAATGTGGATTTGTTGCAGCAAAATGTCTCGCCTCGCCGCAGTCCAAATCCAGCGATTCCAAGCCGTGATAAATCCACATTATTTTCCCGACAGATCAACCTGTCCATAAAATCCGTCTGTCGGGAAAATAATGTGGATTTGTCGCAGCAAAATTTCACGCAATCGTCGCAATTGCGTGACCAAAATTCCAGCCGCGGCAAGCCCTTGCAGAGCAATGATGGGTGATTCCAAAGCGCGACAAATCCACATTATTTTCCCGACAAACTAACCTGTCCATAAAATCAGTCTGTCGGGAAAATAATGTGGATTTGTCGCAGCAAAATGTCACGCAATCGTCGCAATTGCGTGACCAAAACTCCAGCCGCGGCTAGCCGTTGCATTGATGGGTCATTCCAAGGTGCATGAAATCCACATTATTTTCCCGACAGATCAACCTGTCCATAAAATCAGTCTGTCGGGAAAATAACGTGGATTTGTCGCAGCAAAATTTCATGCAATCGTCGGAATTGCGTGACCAAAACTCCAGCCGCGGCGAACCGATGATGGGCAATTATAAGCCGTTACAAATCCACATTATTTTCCCGACAGACTGTTACCAGTATTTCCAGAAAATGCATGGCCATTTTTTCTGTTTGCACAGTGCAGAAAAAATCCGCAACAATTTTCAAAATTGCACTGTGCAAAAAAGGTGAAGTGCACAGTGCGAAAAACTTCTCAAAAAAATCCACGCACTTTCTCTAAAAACTATAAAAATACTGTACACTACCGTACCCTAATTTCTATATTATTCTCGCATCTTCTTCTAACCCAAATTTCTTGCAAGAAAACCACAAGACTGACCGTACAATTTCGCCGAAGAGACCGACCAAAATCACCCCCAAAACGTTTATCTTCTCTTATGAAACCGAACACGCTTCAATGAAGCCGGAATTGATAGGGAGAAGGAAGATAAATAAAGTCGGCGATGCCTAAAAGTATACATTGACGTAGGGAATGTCAAAAAATGGGATCTATTCAAGCTATATGGTGATATGTAGTAATGTAAAAATACAGTAAGCAAAAAGAGAAACAAAAAATTATTATTATAGATGTTGGTCGGAAAAATAAATTTGATGACAAAATTTTACAGTAACCAATATGGAAAATTAAGAGTAATCAAACTTCAGGTAAACAAAAAAATTAAAAAATTGTTACAGTAACCCAATTTTGTAAAAATGAAAAATTGAAAAATGTTGTTACAGTAACCCGAGTAAGAATTTTACAGCAACTTAACGTCGTCTAATACAAAAATTTAAAAAATTGTTACAGTAACCCAAGTAAAATTTGTTACAGTAACCAAAGTATAAACGAAAAAATTTAATTTTTTTACAGTAACCCAAGATAAAGTTTTAAAATAACCACATATGTAACAAAACAAAAAATTGGAGACATGTTGCAGTAACCCAAATAAATTTTTTTTTACATTATCCAAATAATAAAACAATAAATTTGAAAACGTTGTTACAGTAACCCAGCAAAAAATTTTACAACCTCCCAATATAGCAAAAATCAAAAAATCAAACCGAACTTTCAAAAATACAAGAGAACAAACTCTTTTTCATTTTACCGTAACCCTTCCCCCGCAAAACAAAAAACAAGTCGAAAAAAGTCGGTCGTAAATTGATTGACAATAAACTCGGATCCGAACCGACCACGCCTTTATACTTCATTCTCTGCAAACCCCTGAGGCTATTAATAATCAGAAATTTACACGGATTCCCTCGCTGACTCATTCTCGCGCAGAGAGAATGCGGTTTGATTCGTCATTCGGGGGCTTTCAAACTTTTCAGAACCTTAAAAAGAAGCGGAAAAAATGTAAATCGAACAAGTGGACGAGCTCGTATTTTACAAAGGAAATATAATAAATAAAAATTTGCGAAATTTCTAGATAGTGCTTTGAAAAAAGCAGAGATTTTTTTGTTTGAAAACTGGTCGATATTCAACACTTTTTGCGAGCAAAAATTGCAGCTCTATTTCTGTCAGTCTGTCGGGAAAATAATGTGGATTTGTCTCAAAAATCGTTGTATGGCAAGTTTTCAAAAAATGCATGGAAAAAAGTTAAAAATGCACTGTGCAAAAGCGAAAAAAATGTCCATCCATTTTATGAAGATACAATCAGTCTGTCGGGAAAACAATGTGGATTTTTCGCGCCTCAAAATACACCATCATTGCTTTGCGACGGGGCTAGAAATTTTTCTGCGACGAATCCACATTATTTTCCCGACAGACTGATATTACTCTATTTTCACACAAAATTGGCAGTGATATGCCAAAACGTCTTCTTTTTCTCTGACCGCCCTCCTCGTTTCGCCCACATCGATGAAAAGCGTTGAAAATCCCCCACTTTCCGTGCAAAGCGCTAGCCACGATTTTCAGAAACGAGAATATGCTCTAGACACCAGGTATCGCAATAATTTAAATAGAATCTGTTCTTTTTTCATTAAAGTAAAATCAATGCTTCTAAAAG